TCCACATCATCTATACATGTCTAATTAAGCCAAGTTTTAAACATGAAATATATATAGACACCGAAACTGGAACACAGGTTTTTACAAACGATTCCAAATGAAATTCTACATGGTTTGTAATTTGCACTAGATTTACAATCATTACGCAGGTTTAGGCCCAGTTCACACGCCGAATTTTTCATGACCCGAACCTAATACATTGAATTAAGTACATAAAAAGTTTGGTGTCTGAATCACATTTCAAACTGGAACGGCTCAGCCGTTCTTTTAGGCTCAGTCTCCAGCCTTGGGCCGCGAGCTCACCGAGACACGCGACGCTGGAGACTGAGACTACCGTTCTCCTCACCTAGCCCGGCCGGGAATTTCGACTTTGGAGCGACTTTGGAGCGGCTTTGATTCAGACGCCGAACTTTTCATGTGCCAAACCCAATAGACCTTGTCACGATTTTCGACGTCATCTTGACGAGTAGGCAAACGCGTGAGAAATTACTGTTTGCATGAGAATCTAATGTCGAATAATTTCCGTAGAACGGCTGTCCTGAAAAAATATGAATTGTCAACTAAAGCTACACTCCTAAGGATTCTACTGAAAAAAATTGAGGGCGTTGCATGGGCTAGAAGACCTAGAACCACTTTTTTAAATTTTCTATACATTTGTCTCAAGGGGTTATAAAGAAAGTCCCTGGAAAAATTACAGACAAATATATGGAAAATCTAAAGCAAGCCTCTGGAGAAATTTAAGCACAGGTACGCCCACAAAATATTTTTTAGCACAATCCTTTGTTTTGTGGATTTAGTTTACAGCTCATATTTTTTTCAGAACAGCCATTGTACGCAAATTATTCGACATTAGATTCTCATACAAACACTGTAATTTCTCACTCGTTTGCCTACTCGTCAAGATGGCGTCGAAAACCGTGACAAGGTCTATGGATAAATTATAATAACGTATTTTGCTAGCAGTTTGACCGAAATAAGCATTTTAATTTGGCTGGTATTAAGATCGCCGTCTGAATCTATTTAGCCGGTCTAAATAACTTGGGTCGGCGTCAGTTCGAATATTAGGTTCGGCTCATGAAAAGTTCGACGTCTGAACCGGGCCTTCTTAATGAACGAAACCATTTTTTACCGCGTTTTAATAATTAAAGAGCTTTTAAATATGTTTAATCTCAACCACTTGTATAGAAACCTTTCTCTAAAAACTTCCTCAACATTAAGCAAATCAATGGCATATATATTGGTATAAGAGTATTTAACAGGCTAGTGGTGCTCGAAAACGCCAATCTGAGCTTTGAAGTAAGCTAACTTCAATTTTTGTTGAAACTTTCTCGTTTGAATATAAATTGTTTGACTCGTGCGGTCTGTGATTTATGCTCTGTTATGTGTAAACAACCCAATTTGCAAATGTACATAAACTGAAACTCAGGCAAACTTCTTTCATGTAAGAATACAACACAATTCGCTTTAAAGGTGAAGACTTAGGTCAATATTAACAACAACAACAACAACAAGAATAGCAACAATGAACCTTACCTTGAATGCCGAAATGTTGAATATCCATTCTTCCTTCGCGACGTTTTAGAGCTTCGTTTAACGCAGTTTCAACTTTGCCAAGGCGAATAAGTCACTGTCCTCTCATAGCTTAAAAACAACCGTAAAAACAACGAAAAACAACAACAAAAATCCTCTTCTTTTGCCATCCTGTAAACCTGCACAGGAGCAGCCAAGCTGCTACCTGATTGGCCAGCTACGTTATTCCCTCCTTTTGATTGGCACAGATTCCTAACAGGGACTCCGCGCTTCTCAGTTCTAAAACCAATATACAAAACAAATGTCACAAATACAAACAAAACAAACCAAAACAAAAGAAAGAAAGAAAACATGAAGATAAAAACATCTACGGTTGTTCAAATAGTTTGGAAGACGCAGGTCCTCGCATTGGGGCGTACCCTGGAAAAAAAAAGGGCTGAGAAAAACACTTCTTGTAAAACTGCTTGTTTTCATTTCTGTATTTTTACACTCGCAGATCATAAACAAGTAAAAAAAATTAAAACGCCAATACCGTTAAACCAACCGACTTATCATAATCAACAAAATCAACAAAAATAGTTACGAACGGGCCGGGTTGTTCAAAGCTGGGTTAAGATAATCCAGGGTTGGTCTGAGATTGAAATTCAGGTGTGAACGCTTAAATTAAATAGCGAAATCAATTTAACTCTCTTTGTCTACAATTTGTTTAGAAGATGCTCTAAATAGAATAAAGAAAATTATCGGAGAAAATGCTTTTGAACAAAAGAAAAGAAACCGGGATTAGAATTTAACCCCGGGTTAGCGATAATAAACATACGAACAACTGGGCCCAGGAGTATCAACTTCCCGCGCCCCTGGTCAGGGAAAAAATGGTATCTACCCTACCCCCCTCCCTCCCCCGATTTCAAAGACGCCCCAGCGTAACGATTCCCAAGTTTCAGTGCCAGCACAAGACTTCACTCTACTCAGTAAGTTAGCCAGTGTTTAGTCGCACCCTCCTCTCAAGAAAAAAAAATCGTGAAAGGGCTAAAAAAAATTTAAATCGAACAATAATATTTTTATAGAAAGTTTTTATTCAACACTTGCTCGTTTTGCATAGCAAGAAATCAAAAGATATATTATACACTAGGGTATCTAAAAGATAGTAATGCTGCGGCACATTCTGTTGATACTGGCATTGAATGTCCTATTTACATGTTGGAAAGTACTAGAATATTTACTATCAGTCTATAGAATGAACTCGTCGACGTGGGAAAGTTGTTTAGAAAATGATCAAGTGGTTATAACTCTGGTTTTCCCACAGTAAATTGTAGGAAATAATAGAAATTCAGATTGTTTATCCACATATTTAATGTACGGTGCACGACATTTTCTCTGGAAACACAATACTTTTCTTGCTGTTTGTTGCACTTTATTAAGTAACAGTTATTTAGCTATATATTTATAGGAAACAACAACACAAAAAAACGGAAAAATAAAAAAAAGAAAGAAGGAATAAGGAACTCGGTAGGACTTAAACCCTGCACCCTCGGCTCGACGCTACTACACCTAACCACTACGCCACAAAAAATTTAGGAAAAGTCTTGATTTTATTCCTTTTCCATGAAACTTCCGCCGGCAAGATGATTGCCAGCCACATTAACCGAGCTATTAACAGTAAAAAAACAATGTAAACGCATATTCCATGGCAATGAATGAATGAAAGAACTTAATTATGCGTTTCAAAACGCCGATACACGACCTCGTCTGCAAAGTAGGACACAAAACATATGTTTTGTTATCTCGATTTCCGCTGTTATTTTGAAGCGAATGGTCAAAATCACATCCATTTTCGGCTCATACAGTTTCTTAAGAATAGCACTGCATGACATTTTCTCACTTTCACATCACCTTCTAGCAAGCTGGAATTTGTATATCCCCCGTGTTGCGGAGTCGAAGAGCAAATGCTCATCTTCTCGTCAGGTTTAACACCTGGACGAGTCAAAGGCTCTTGAATTGAAATCCAATCCCCAAGTTAACCATCGCACTCATCTGAAAGACTCTTGCGTGTCTTAAAATTTGGTAAGACCTCTAACCGTGATGTAGAAAATTTGCCACAAAGAAAACTCTAAGTCTGAGCAGCGAACGATGCACTCTCTCACCCACCGAACTTCCCCGTGTTTTTCTTTGAGTTGTTCGTGGCGCAATGCACTCTGGTTAAATGCAATGCATTGTGGTAAAAAGTGTGGTTAAATGCAATGCATTGTGGTAAAAAGTGATGAATTCGAGAATTCATCGCCCCTTATATATTTCCTTTAAATCCTGATTATGTTGCTGCTCGCTCCCTTCGGTCGCTCCGCAGCAATTAGTGATGATTTAGCCTTGACTACTATTTACAAAAATAACAAGTATTGTAACTTGAAATGATAAAACGTACGTTTTGGTATTTTCTTAATAGTAAAATAATCAAAAGTTCTTTTTATATGAGGACAAATAACACGCCGAGTTCCCATTTAAATGGCCATGAAAAGTCTTCGCCCCTGAAATAAGACGAGCAACAGCATATGTTCGTATAAATCATACAGCTCGTGTCAGATTTGAGATGAGTCTTGGATTCCTCGTATAAACGGCACTTACATTGTGTTCGGGATTTAACACTTCTCAACACAACGAGGTCTAAAAGTGGTTGGTTTTGTCAAAAAGGCTCCAGGTCCGGGTTGTTCGAAGCTGGGTTACGATAAACCTGGGTTAGTGCGAAATTTGAACTCAGATATGAGAGATTAAAAAGCAAATTCAGTTTAATTCTCTTTGCCTACAATTTGATGACTGGATACTCTAAAAAGAATAGAGAAAATTATCCGAGAGAGTGCTTTTGATAAAAAGATACAGAAACCCGGGTTAAAATTTAACCCTGGGTTAGAGCTAACCCGCGTTCGAACAACTGGGCCCTGCAGGTCAGTTTCGCGACGCATGTGCGTTAAAATCTTGAAACTCAACAGAAATGAAAAGAAATTTTCCTAGGGAGCCCTCAAGATTGTGAGGTAACGACAACAACGATCATATCCAGACAGTGATTCAAATTTTAATTTGCTGTCACTCATAACGACGAAAGGGCTATTCAAGTATACATTATGCATTACATATCTCTGTCTCTTTCGAAGATGTATCAAGTCGGTAGAAGACAGGACGGTTTCCCAACAGACCACTTGAAATTGTATGTTTTGTTTTCCCAATGTAGGTCATGTGATAATACTCCAGAGAAATGTTTCCTTCAAATTTCTTATTCACCTGCATATGTACGCATAATTTATGCAAAGCAAAAGATCAAATTCCCTTGAGACCTTAATTGGTAAAAGAAAGCAAATAAGCTTAAGAGGGCGATTATCCGTCTTTTCCGGAAACATTTTGACATGAAATGCACATGCGTCGCAAACTGACCGCTCCTGCTGCTGCTGTTGCTGCTGATAACCGTCTCTACACAAGCATCCTCCTCAAAACTGTGGGCCCTGATATTGAGGGTTTGTAGTGTACTGTTGTTGCTGGGCCTGCTGAGTAAGGTCCTGAGGTGCTGGAGTGGAGAGCTGCCGCGTAAAGGAGATATCTTGGGCTGAAGTCACTTGCCTCGGAAGCCCAATGTCAGGTGGCGCCGATAGCTGTCTCTGGAGGGAAATGTCAGCGGCCTGTGAAAACTGCTGTTGTAGAGAGATGTCTTGGCCTGCAAAATAACGACCAGGATAAGTATTCTGCCGCTCATCATGGAATCTCATTCGTCACTTTAAAAGCGAGAAGGAAACTGGGTCGAGTTAACTTTCGCAAAGACTTGTGGTTACTAATGTTGACTTAATAAATGAAATGATATGTGTGAAGAGAAAAACACAGAAAAAAATGTTGACTTGTAGCACTTATCAAGTGCTCCTGAACACGTGGATTTCATGCGCTAATGACTCCCTCCCTCCTTCAGTGAACATTTTTACTTCGGCGGAGCGCGAAGTAAAGGATTCGCGACGCTCAGGAATGTATCAAAGTTGCAATTTTTTGACAAGATTGGGCAAGCAAAGTCTGTAGGTTTTCGGTTCTATTCGGCTATTTGACGAAGTGAGAGCCGAATTAGTTCGAGATATCTCGAGATCACTTTAACTTTTTCGAGGAAGAAAGAATTATTATTTTGGCTTTCCTGGGGTTTGAACCGACTCACCTGTGTGACCCGTCAGATCAGAGGAGACTCTAAGTTGAGGGATTAGCCGATTGCGCTACTACGACCCAAGGTAGTTTGGGACTTGAAAAATAGTTATGAAATGATGCACTAGTCTCGGGACAAGATTGGGCGTGCAAGTTCGTGACTTTTCGGCTTGTTTCAACTATTTCACGAAATGAGACCGGACTACTTCGTGATATCTTGAGATCACTTCGAGTTTAGTCTTTAGTTACTCGAGGAATAAATAGAGGATATTTCGTGGCCGCGCAGAGACACGAAATTTCTCTTCGAGTGTTGAAAAACATTTCACGAGTGAGCCCTCCTTTCGAACTGTTTTATGATGAATTTAAAGTTACAAAATGCTGCACAAAGACATTTTGTCTTTGTTGAGTGTTACGTAGTAAAATTGCTTTCATGCGTTGCGTGACTTTCTCGAACGTTCTCTACGTTTTTGGATTATTCATGAATAATTAATTAGGGCATGTTTACATTTCAGCATGAGTCAGCAGATTTGCATCAGTTACTGAAATCATAAAATATGTCGGAAAGCTACTACTATTCGCCTGTTTAGTATTTTCTAGAACCTTATGTCAAACGGTTTACAAGTTCCAAGCGAGTTCTTTTGACGATCTAAGTTTTTTCCCACGAACTGGACTGCTGTGTTTAGTCAACTGTGACGAAGGTCGATTTTCGTGGAAGCCGTAAGATATCTGAAGTTCAAGTGAGAGTTTGTTATTATTGGTGGAGGCTGTTTAGTTTTACTCAAAGTTCAAGTCAAGTTTGTGTTGGTGGATGCTGTGTTTTAAAGCTCTGTAAAGGCTATGTTCCTTTGGTGTTAAACTTCCTTAATAATCCGACATCCCTGCGTGCTGATAGTCAGTGAATAATTATCCTCAAAACATTCGAACTCCTGACTTTGAGTTTTATAGCCAATTCCATGCTCAACGTAATTGACTCCATACCCATGCCTTACATATCTTTAATCAGTACATGAGACTGCTATGCTGTTTTTGAAGCCTGATGTGACTAAGAAAAATAGAGAATTGTTTTTTTAAAAGGATTTGTATGGATTCACCAGAGCATAACTCGGCTAATATCTCGGAGACAATTTGTCCCGAAATGCTAGTTTTTGGCAAGTAGGCCTCTTGGATGTTGCTCTTTTCAGAATATCCTGACAAATCCCATAATTTCACAAATTAACACCTTACTCTTACCATATTTGATTTCTTACTATTCCTCCGCATTTACAATTAATTAGTTCCACAACCACGACGCCGAAGTGTACGCTCCGTAGCGTCTTGTTATGAACTAAAGTTGTTACTGTCTTGTTTTTCCTCAAAACTTTGGCTCACTATTCGCTTTCTATGACGCAACAGATAGTGAAGAAGTTAACCAATCAGACTGCAGATTTCGCGATAGTGAGGATCACTTACGTCGGGCCCAGGCCCTTAATTATTCACAACAACTCATCGGACAAATAGGTTAACATTGTTTTTACCTGAAAACCTTTGTTGTAGTTGTCTCACCAGCTCTGCAGTCGAATGACGATTTTGTTGTTGCTGTTGTTGTTGTTGTTGTTGTTGTTGTTGCTGCTGTTGTAGAGCAGCCGCAGCTGCTAGTAACCTCTGTTGTTGTTGTCTGTCGATATTGCTCTGCTGGTATTGTGACTGAAAACTTTGCTGCATCTGCGAGACCGCGTTCATTTGCGCATGGCCCGATGACACAGGCATTTTATGCTGTAACGTGGCTTGCGGTTGTGGTTGAATAGTCCGCTGACCAGTTAATGTAAACTGCTGTTGTTGCTGTTGGGCTTGTTGTTGTTGTTGAGGTTGTATAGCCCTCGTCAGCGCCTGGGATACAGTTAGACCTACGACAGAGAAAACCAGTCGAAAACTGCAAAATTTTTTATTTTGAGGTTTTATATTCAATCAGTAGTAAAGTAGATAGAATAGCAACACCAAGAAGGAATTAAGGACAGAACACAAAAACAACAACAACAACAACAACAAAAAACAACAACAACAAAACTGCAAGTTTAATCGCTAAGGGAATCACTTTAACCCTTTAAACCCCAAGATCAAAATTTGAGTTCTCATTTGTTGCCCCTATTCATTTCCAACAGAAGTAGTGGGGAGAAGTTAATAAAATATCAAGCAAATTCATCTTGTGTGATCACGTCCGTAATTCTCATGACCACTCTGTTTTACAAAGCATCGATATTACAAGGAGAAATTTGATGCTGATCACTCTTAGGGCTGAAAGGGTTAATGTCGCTTCAGTACTCCATTACAAATTGTGCGAAGGGACTGGAAAAAACGTTCGTCATCACATGATTACGATTATATCAGAATCTTCATCCATACATTTCAATATAACTGGAGGAAAGAATGTCCTCCGCTATACAATGACTGCATCACACAACGCGTCGTTACTACAAAATGCCGCAGAACCAGGCTTATTTATATTCGGATTTCACTGTAGTTCTTTGTTGCAGAAATCAAACGGTTACAGTACAAATCATAACGCAACTAACATCATTCGTCGAGCTATGACTTAACAGTTCTTTCTTTCTTTTGGGAGGCCGCTAGTTCAAACCTCGGCCAACACTCGGGGTCTTAAAATATATGAGGAGAAAGTGCTGCCTTTGTGATGACATTTGCAAACAGTTAGACTTTCTAGTCTTCTCGGATAAGGACGACAAACCGTAGACCCCGTCTCACAAACCTTGTACATATAGTTTATTATGTGGGAGGTTAAAGAATCCACATTGTTAGTAAAGAGTAGGGGAGGTAGCGCCCGGTGTAGTGGTCTCAAATTTCACACTCACACGGGGGATCGGTGGGGGGAGGTTGGGGGGCAGCATCAATGCAACATAAGCAGTTTTGCAAAAACTCCCCCCACCAGTGTTGTAAATTATCCTTGAAAAGCCCTGAGGGTTGTGGATAATAAGAATTTTACAATCTACAATTTGTCGATAAAACAAGGACTCTATTGGGTTCTAATAAGCTTAACTACCGTATTTCTACTGACTCGCAAAGGTGCCAAATGTACCTTGATAACCGGCGGTGTTGAATGGCTGCTGTTGCGTGACCATACCTCCAAGAGAAGATGGAAGTGTCATGGTCGTCGGCGTTGATGGTGTAGAGACGAGATCGGGACGAGTAGCGACTTGGGTCCTACCAATGGTCAGAGACTGCGGACGCTGGGGTTGAGTGAAAGTGTATTGTTGATTAGAGTGCATCTGACCTGCACTCTGGACAGCTTGAAGCTGAAAAAGAAAAAAAAAACAGGCTATTTCGGTAGGTAAATCAAATAGTTCCGCTATTCTGTTTCGGGAGCTGCAGGGAATATGGGCTGTGATTTGAGGCGATGCAGTTTTTCATCACTTATTAATCTGTTAATAGACCTTGTAGCTGGTCGTTCTTCCACCTCTCCCCTATCTGTATGTCTATGCACACCCACCCAAGTGGTTTATGTAATTGATGAGCACCCCTGAATTCTATAGTCTCGATCGTCCGAGTTCTCTCCGTATGACTCAAGCAGATCGAGACAGATAGAAAAACCCCTGGGCCCAGTTGTTCGAAGGCTGATTAGCGCTTAAACCAGGGTTAAATTTAACCTTGGTTTCTTTTTCTTGTGTTCAAAGCATTTGCTCGGATAATTATCTCGGTTATTTTTAGAGCTTCCAATCATCAACTTGTAGGCAAAAAGAATTAAAACGAAAATGCCTTTTAAGATTTCAAATCTAAATTCAAATCTTGCACTAACCCTGGGTTATCTTAAACCAGCTTTGAACAACTCGGCCCAGATGCGAAACGGAACTATCTAGTCGATCGGAATCACCTGTGAATAAAACTTAAGTCTGTAAGCTGATTGGCTTCCATCGGTTCGGATGATTATATGCGTGACAATGGTTCTTAAAATTTCGTACCTGGTTAGCCTGTGGTAAATGCCTAAGTTGCTGGTTGACCTGTTGCGGTTGTTGTTGCTGCGACATTTGATTTTGAAACTGCTGTGCGAGAAGAGATGGCTGCTGGGACATAAACATGGCTTGCTGCATTGATTGAGTTTGTTGTTGTTGTTGTTGTTGTTGCTGCTGGTGTTGCGGTTGCTGCTGTTGTTTTTGTCTCATTCTCTGAAGCAGCTGGACATTTTGCCTCTGTGTTGGGTGTCCAATCGTGTTCTGCGACGCCACGGAGTGAGAAACAAGCATCCTTAGGTTGTTTAACGGGTTTTTGATTGTTGCCGGATTTGTCAACCTTCCGAAGAAAAAAACTATTTAGCACTTGACTTCACAGTCCCAAATTTGATCATTCAAAATATTGCTAACGAAAAGTATTTTCTCCTGACGCTAAGATGGAATGTAAGAAATTAAGACGAGAAAAATTAGATGTGTTACGTTGACCGTCCAAATTAAAACGTGAAATAGTGCGCGGACAGCAAAGAAATGTACCAAGAAAGATTGATGCATTTATAAGAGCAAGATTTCCTTAACAATTTTTCCTTGGTCGTGTGAGGTCGCATCTACACGAGCGAGTTTTTCTTAGCAAGTTGTCCTAGGTCGTGTAAGGGTACAAGGTTTCCTTAACAAATTATCCTTAGTAGCGTTAGGAGGCATTTTCACGAGCAGGCTTTTGCACAAGTTGTTCCAGGTCGGTGTCAGGGTGCACCTACACCAGTAATTTCCACGAATTCATTGACCACCCACCTTGGCTGTTGTTGAGGCTGCAAGCCTGCCTGCGCAAGTCCCCTCTGCTGCTGCTGTTGTTGTTGTTGTTGCTGCTGAAAGAGGACCTGTTGCTGCTGTTGCTGCTGTTGCTGCTGAGTTGATTGGCCGAACATCATTCCAGCCGGCGGAACCTGCATGTACTGCTGTTGCTGTGGATGTTGATGTTGAAGTAACTGTTGCTGTATCTTCTTCTGCGCTGCTGTATGGCCTGGAGGTTTGGGTGCCCTCTTGGGTCCTTTTTTAGGCTGTTTTTTGGCCTGTTTGCCTTCTGCCACAGCAACCTGATTCGGGGGTACGTTTCCTTGCATTGCGTGAACGGCAGCCATGTTAAGGCCGGCCATCACCATTGAAGGTACCAATGGTGTGGCACCTAAATATAGTAAGTGATATCACATGTAAGATTATTAGGCAAATACTGTCGTATTGAAAAAGGCGAATCACAGAAAATAGCATGAACTACTCCCGTAACACTGATATCAAGCTTTCTGGACTTTAGATGAAACAGTCTTTACATAGTTTCATATAACGTCCGTACTAATTGGCTTAATTATATAGCTGAATCCGCAAGATGAAGCGAATACTGTGTTCTGATTGGCTACCAAATGAAACGCACAAGATGAGCCATCTTGCCCGCCCAGGATTTCTCGCGTTAGTCCTGCAAGTAAAATACTCTTTATGGCCATAAAATTAAACCTTTATTGACCAGGCTTGTTGGGTTTAGATGGCTGGATAGTGGCCTCGTTCTTTTTTGTGTTTTAAAAGACCTCGAGTGCGTCTCCGTCTTACACAAGCTCCAGGTTCTGATCTCTAAATACCAAGGGTGAGATAAACCGTGCGCACGGTTTGATAAAGCTCCCGAGACGTTTTTTCTTTCCCTGCACCTCACTGTCGCGGCTTCGCCACGGAAAAAGGAAAGAAGAAAAAGCAAATCCCTGTACCCAGGGTATATCGGTCCGGCATAAAAAAGCGGAAAAACAACTTGGCCAATAATCAGCCATGCTGACCTCACTCTTGGTCAATAATAATTCGTAACTACCAAGCGTCAAATTTACGGTTGGTGTTTTGTACCTTTACTATCAGCTGGTGTTTGCGGAGTTGATGGTTGACTGGATCGCTCTCCTGTTGCACCTTCCGTCTCATGTCTATCCTCTTCTTCATCCTGCTCATCTTCTTTGTCCGGCGCAGGATTAAGAAAGTAGCTAAGAGGGCGCCGCCTTGGATGCGTGTGGTGCAGTAACCTTCGAAAGTCTTGTTCATATCTCAATGGCTTGCGTTCAATTCGGACTGCACCGAACCACGCCCATGACAGGGGTGACGGGTTTTTGTGACCCTCCATGAGTTCCCAAGCACTGATTCTTTGTTTGCCAGTGATCTGGAGACCCTACGGAGACGAAAACAACAGCGCAGACCAATTACGTTTCAATACATAACAATTTTTGTTACCCCACTGTTGTTTTGTTGCCCCATTCAGGGCCGCAGGCAGAAAAAACAGATAAAAAAATGACAATAATATAAAATAAACTAAAAAACAGACGAAACGGAAATTTCCACCCAAATTCGTTGAGAAATCACCACCAATCTCTCACCTTTAGTTCAAAAACATCAATCAAGTTATTAACATCACTTTCAATCATAACAGCAAACAAGCTAAAAACGATACCTGGCAACTTGTCCCTCCCCCTGATGGGGTTTTGTCTCCGACCTGTGCAGAGGTGGAAGGTGTCTCTTTGACAGCCGAGACTGTAAGCACACCGTGTGAGAGGGAGGGGAGAGGAAGAAGTTGTTTACTTTGCTGCATTATGTCACCAGGGTTTTTGCCAGCAAACTCTCGCTGAAAACGATAATATAAAAATTTGAATATTTGTAACCTATATCCATCCACACCGCAGATGAAACACGTCTCTGAAACACGTCAAGGGCGTCTATTTAATGTTGGAAGACCAAAACTCTCATAATTGTACGAAACTCCATAAAACTGACATGCATTCAAGAAGAAGAAGAAGAAGAAGAAGAAGATTCTCTGTTAGTAGCGATTCCAAGGAGACTTACATACTCGCAGTTGTGAGCGCAATTTATGCAGTTGCGTAAGAAGTCTGAAAAAGAAATCAGGACTTCAACGGACTCCCAACATCATCCCGTTGAAGTCCTGAATTTTTTTTGTCAGGCTTCACAACTGCGAGGATCATTCTTCATTTGATCGGATTATTATTGCTGCTAAAAACAAGCATACCTTGAGTTTCTTGAAAAGTGCAAAAGCAGCTTTACGGCTTTCATCAGCAGACTGACCGTGAACTGAGTCTGTATTGGAAACGACGCTGATCAAAACTGATACCATGTCCAGCACGTTCGTCAATAATTCCCTTAAAGAAGAAAAAAACAAGAGGTCTTTACACGTAATTACTGCCAACAGACCTCGTCCTTGATTAAGTTTCCAAAGGGGTTCCTGTGAATCGACCATTTTCGCTGTCTTATAAATTAACTTCGTTTTCACGCAAGCTACTTGCCTAATTTAAAGTTTAAAATATGTGATATCACAAATAATAAAGGTTTTCCTTGCCGCAAAACTATGTGATAAAACGCAGGAATTGGAACCTCGACCCCTTTTAAGTAATCTATGATTACTATTAGTATATCTTGTTAGCCCAGACCAAAGAACAATCTTCAAATAGCCGCGAAGCAGACTGCCAAATTTTTAGACTCGATTTGTGTCGCTCCATCGAGTTCGATCTTGAATCGGTTTCGGCTGGCAATCGACCGTACCTAATTCACAAACCCTGCGATGGATAGAGAGGGTTCTAAAGAAGGTTTTGCAATTCACTTGGTTTAGAATAGACATTTGATCATGAAAAATATATATATAAATTGAGAAGCAACGACGTTTCCACGTTTTCAGGGTATATGTTTATCTCTGTACCTTGTCCAAATGGGCACAATCTTTTCCGAATGGTGTGACATATGTTTTTTGTTGAGTAACGTATTAAAAAATCACCTCGTTATTGTCATTGTTACTTCAGTTTCATCGTATAGATAAAGGATAGGCTAGTATACCACAGTAATATCTGTAGTTTGCTTGTTCCAATTGGCATGAGTAAACCCTTGTATTGTTTAATAATACTAGGTAAAAGCTTACTTTTTGGTAGGAAGCGAGTCGGCAGTGATTGTCCCAGAGCTGACGAGCTGGAATAGTAATATGGCCCAGTCACTTGACATCTGACTGCTGCGTTGAATGGTGTCAAACATAGCACCCAACTAGAAAAAAAAAATCATCACCCGTCGTCATCCGAAAAAAAAAACATCGTCATCGTGATCCGAAAAAACAAACAAACAAACAAATCAAAACAAAACAAAAAACTCTCTCCTCTTCAATTTAACCTTCTTAAAAAACTCAGACACGTGTAAGTATAGAGGGAAAACTAACCAGGCTGATTCGCAAATGTAAAGCTTCTTGGAGAACTTCTTTGCTTTTCAAATCCGTAGGGCACCTCTCCTGTAAGCACGAATTTAAAAAATACACCATTCTATGAAGCAAATTGAATCTAAAAGTCTCTAATGTTCCCTACTCCTCTCAACGTTGTTCAAGGCGTGGTCCTAACTTTGAAGCCTGTGAATGAAATCCTTAAGATACTAAGGCAATACCTGTGGCTTACGGTCATCTCGCCACCAAGAAATCTACTCGCTAACACATAATAACTCTGCAATTCACACTTTTTACTCACCTGGGATTGTTACTTCTTCCTCAAGCCCACATATAAGTTTATCGATTTTAACGGACACCTTGCGTCGAACTTCTCATCTTTAGTTTTATTTTTGCAAACAACTGCGACTTCTTAATACCTTAATACGGCTTACTTGTATCCCTCGAGAGGTGCGATTCGTTTAAAATCCAACAGCCTCTCTTTTGAAAGTTGGTCAATATTGTCACTTAAACCTTACCTCCTTAAATTAAGAATTAAAACATATATATTTCTTAGTGGCGAGATGGTTTGGTGGGGAGGCGACCGGATACCAGTACTGTACACGTACTGATTTGCTGTTTATTTGGTGTACAAGGTGGTTCTAACTTTTGAGTCTGTGGATGAAATGTTTAAGTGTGACCATTCAAATGAAAGCTATTGAACAGTGCTTTTTCGTGGTACTGTTTATTATACTGTACAGGGTGGTTATACTTTTGAGTCTGTGGATGAAATGATTAAGTGTGACCATTTAAATGAAAGCTACTGAACAGCAATTTCCTGTAATACTGATTATTATGCTGTACAGGGTGGTTCTAACTTTTGAGTCCAAGAATGAAACAATGATACTCTTGAATGTAACCATGTAAACGGAAGCTACTGAGCAATATCACTAACCAAAATAAAGTCAATGACAAACCTCAGCAGGAGCAGCCAGTAGTTGACCTAGCTGACGTTGAATGGAGGAAAGTAAGGCCTCTCTCTGATCTTCTTGTCCCTTGAGACAAGCTAACACGAGCGACAGGAATGGCTGGGTATGAACCAGGGTGGGGCTACAGACACAAAGCGGTTAAAATAGAATATAGTTTGTAAAGTTTAAGAAGCCCAGTCAGACTCTTTTGATATGATGGTGGAAAACGTTCAAAAGCATTCCTACCATTTTCCGTCAGGCAGCTTCTAACATAAACTACGGCCCTATTGTTTTTATCTTTGATGTTTGCCGCCTTTCAAAACCAGTCTCCTCTACCAACTTACTATGAATAAAAGGTGCAATTGACCATTTTGAAGATGAACCTACGGCTGGATCGGTGTAACATCGAATTGTACTATGGGGCTATTTTGAGGGAAGCGCAGTCTTCTTTTATTGGCTAGCTAGGCTGGGCAGGAGAAAGAATCCCTCAGACAGTTTCATTTTGGAAGAAATCAAACAAGTCTTATTTCAGTGTTTTAAATGCTAACCTTGCATCATACTAACGCAATAACCACTGAAAATGTCTCAAACAGAATCAAAGAGGTAAATCAAATTTTCGAATTTGAAATGGTAGCAAAAACACACAACTAAATCTCGCCGAATTCGCCACAAACTTACACGTGCACTCTGACTCGCGACAAATATTTCGCCAAATAACTGTGAAAAAAACTAGACCACTACAAATGCATGTAAAAATATTTTTTTATCGATGAGAAAAACGACAAACATGAAATACAAGGACCGTGTTTGCGCTAGTTACTTAACCCATTTCATGTTTGACGAACAAAGCGAAACCTTGTGCCTTCGGCATAAGCAAACATCCATTCTACGGCTAACATGCGTACAGTCACGCCCCACTTAAGGGACACCCACTTAATACGGACACCTCATTATTACGGACAGTTTGCTTTGTCCCTGGGGAAAGAAAGCCCCTACATTTTCTCTACATTTGGTCTGAAATGTCATATGTCTCCACCCCATAACCTGTGGGGGGCGCGGGGGAGTCTCTCCCCGCCCCCCCCCCGGTTAGGGGGTGGAGTCGTATGACATTTCAGACCACTCAAAATTCAACCCGCATTATACGGACACCCCGTTAAAACGGACACTTTTGTGTGGGCCTCTCAATGTCCGTATTAATATAACGGGATCGACTGTATTTTCCATCCACTGTAGAATGCTCGAAATCTCTCCTTTACTATTAAAAGCCTAACACATAATCATGACATTAGTTTCTTAAAATGTTCCTTACACGGATGACTTTACAGAATGATCCTTCCACCACTGTTTCGTGTCCAGTACTTCACCTGCGGCCTTCAGGAGTCGGCCTTGTACCGAGTTGGAAAGTTTGGAGATCAAAGGAGCAACAAGCCACTCTGGACCCTTGATCACTACAGACTTTTGGTTGCTATGTGCTGTTGCTAAGGGCGTGGTGTCATGCCGCTGAACAAAGACATTCATGGCGCTGGTGGCGATGGCATCCAAAAGAGGTCCAGTTTCCTAGAATGAAAATGTTTCTTGAGAATTATGGCCACACCACAAAGCAATTTCGTTATGTAGTGTATCACGCAAGAGACCAAAATCAAACTAACGTCAGGGGGATATTGCCGTTTTAGGTCAATTCTGTGCTGAAGTCATTACTACTTAACTCTACCCTTACACTAAATGCTCCTGTTACTGTAGAGCTCTAAGGAAAATATCACGTAAATGTTATCAGGGAGCACTAACCATAATGATTGTTTTTGTGTGTGATTACTACAGGTAAACCACTGGCACTTGAAAAATATGGGCGCAACTTTTTCAAATCCTTGTCCATCCTTGCCGTTGCAAAAGATAACAGGACTCGTGAAACAGTTTCAAAGCCTAAATAATGTCTTAATAAAGTCTTAAATAACAAAATAAAGTCTAAATAGAGCCTCAATAAAGTCTTAAATAACAAAACTCGACCAAAAGCTTTTAGCCTTTTAAAAAGATGGCAAATAGCATAACAAAGCCCCCTGGTATGCAAATGAGAAGAACCTTGGTACCTCTTTAGAAGCCTGCTTGATCATGAGTTGCAACTCTAACCATGATTTTCGTAACGACCACTGATCCAGATTCTGTTGGACAAAAAACTTGTCATCGCTTTGAAGATTTAAAAGGAGTGAGCTAGTTTAACTTAAGGGGACTGAGAACAGGATAGGGGCGAAACAAAGAAAAAGAAGCATATTTTAGTCAAGTACCAATTAAATTTCCTGTACTACAAGAATAAGACTTCTTATCTTGAAAACATGGTAAGTTCTGACTGAAAATTTAAAATGAAACGACATCACATTTGATAGAAATGTAATGGTGAATTTTAAGCCTAGTGAATATATAAGAAGGATGTTTAATCAGTCAGTGACCCAGGTGGCTCGGAAGAAAAAATCCGAGTACTTCAAATAGGAGTCGAACCTGACCTTCTCATTGCTAGTCTGATTACGAGAGGATATTCGTACGATCTAAGGCCACTAAGCTAGGTTCCTGTGTCAAAAATCCTGCATACTGCTAAGCAATGGAATGTTTATACCATGTGTTTATGCTCAATGACAGAAATGTGATGGTGGATTTTAAGCCTGGTCAATACATGAGAAAAATGTATATTCTAACATTGCGGCTCTTTGAAACCTTGCCAGCATGCCACATTTGTATGTCTACCATTGTAGAATTTGATTGAAAGCTTTATTTTTTCCCTCACCCCTCCCTGGCGAGCAAGGGTTGCGTGGTGAGAGTGGGTGAGAGCACTCGCCTCCCAACAATGTGGCCGAGGTTCAAATCTCGGCGTCGACGCCTTATGTGGGTCAGAGTTTGTTGTTGGTTCTCTCCCTTGCTCCAATAGGTTTTTCATCGGGTACTCCGGTTTTCCCCACTCCTGAAAAACCAACACTTCAGTCCAAATTCCAATTCGATCTGGAACGTACGGACACGTTTAAACGAGTTCATAAGAACTCCTAAGAGCTTCTTGGGTAAACAAATTACAATTTACAATTTACAATCGTTCCGGCCCTTTTACCACCTTGCTCGAGTCGAGATCATTCTTACAGGCTAGGTATATAAAACACCACTGACCTGCAATATTCTGCTTGCGGCTTCATGCACTGTTTCCATGTCGTTGCTGTTAGCAACAAGGCCACCAATGGATGATGGGACACCAGCTGGATAGCAGATGAGATGCAGCAATTTTCTGGCCTAATAGACAAATTCACTGTTAGCCATTTGGTCTTTTGGTTTTGTCTTTGAGTACAGGAACACTATTCACTCATAATGATATTCGAAGTTGAAAGACACCCAATTAACAGGTTGAATGTGGCTAGTCAAACAGTTTCACGTGCGATTACATAACTCCTTATGATCAATAGTGGAAATCATCCATTCTTTCTCAGCTATTAAAGGGGCCACGCACGGGTGAACGGCTCACCCTTCCACCCAGAGAGTCGCGTGGGCGTTAGTAACTATCCCTAAGCCAAGCTGTCCCAGCCTGGCTTAGTGCCCTGATCAATCATTTTCTCATACCTTAAAACAACTGAGGATGAATATGAATGTTGTTCAATAGATTACTACGCGAAGCCATCTTTTTGAATTGGCATTCGCTCAGGAAACGAATAGAAAGCGTTCCCCTAAATGAACGTGATTTTTAATGCCTTAATCACGAACCCCTTCCATTGCAAAATGTACACTCACCTGATTTGGAGAAATCGCCGGATCCAGCAGTAGTTCAGGTGAACAGAGAACTTGTGGATCTTGAAGACACCTCTCCCTCACCCATTCCTGTCTGCAGATCACTTGCAAAGCAAATCCAGCAAATTGACTCGCGTTGGAAGTCTCCATAGCTGTAAAAATCCACACATCAACTTTGAATTAACCTCGCTGGTATTTCTTATGCATTACAAACAAGCTCAGCAAAGTGACCGCAATTTTTACATGGGGATTATTTTAAGTAAATAATGTTTTGTCTTTGTTATGTTTTGCCCTTTTCAAACTATTCGCGTTGAAGAATGTATTAAACCAGAGCTGGCCAAATTGAAAATTGCATAGAACGCAGTTTAATTAAACATCAACCCACGACGTTAAAATTACGAGAATCCATTTTTATGGGGATAAAGAGTTCTCTATACCTGCCTTGACCGATGTAAGGAAAAGGGAGGCAGGTGTACTGTAAAGACGAGGGGAGGGAGGACAAAGAGGTCGGGAAGAGAGGTTTGGAAGGAGGGAAGATCAAGGAAGATAAGAAGGGTTTCAATAGAGTAGAAAGAAGCGAGGGGAGAGGAGACGGGGGTGGATGAAGGACCAGCGCCGACGAAAAAGGTCATCCGCGCCACGCGAAGGTCTAGCCGCTTGCAGTGCAAAGGCAGTACCTTCATTTCTCAGCTATTTTAAGACCCGGAGTGTTGGTCCGGCCCCAGTACTCGAACCCGCTACCTCCCGCTCCGCAGTCAAGCGCTATATCGACTGAGCTAATCCTGCCGCGCTATGATCAAAACGTATTTTAATCAGCACTTGTTTTGAAGCACTGGTTCGATTCCGGTTATAAGCCCCGGCCCTCCGAAGAACCCCTTACGAATAAGTATAAACCCAGGGATAAAATAAGCTGCAATTTACGGTATACCTAGAGAAAGAAAAGAACGGGAAGAAAAGCTGGTTTGGATGAGTGGGAGAGAAAAAGTAGCATTAAAGGAAAGAAAACAAAAAAACAAGTGCTAGTAAAAGGAAAAGCTTTTTTGTGGCCAACCTGATCTGCTTGAGGCCAGAGGTGGAGGAAAGATGTCTCCGGTACTGGAAGTGCTATCCATGAAGTCATCCAACCTGTTGGAAAACAGCCCGCGGAATGCATCATCACGAGTGGAGTCGCTAGCACTTGTTGAGCCACCATCACTTGCTCTGTCTGGAAAACAAGGTAGAAAACCTGTTGTAAGGGAGTTTGATTTGCCTGTGTAGCGTACGCCACACATTTCCTTCATTACGAGGCCAACTTGGAGAGAGAGAGATAAAGCTTGATGTATAATACAACAAACCTGCTTCAGAGAGTTTAAGCATGGCTTTGAATACTGCCAAAACAGCACCAATCCCAATGGTTTCGTGTGCGGCGGCCAGTAGGTGATGGTCAGGAGATGAAAAGGAAAAAGGAAAAGGAAATGGAAATTTGAGAGCAGAAGAATGGTCGTGTGACATGTGGTCTGTAGACTCGTCAAGAAGTCGCAGCAGTATGTGGCATGTTAGTCTTGCTCCTTGTTCGGCATCTTGGTTCTCAGCACCTCCTGCAATCCCAAACAGTTAAAATCCCGGATCAATCTAGGTTTCTGGGGAAAATGCCCACCTACCCCTCCCCTACCTGAACGTTTACTCCTATTTCTCACTTTATAAGGCAAAATGTTGGGTAAGGGGGGCGGTAGGTGGGCAGTTTCCTAGAAACCCAAACGTGAAGGTGAAGAGTGTTTAAGTCTCTTCAGAAACCGATAAGGGGTTGAAACGTGTAACTCTCATATGTTTGCTTTGTCCGATGCTCGTGATTATTCATTTTCGAAAGTACCACATTTGGAACGAGAAGGAGAGATAACTGACCAATCAAACTTCGTAAACAACGTGACGTAATTTTCCTTCAGGTTCCCGCGCCCGCTTAAAAAAATGGCCGACAAACGGGGGAAAAACTCCCGAAAGCCGAGAAAGCTTTCAAAGGTTGAAACCAGGAATATTACCGAAACACTGAGCAGGATATTATTGCCTTACCACCTGGGCCAAACGTAACATTACGAAACCCATTGACGGCCTCGCAACTTCTTGAAGTTGTCACTTCAAAAAACGATGCCTCGTTGACCATCTGCACAGTAAACTTATACTGCAAATAGGCTTTTAAAATTCTCATGTTAAAAGTCTAGAATAAACAGTGAAAAATATTTTCGAATAAAACTCATTAGCTACGCATCGAAAAGTGTGCAAAAACCTGAACATGACATCTTCGCAAAAAGTGATGCTTGTAATGAATGTGGGAAGCATTTTACGGCTGTAAAAGCTTAAATTAAACTTAGATGTTGTAGTCACGATCGTGTTTTGAGCTAATTTTATAAATGAACAAACTCAAAACAATATACAGAGAAGCCGTTTCTTGAAAATTTTTATTCAGCGAAAAGTTAATCCTCTAAAGCAATCCGGAAAACACTATCTGGATCGTGGATCCGTTCACTCAAGTGAAATGGGCTAAGCACACGGCAAAATTCAACACAAAGTCCATCTCAAATCAGGGCACATTTTGTAATTTTTCCTTAGCGCCGAAGAGAAAAATTTATAAAACGTCTATGAAACATTTAAAAATACATAAATTCCCTTTCACAAACGTACTTGTCTTGGCCATAGAGTGCAAAATGTACCTGAAAATTCAGCAAAAACTTCGCTGACTTGGTTGCATTTCAAAACAGACCATGGGCTCCGCCGTGAAGAAAACAAGGTTGAATTCCTCGAAGGACGATTTCTAGATGAAAAGCTTCCCTTTCTCCACAAAAAGAAAACTGAGAATTCTTTTGAACTTTCTCTTTCCATTTTTTGTCTTTTAACGGTGTATTTTTAACCGTGAAATGCAGAACTCTTGTCTTAAAACATCTGCATGGAGATCGCGCAACAGCCATTTTGTTGAAAATGGATATCCGTCACTAAGGTTTCCAAATATGGTCAAAATGAATATTCACGAGCATTGAACGCGAGTTACACGTTTCAACCCCTTATGAGTTTCTGGTCTCTTACCACACCCCGATCTCCTTTCTTATGGCATTTTCCCCTCATTACTTGGCCTCCTGTCTCCCTTACGCCTATCATCTCCCTTACCCCATCACTATCTTACGTCCCCCTTCCTTTCACTCTCTCACCCACTCACCCACGGCAATTATTTCCGGGCGACCAGAGGAGCTATTACGCATGCGCGACACGTATGCAGCCAGCATTCGTTTGTACTTCTACTATTCGTCAAGTCATCAAGGAAAATTGGGAGCAAGCAGAGTGTCTTCTAACTTACCAGAGGGTAGAGCAGCTAAAAGAGATGGTAAAGCCACGTGGTAGATCACGTCCTCTAGTGAGAAGCAACTTCTGGCAATAAGCAGGGCTGTAAATGTAGCTACTGACTCATGGATTGATAAATCTCCTACCTGTGGTGGGTGAAACAACGCTTTGTCACTAGGTAATCGCTTTAACCCCTTGGCAACGGATCGGGTCATTTTAGGTCAGTATGGAACGACGCAGATTATGTATCTGAGGACAAAATCCACTACCAATTTCGATATTCACCTAAGACTCATTCCAGATAAATTTCCCAATTTCCGGCTCATCTCCGGTGTAATAGTGTTATATAATTTAGTACTCACAGCTGACGTAAAACAAAGAAAACAACACATCCTTAACAATGAACCCAACCCTGACAATAGTCCATAAAACAAAGAAAACGAATAAATTATATTACACCGGCGATGACCCTAACTGCCTGGAGAACGAACAGTTAGCCAGCCGACATAAAGAAATACGATTAAGAAGAGTAAGTGCAACAAAACTAGATATAGAAAACAAAGGAAACGGTAAGCAAGAGAGAAAGAAAGAAGGATCGAAATAGATTCGTCCAAATTTTGATTACTGTACATGCGCCAAAATAAAAAAAATGCAGCTTCATTACATCCAGTTAGAAGGGAGATTTCCAAAACTGTCAAAATTACTTAACATTATGGCAAAATTATCGGTTACCACTCAGGTTCTGGTGAGTTTACTCACATCTACTTCCAAGAGCAAGTCAACAAAACCAGATGAACTGTTCGATGAGCAGCACAGAGCTCTTAGGACTCCAAGCCATTCAGAACTGAGCCTACCATGGTGCGCTGTAACTTCGGCGCACAACACACCAATGTCATACAACCTGCAGATGATACAATAATAAAAAGAAAGTAAAAAATCTGTACCATTGTGAAAACAACAACAAAAAAATTTTATTCAAACTAAATGCATCTTTCCTCTCCTAAGTTAGCATTCTTGAGAGCCACAAACGTAGAAGTCATCAGAGAAGCTGATGGGGATCCTGTGCACTGGATATACTTTTTCTACAAACTCACCTTTCACTACTTTGACAGTTACACACATTCATCATGGCGTTGCACACAAAGCTGTACACATCAGAGGGTTTTTCATGGTTATGGAGGTATTCCCAGATGCCGTCAAGCCGCTTGGTTCTGAAACGTAACATCAGATTTGTGAAATCATGGAAACTGATGCTAGATACCCTGTAAGGCCCTGTTTACAAGGAGGGAGGGAAACCCTGGTGCTAGGGTTACACTTGCAAGAGGGTTACCATAGCACTCCCATATTTCTTCTTTTTTACGACACGTGTTTACAAGGCAGGTAGGGTTATCCTAGCACTAGGGTAACCCTACCGGGATGTAAAGGTTACCCTAGCAAGAGGGTTACCCTACCTGCCTTGTAAACGCTCCGCTAGGGATAGCTCGCCTACCCGTGGAAACTTTCCTCCGTCATGAGAGACAGTAATCTTGACAACTTGAATGGAGTTATCCAATTTCTGAGCCAAATTATAAACATCTGAACAATAGTAACTATTTTCTGTATACGATGATAATATTTTTCCGTTTTATTGTGAATTTAAGGTGTTCGCCATAGAGAGCTTCAAGTTTGCTTGACAAAACACGTCAGTAAAGCTGGTAAAGTTGACCCGGGTGATAGGGTGACGTTTCTGTGAAATCACGGCTTGTAAACCCGGGCTATCTTTAACCCACTTACTAGGGTAACCCTAGCACAAGGGTAACCATCTCTTTTTGTAAACAGGCCCCACTCCAGTATGGTGACACGTCAATTCTTGGTTTGCAACCACGTGACAAGGCGGCCATGTTGGGGGTCAAAACAAAATAATATTTCCTCGAAGAATTTACCCTTTACCCACAAATTGGCCCTTGCTCACCATAGAGTCTCCAGTAGCTCAAGTGGTTAGAGCATCCGACTAGATCACGGAGGGTCGTGGGTTCAAATCCCACCTGGGACTCGGATTTTTTTTTTCCGAGTCCTCCTCAAATTAATATCATGTTGTTGTTGTTTCATCTTTAATATACTCACTTTGGAGGTTGGTTGGCCGCATCTTGGATATGCTTTAAGGTGACAGCGCGATGCTGTTAGTGAGTTCTTCACTTCTTGTGTGCCAGTCATTGCTTGGCTGTGTAGCCGCGTGATGCGGTTCCAGTCGAGACCCACAAATTGGCCCTTGCTCACCATAGAGTCTCCAGTAGCTCAAGTGGTTAGAGCATCCGACTAGATCACGGAGGGTCGTGGGTTCAAATCCCACCTGGGACTCGGATTTTTTTTTTCCGAGTCCTCCTCAAATTAATATCATGTTGTTGTTGTTTCATCTTTAATATACTCACTTTGGAGGTTGGTTGGCCGCATCTTGGATATGCTTTAAGGTGACAGCGCGATGCTGTTAGTGAGTTCTTCACTTCTTGTGTGCCAGTCATTGCTTGGCTGTGTAGCCGCGTGATGTTCCAGTCGAGACCCACATCACCTTGCTCACCATAGAGTCTCCAGTAGCTCAAGTGGTTAGAGCATCCGACTAGATCACGGAGGGTCGTGGGTTCAAATCCCACCTGGGACTCGGATTTTTTTTTTTTCCGAGTCCTCCTCAAATTAATATCATGTTGTTGTTGTACTTTGAGGTTGGTTGGCCGCATCTTGGATATGCTTTAAGGTGACAGCGCGATGCTGTTAGTGAGTTCTTCAACCATTGCTTGGCTGTGTAGCCGCGTGATGCGGTTCCAGTCGAAACAGGCCCCATAGAGTCTCCAGCTATGGTGACACGTGGGTTCAACCTGGGACTCGGTATGGAATTTTCATGCGTTCTCGTCAGAGTTTAGTTCAGAAACTTTTGTTTTCGCCGCCGTGACGTCACGGCAAAACCCAATAGTATGGAATGCTCGCCATTTCGCGGGAAAATGTCAGCGAAATGTCAGCTGTTTTCTCAGACTATAACATTAACTGAAAAAGGGAGCAGTTTCTGACCTTGGATTCTGGAAATATTCTGCCATAAACTTCGAGTCATAAGGTTCTGTACAAGCTGATGGTGTGGTGCTTGAACACACAGCTTGTTTGATCTTGGTGTAGGCCGTACTGAAGATGTCTGCATATTTCATCTAAATAAAGAGCAAATTATAAAGTATTACGTAAGAGTAAATAATAGGGAGCTTAAATAACTTTGACGACAACGACAACGTCAAAAAACAATTGGTTTTATGAGCAAAACAAAAGCTCTGCACGTGCATCACGCTTTTTAGTACATTTCTTTGACGTCCACTGCACGACTATGACGTGAAACCTCCTAATGCGACGTTTTATGAAGGACGTGAACACACGACGACAAATTTTCCTGTCTCTTTTTGAACCTGGACAAAGTCCTTAAGAATTCAACTCCAGGAGGAATCGCCTACATTTGACAAATTGAGCGGGTGCAAATAGGCGCGATACAGTTTGAAAGGAGGCAAATTCATGTTTTTAAGAGACGTTTTCACTGCCATCGTCGTCGTCTTTGCTCAAGCTCCTGAGTACTGAGTGTGGAGAGAAAGCCTTTTTGATTTTAGGGCAATCTGTGCTGAAGATATCTGGATATTTCGCACAAGTGAAATTTTTGTAAGTTTCACGCGCATTCGGAAATTTACGAAACCTCAATAGGACGTTTCTACACGCACCCTTCATGGGTTGTAGAATAAGGAAATTACTAATCTAACGTTTGGGCCAGGAAGATGGAAAAAAAAACCGTTCGATGAGGTTCCGCTACTTCAGCGCCCTGCAATTCTCAACAACGTCAAAACAAGACTGAATTTAAAAAAGCTGCGTCATGCGGGCAATTGATCAAAATTAAAAGAGCGGGAACTGCAAGCAAATTGAGTCAAACAAAAATAACTTCTCAAAACATTAAAATAAGGTATAAAAAACACAGCAAATACAAATGGAGGCAATGATGGAGAAACGTGAAAATTGAAACAGATTGTAATATTGTGTCCTCTGTTTTTCTTTTCTTTTTTTTTTTCATTTGTTAGCCTAACAAATTTTCCAACTCCATTTTTGTTGTTTATAACGTTTGATATAACGCTAGGGAGACATATTTGTTTGACATGAGGCAGTGATTTAGTCATTCACAGTCGTTTCATAGCTAACAAGGACGCGTAATTGGCATCATTGGCAAAATAAATTGGACAGTCACGACAAAGTCCCTTTAAGGTGATGTTACACGGGACGATTCGCAACGTCGATTTTTAGCGCAACACAGCATTACAACATTGTTTCGAATGGTTACAACATTGTTCCAACATTGGTACGCTGTGTTGCGCTCAAAAGCGTCGTTGCGAATCGTCTCGTGTAACATCACCTTTAAGTTCATCACATCAATCTTACTCTGAGGTGACCACAAGTTGAATACAAGTCAAACAACAGTGCCAGGATGCATCTCTCCGACGAAGAACAGATGCCAGGATAAGCAATATTTTCCACTGCTGCAAGGAGACTGTAAGGAAAATAATGTTATTGTTGTTCTTTAGTAACTTCAAGATAAGCTCAGGTAATAGGACTTAAGCCTGTAAAGCGTGACGTCAGGGGGTTCGATCCCGGCATTCATTAACAATTTCACAAATTGATCCTGATAATGGACACAACCCTTCCCTCACAACCATTTTCTTCACACATTTATTTAAATGCTTTCAGCATCAGCAAGTCTCATGCAGTGTGGAAGAGGTGAGAGGCAGAGAACTTGCTCGCAGGTCATCTGGACCTGGGTAGTGGTACGTCATCAGTATGGAATAATTTTCTACCCACGTTCCCTCAGACGTCATTTCGTGGAAAAACTAATCGCGACTTCCCGAATTGTCGGCTGTTTTCTCAGGACGCTTTCCATTTGTTAGAACTGACCTGCCAGACCATTCCCGTCGTAATGAATTTCACTTTTATAATCATCATCATCATCATCATCATCAATCTTTATTTATACATGAAATCGTATCATTTTTACATGGTCTTCCTAGGAATCGTGTGGAAAATTAAACTAAAGTACTCTAAGGAACTACTTGACTATAAAGTTAAAAATACAAAAACTTTATTTAGTTGCAATGAGTCATGGTGTATTAAGACAATCTTTCCCATGAAATGAAGTTTTAAAACATTTAAACTACGGTGGGCAGGTTTCTAATCTCTGAGCGAATCTTGTTCCACAGAACAGATCCTCTGTAGTACAGGCTCTCTTTTGCAGACTCAGTTCTGGGTCTGGGGACATAATAATTTAACTCAGAATTTCTATGATTGTGTGAGTGTACATTTGAGGTGTTGGCAAAGATCCGCCTCAGATACGACGGGGAAAGATCATTATGGATTTCATACATTGTCAAAGCCAACTGTTTAAGTCTTACATATTCTAGCCTTTCCCAGCCAAGCTCGTCAAATCCTAAATAGTATGCACGAAGGAGATGGTTTTCAGTAAAAATCCTTCGGAAAAAGTCGATTTCACTTGCTAACTGACTGGTCCGGCAATGGTCCGGCCGGCCAGTTCTGACAAATGGAAAGTGGACTAACTTACCCTCTGAATATCCTGGTAGTGTGTTCTGGAAGCAGCATCAAGCTACCGTGATATTTCCGCAGCATTGCCACCACAATGGTGGATTTGGTTGGTAAGGTCCCAACCACTGATTTAACAAGCGCGACTTGAGTGGTTAAAATGTCATCTTCGCTTGGCATAAGAACAAATGCCACAAAGTCCAGCAGGCCGTGTACATCACCAGCAAGTTCATACAAGTCGTACAAGAATTCCACCTGGTTGACTGTTGGAGCTAACGAGACTAAACCAAAGGTCCTGGGTTGTTTGGCTTTCTGATCTTTCACGATATTGGCACATTTTGCTACAGCAAGGTACTGGTCGAAGCAGGTCAAATTGGAGAATTTGCTGTCAAAATAGAAGAAAAAAGTGGGCGATTAATTAAAATTGTGGCTGTTATGTTTTACTAGAAAGTCTTCAAGGCTTACAACGGTTTTCAGAAAGAAAGAAACCTGTAAACTGACCGATAAAACCATCATGCGATCGTGTTACAAAGATGGCAAAACATTATCCAGTGCTCCGGAAAACAGCTGAAGGCGATGACCATGGAAAAGTAATATCGAATAAGAGAAGCTTAGTCTTTCGGTTTGGTACAATTCTTTTCACGCCCTACACCTCTCCCCACAGCGATGAATTAGCTCTCTGGTGTACTAGGAATTCCCCCCTCCTACCGCCTCGGGCTGAGTCCACCGTCTCTTCCATATTAGAAGTATATACAAGGGAAGCTCCGCCCGGTAGGGGTACCTTTTTCAGGCAGGGGTACTTTTTTGCAGGATAGGGCATTTTTAGCATTTAAAAGGGATGCAGAAATTTTTTTTTCGCAAAGAAGATATACAAAAAGGGTACCTTTTTCGTGAAAAAATGGTAGATAAAAGGGCAAAGGGGTGGTCCTCGGGGTGGAACCTCCCCGTATAAACATTTGTTGAGTACCCCCACCCCCCCTCGGGGGGGCTATGCCTTGCACGAGGTAATATTTAGTTCAATTCATTGCTGAAGTCATTACTTATTAGTGCCTTTACCCTTACAAAAGATCTGGTTCCTTTAGAGTTATGAAGATATCCAAAAAAGTGTTATCAGGAAGCATTAATTATCACTTTTTTTGTTGATTTTTGCAGCCATGGAATTTAACCTTGAAGAGGTTGCCCCAACTTTTTCAAATTTCTATCCATATCCATCCTTGCCATCCGTGGCAACCAACAACAGGAAACAGTTTCAATAGCTAACTACAGTCTCAAAAAACAAAATTACATCATTATTTTTTGAATTCACTTGAAGTGAAGACGCATTTTAGCTCCTCGAAAAAGGAGAAAATGACGTGACAGAGCCCATTTACGTAAGTACATGTTAGGCATTCACCTGTAAAGTACTGCTCTTTTTTCATCTCTCTCACGTTTCAACTGAACATGTTCACTGTTCTGTGCACCGTCAGCACCAAGCCCAGAGTCGTCCAGCCTTCCCAGCTCATTCAGCATCGCGCACAACGCTTTGGTTACTTCTTTTGAGGTGGCTATTGCTTTGGTTCTTGCTTTGCCAACACCATGCAGCAAAACAAGTCGCTGACTGCTATCATGTGCTGTGATGCTCTCAAATGGGATGGGGAAATGTTGTGCATATTGGGTATGCTGTGACTTTTTTGGAAGGTTGCAGGGGGATTCCATCGGCCAATTGTCTCTTTGATCAACGCTGGCCAAGGAAGTTGGATTCATCAGGCCACCGTCTAGCTTGGTGCCATTTGCAACAGCTGGATGAACACAAAAATAAACGAGTTGCGATTAGTCACGGGGGTATGAACTAAACCGGACCAACCTCGTCGCTTTTCCCAGCCAATCGGATAAATCGACAAAACGCCTTATACATGTGAATGCAGTGGACCCTTACGTACACAACATTTCTGTACCTGACAGATCAGCCGTTAATATCGGAGCTTCGTGGTCCATAAAGATTTCATTGTCACCCTGATCTAGTAGCTGTATAAGTCTTTCTTGATGAACAAGAAGTTCCTGGTCCAGCAGTTGCTGAGTAATCTTTTGTTCACTGTCACTGCTACTATCCTTACGACCGTCATCTTCATGGCAAGACTGAGAAAATAACAGGACCATTATCAGTAATGTAAGCCTTGCAACTACACAGCATATGGCATTCATATGATATATGCGCCATTTACCATGGAGGGATATTGTGCAAGTTCGTCTCGGTCTATAAAAACGCAAACAAGAACGAGGCCAATATCCAGCCATCATGACCGAACAAGCTTGGTCAAAAAAGGATTTATTATGAGGCCAAAAAGAAAACCAACTTATTGGTTCATAATACACCAATCACTAGCAATCACGGTGGTACTAATAGTCCCACTGAGTAAATCGACACTATCGCCTGATGAAGACCTGTAGTACGCGGTCGAAACCGGTCATGATCAATAACTGACCGTCGTGACAGAACGATAAAAGGAAACCCTTTTTGCACATACCACGATAAACAATATCTTTCATGAGATGAACTACATTGCAAAAAAATGCATAGAGCCTGCCATCGCTCATAAGTGCACTCACAAACTCATCACCTTATAATAAGTGGATCATTAAAATGGTACAAAATGGTTAGCCTGGACATAAAGTAAAATAATCGCAAATACCGGCGAGAAGGTGCGTGACTTAAAACGAAAGGCACATTTGTGCACAGGTCTCCTTCTGACTGGAATTTGTGAATATATTTACCATAGGTAGAGGCTAATCCTTTATAAATGAGTCTTCATCCGCGACCAATTAGAAACTGCACTATCATTTGTCACTTTTGGTGGCAAAGTAATGAACACGGTGCCACAAGGCGTGGTATATTGCAGATTTAGCTCTTCACTGTATCTGAGTTAAATACAAAGAATACTTTGGCTGATCATAGTCAATAAGGTGGAATGGTTATCATGAAGCCCGTGAGACTTTGTTATATGTTTTTTGTGGACTTCTTGATGGTGCACAACGATCCAATAGGATTCCTATTTTTTTGATCTTGCTGATCAATAAAAACGTCCCATTAGTTAATTCTGTCCAATGAATTGGCCATTTCCGAGTTCCTAACTCTCACTTTCAAAACGAGGTTAAGTTAGCCTACGTAGTAAACGGAATTTTCGGTTTGGCCGTGCGAGAAATGGATCGAGAGCCAAACAGTGAAAGACGGGAGAGGGGAAGGGGAAGGAAGGAAACCTTACCTTTCTTTCCCACCCCTTCCCCGGTCTTTTACTCGCGCCATTTTTCATGCGGTCTTTGACTCTCGTTCCTTGTTCTTTGCTCCGAAACCGCACGGAAACGCTTGCTACACAGGCTAAAATTAAGTGCAAAACCTTTATGGTGAAAATGAGCTTTATTTGCGTGAGAATAAAAACAATCATTTTCAAATCAATGGCTTTTCACTTAGCCTCGGTTTGAAACAGAGGCTTAAGACAGCTGGGGAAATGGCCTGTTGTGCACCTATGAGCTGATGCATTTTCAAAAGCAAACGTACCAGGCTATGAATGTCTATTCCCCCCTGCGCATCTCCTTCCTGCACACACTCTTCAATACCCATAGGTTCAGCTTCAGGAGGGTGCTCCAGGAGGGTGCTCCGGGGTGGGGATGGGATGGACACAGCGGCAGTGGGTTGCAGGTCTCCTCTTGAGATCAGAGTGCACATGTAGGCATTGTGGGAAAACACTTCATTTCTGATCAGTTCCCCAAAAAGAAGAGTGAGCTGTGCGAAGCTTGGATGCGTCTTGTTGTGTTGGTAACCACCATCTGCGAATAAATACCGCATTTAGTCGATTAAACACCGCGGAGTTAATAAGAATCTTGGCGTTTTCGATGCGACGTTTAATAGAGGGCAGCGTTTATGTCAAATCACATTTCTTACAGATAACCGACAAGAACAACGATAAATCATTTTTTCTTATAGTGTTTATTCGAGAGCGTTTTCCCCGCAGATACTCCTTAAAACGTGGATGACATCTGCCTTGCATTTGTTTTAGTCAGTAATTCAGCTACTTCGTCTACGGATAGCCTCGAACTCTTTTGCCCTTTTTTTGAGTTAATTCATGCCAAAACAGCTGGCTGCCGCGCAGATGCCTGGAAACGAGGTTTGCGATTGTATATTGGGGCAATAAACCATTGTATGGCCTTATGCACCTACTGGCGCGACGACACTTGATGATAATGATCATACCATCGGATCAAAGGCATATGGCTTGCATCTTCAAAATTATAGGCAGCGCCCGCTGATTATCAAGAAAATTTAAGAGCCGGGGGATTACGCCCAACCAGAAACGGCAAAATATTTTGAAAAGAATCATAATAAACATTAAAACAAGCAGATATAGAGGTAAACTCACCAACCACAGGCGCATAGTTGTCCAAGAAATTCATAAGAACTTTTTGGAAACAGGGCACCGTACACGCTGAAACAGATCCAACATTTGATGATGTACTCTCCTGGCCTTGTTCATTTGAACTTTCTCTCTGATGAAATCAAAAGGGTTGGAATGTAAAAGTCTCCTTTAGTACCAAGCAATTTTTTTTAACATAAAAATAATCCTTTTCATAATATGCGACAAATTGTGAAAGCCGATAAGCTCATGGGGGTGTTTTAAGTACCGTTTAAAAAACGAGGTGGAGTGTATTTTTGTTTTTTTAACCTGACAACACACAACTGCGAGTTTTTTAAACGGCTTCAAAATCTCTGATATAGACGAACTCATTCTTACACTAATATTTAGATTTGGGATTACTTTGGCCTAAAGAATTGGACGCAAAGTTCTTTAATTTTAACACATTCTCCCTATCAGTACCAAAGAAATGTATGGAGGACAGTGTGGAGAACATCTATGCTGATAGTAGATCTCTGTCGTCTTACCTCTTCAAGAATTTCTGCTTGCCTTCTTTGTAATAACGTAGCAACTGCTAGAGCTCGGTATTTTCCAACACGATATTTGCTGACAGCCCATTCAAAAAGGAGAAGAGCAATGGCCTCATCAGTAGCTGATGCCTTGAATAAATTTTAAAAGACAAGCACATATAGTTAGATTTCACATATACCCAGTTCAAAATTTGAACTGTGGCTTTTTCATGAGGCTAAGCGAGGTCCTGTCACAAGGCATGTATTTAACAATTATTCCCCGAGCCCGAATGAGCTATTGACTCAGAGCCCATTCGGGAGAGAGGAATAATTGTTTTAGTAAAATCCAACTGGTTGGTAAAAAATATCGAGACAAAACAACTTTAGCTGGAGAAAGCTAGACTTAAATCCTTTTTTGCCACCAAAAAGCCTGGGCTTTGTGGGCTTTTGTGGGCTATAACATATAGCTTAGTAGTAGCTCAACCAATCAGAACGCAGCATTGATGATAGACCACTAGTTGGATTTTACTCAAGTACAATAGCCTGCAATTTAGCATTCACCGCGTTCCACTTAACATGGCCAACATGCTCCAAGATCTTCTAAGAAGCTACCAAATGTGCGACAGGAGTCATTTGCTTGTTCCTCTGTTTATTTATTTTTTTCTTTTTGCCCGGGCATGTTTTTGCAAAATTTTGAATTTTGATTGACTTATGATTAAAAGCTGCATTACAATATTTCATCCAATTTTACAATTCGCAGCACACAATGCTGCTAAAAAAATGGCAGGAGATCGTACAGTACAATCGTACAATACCGTTTAAAATATTGCAGGTAAACCATTTTAGAGGGGTGGCCACTCTGTGCACAATATTGACATCTACATAGGCGTAATTATTTATGGGTTAAGAGCAGATGGTGACAAGTCCCCTTCCCCATCCCCTCTCTACCAAGAAAAAGAGAAAATTGTCCATGATTTACTTTTGTTTTATTTAACAGAACGTTCCTAAAACTCTGTCTTGTAGGGCCTTAATTTCTGGGCACGAACTCCAGGGTTCTGTAATCAATAACTGGTACCTCATAAAACCATATTTTTCAGTGGAGGGAGAACTAGGATGGGTGTAGCACCCCCTAGACTTTAAATTACCCCCCCACCCACCCCTCTCTTTCCCCCCTCCTTGTTTCCTGGAACCTTCGTGGTCTGTTTGGGTCTTACATAATTGTAGTAATATAAAGTTCTTTACCTGTCCTCCAGATTTTGTGGAGTCTGCAAAAATCTTGCTGTAAAGTGTGTCGATGGAATTTGAGGAATCTGCGCGGTGAAAGTTGTAACGGTCTAGGGTCTCTAACGTGTTCAGCACCCTCTTGACAGCTAAAACTGAAATAGAGACGGCTAAAATAAATGGAGAGAATTAGCAAAGTGATACTGTTTTACTAAGTAACATTTTTAGTTTTAATTCTACTGAAGAGGTGAGATTAAAACTGCTTGTTCAAAGTGACTTGTATGGAGCTTTGCGTAATAAAAATAATACAAAAATTAACAGCGATTTTTTGTTGATCTTTTTAAGCACCATATAAAATAAATATGGTACCTTAAAGTCATAGTACGGTAACTAATGTATTGAAATTGGCTCTAAAATGTCAGGAAGCAATCATTTTTCAATAATCTCTATGTGATGGCTGTGGCTATAAAAATGAATCCTTTCTAGCATACCTTTCAAGAGTGTGTTTTGATTATTTGTTTGTTTGTTTTTTTTGTCCCACAGGCTACTAATAAACATTACGATAATTTGACTTTTATTACACTTGGGAATAATTTATAAGGGTATACAAGTTAACGAACAGGGTTCCCATTAAGTGCTGGCAGCCGGCTAAAAATATGGCTGCTTGGAGGTTTGAGCCGTCTCCTTTTTGGGAAAATACAGTACAGTGAAGTGAGAGTGAAAGCCTGAAATTGCCTACAGCACTCAATTACCAAGCCGCCTACTTTCATATCCAAGCTGTCTACTTAAAAATGCAATGAGAACTCTGATGAAAAATAGGGTTGAAAATCATTTTTACATTTTGTTCCTAAAACTCATGCTAGCAAAGGACTTGGTACTTGCATGGGCCAAATAATTCAAGCATGTGTAAGTCACTTTGAATGTTATAATTTCACCTCTTCAAACAAAATTCAATGTGGATTGCAATATAAACAAGTTGTTACTGAATAAAGCTGTAAGGGCAACTTTATCAATGCAGAACCAAAAAAAAATAATGCTAGCTAGTTATGGCAGTGCAATACATGCATTAGATTAATTTAACTGATATTTACATAAAAAAACAGACTAGCCACACAATTATATTATTTTTAATAAAAAGAAACAAAACAGACATTAACCTTATCAATAATTATTTACAGACTTGCAGACTTGAATAGTAGATTAATTTTATAGCCATGCAACAAAGAGAGGCATGCCAAAACAAAAATAAAATAAAATAAATCAAAATAAAATAAAATAAAATTAGGCAGTGCAGCCAGCTAGCTGATTACATAAAATTGCCAGTGAAAAACCATGAGCAGGTGTCAAAGTAAGGTCGATTGAGTGCAACATGTCATGACATAAAATAAAAAACACCAGTCCGATATAACCATTCCCAGTTAGTGTGTGAAACAACTCAGTTGAAGTCATCTTAGTGCAATTAAGACACAAGTTTGATGCACATTCACAAGAAGAAACTGTGCAAGGTTGGACACAGGTGCCCTACTGCAAAGTTGGTGAGCCTGTGGTGACTTAGAATCAAAAGATCAATGGTTAAAAAAAATAGCTCATTACAATCTGTCTGTCTGTCTGTCTGAACACTAAGATCTTCTTTTAATTTCACTCACTGACTTCAATAACTGATTCTACATTCTTGTTAGTTTACTAAGAATATGTAGGTTGATCAGTAGTGAACTACAGTAACAGAAGGAATTAGTGGTTATGTATGGAATTAATTCTCTTGCCCTCTTCATGCTGAAAGTACTTTCGTCATGGCCTTTACCAGTCAGGATATTAGTCTTCAACATTAGTCTTTAGCATTAGCATTTTGTCTAAGGCCTGGTTCAGACACCATACTTTTCATGTGCCAAACCTAACTGAATAAGTTCAACTTTGGAGTGACACTGGCACGACATCTGATTCAGACTGCACACCGTGTGTCGAGCCTAAGTTACGTTTGACAAAAGTTCGAACTTTTGCCACTTCAAATGCTTTTGCTGCACCTAACTAAAACTGCTGTACCGAATTGATTCGGACGCCGCTCTTTTGCTATACTAAATCAGTTAGGTTCGGCACTCGAGTGGAGTGGCATCTGAACCGGGCCCAAGAAACTGTATAATTTGCTACATGACAGACTTATTTTGCTGAATATTATGTGATCAGCCTCCTGGCAATTTCAAAACATTTCCCAGTATTTTTCATACCAAAGCGACTGCCGATACCAACCAAGCTAACCTTTACACCAGCTTCCATAACCACAACAATGATGCAAAATTATAGCCAGAGAGTAATATGTGACATGCCCAATATATGTTTGATGTTTTTTTTGTTTGCATATAGCTTCACTGCCTTCCTTATGGTGGATTCATTTGCAGCTTCACCCATTCACTCCTGGGATTTTTGCAAAAAAAAAAAAGGTTTATGAAGCAAGTTAAGCCATTTGTTTTTCCAGTCACTGCCTGACTACTGAAGAGCCAGAACTGCTCAAAACACTGTTTATCTGTCAAGCACTTCACATCCAGATGCAAAATATATCAGCTTCCAAATTTCAAGCATGCACAGAAAGCAAAATTTCAAGATAGTTTTTGGGTTTTAAAGTGAGAGAGCAGTCTTGACTTTCACTTATCACTTTCTCACCTCCTCTCTTCTTTCACTTTATTTCTTGCCCCATTTTTTCCCTTTTGCTGGGCATTTACTATGCTTTATTTCGGTGGAAACATTTTTGGGAAAATTTTTAGGATTGTAGGATTAGATGCAAGAAAGTGCAGGTGTGAGTACTGGAACAAGATCATCGGAATTTGTGGGTCAATGTTACATTTTTTCCTCTGGCCTCCTTGACTGAATCATACTTATTCTGAATTGGTTTGAAAGTTCTCATTCCCTTGGACACCTTAGATGACAAAGACAAGTTGACCTTGACCATCAAAACTGATGACATTACATGAGGTAGAAGGGACATGGATCAGCAGAGGCAGTAATGGATGGTTCAGGGGTGAATATGGGTTGATTTGAAGACTGTAATAACTGTTGCACTTTCATTTGTGATGGATATACTTGCAGATTGCAAGCTGCAAATGAATCCTCCCTTAATATAAATAGCTAACAAGATTAAAATTAAAAAGTACTTAATGTTATTAACTATAACACAGTAAATAACTGTTATTAACTAAAGTAAGATATTATTAAACAGATTAACAATGATGACAAAGATTCAATAGCCCACTATCTAAAATAATTAAATAAAATTAATAATATAATCTTGTGCTTAGTATTACCAGTATAACTGTGTATAAAAAGATAGAATGGAAGTTAGTGAAAGAATTATCAGGTTACTGCTTCCTTGAATAAGCACCCACGCTCTGATAAGTGCCCTCACCCAAATAAGCACCCACCCCATTGGCTATAGTATCAAACAGGTGCCCTCTCTCTCCTCCCCTTCACTTTCTTGATAAAATAATAGTAGGGATAAGAGACAAATGTAACAATCTGTACATCATAATGACGAGGATGATCTACAGGATGATGAGAAAACATACCATAACTACATACTGTATTTTATAAGCATCAGGGGCAGATCCAGGGGGAGGGTGCAGGGGGTGTGCACCCCCCCTCCCCCGATGACCCGCGGTTTTCAAATCCAACTGGTATTCTGCCAAAAAAAAACTATGTGGTTTATTGGTGTTGAAGTAGAGCAAGAGATGAGTGCACCCCCTCCTAACAAAAATCCTGGATCGGCCCCAGAGCATGTATAACGATACATCTGTATGTTAGTGTATACTAGGACTACCAACCATTTTTTATCAAACCATTTAGATTTAGCCATTATGTAGGCAACATTTATTTAAAGGAATATTACAAGACATGCAGACAAAATAGTGTAAGACATGTACTTATAATCTAACTATGCCATATTTATTATGGGCACTTTATAATAATAAAATAATACAATAATGTATTATATTAATGTGTGGCCTTAATTTAACTTCTATGTGTGACTAATACTAATTTAAAGCAACACTTAAAAGAAATTCATGCATACTTTAACCATCAGTTCTAAAAATCACATAAATATTGTGCACATAAAAAATAAAAACCCATGAACATTTTACTTCAAGCAGGGGTCATGGAAGAAGTCTACAATAAATTTGTAAATGGCATGAAAGTAAAGAATACAGAGAAATTTTGTTTTGCAAAGTACATCTATCTTTAAACTGTCTGCATATTAATTTGAAAGTCAAGAGATTGAAAGAGTAGTTATAGTTAAGAAAAATCTGCCTAGTTCTTTTACCCACCTACCCCTCCCCTAAGCCAACATTAACACTTACTTCTCACTTATGGCAAAATGGTGGCTTAGGGGAGGGGTAGGTGGTCAGTTTCCCAGAAACGTATAATGATCCGTGTACATGGTGCAGGGCTTGAAAAAAGTCTAGTCAAATAGTCCAGAATGAGCTGATTTTCTTGCCAGGCCAGTAATTTTGAAATCACTTGCCTGATTGGCAACCAGGATAAAGGAAGTCATCTTTCAACTAAATCAATAATTGAAACAAGCACATACATAAACAAGTTGTTGCCCAGATAAGCAGAATAAATGCGAGAGCTGCTTGCCCAAATTAAGGATAAGCTGGAATTCAAGACTTTTTTCAAGCCCTGAATGTGTAAAAGGTTTCTTTGCCAAACCACTTACTGTTTGGTGTACATTAATTTTGTTGTACAATATTGAATGAATTTTGAAAGAAGAGAACTCATTCTTACCTGAGGATTTGTCCTGATATTTGTCAGGAGACCAGTGAGATTCTATTGCTTTGCTTCGGGTTTGGATTTCCTCCTCACTTGCAAGCAGAACAGACAGGAGCTGTGAATTTCAAGAAAGGGAATGAGAAAAATAATAACAAATCAATTTCCTGTTTCTTTAAAGTGCACCAATTCATCTTGCTTCTCTACATGTACATGTACGTGATAATTATTTTTATTGCTGTATTATTAATTTTTGAAGTCCCTATTATAGCCTCAATCTTTAAATATCAACACAGCAAACATAGGACTGTCACAGCCTTCCACGAGAGAAACGGGCCCCTTTTTTAGACCCTTTTTTCATTCTCTAATTCGGCAAACTTGGAAAAATGTAATGTGACAATTGCACTTACCAGCAAATAATTATACATCATGTTTCACTTCTGGTTTAGTTGATGATTTAGGTTTAAAATTATGTTATCACTATACCATCAGTGACTTCACTGCTGACTGGAGCCAAACTGTTGGACATCAGTTGACCAAAAGTCAGCTGACAAGTTTTTCAGGGAGCTGTTCTTCACTTTAACTAATTTTATGCAAAATTCATACACGCTTTTTTTAAATGTTACCGGTCAAAATTAAGGTTTAAGGTTAAAACGTATTAATTTAGGTTGATTCTCCTGTCCCTGATTATTCATGAAGTAGGCCTACATGCAGGAGACAAAGGAAATTGAGAATCATCCTAAGTTAAAATAATTTAACTAAATTTAATTTTGACCAATGGCATAATCAACCTCAGAATTCAGGAACCCCTGTGCATTTGCTGATGAAGGAAGTGGCATCTGAGATGGTGCGATGGGTAGCCTGTCCAGTGGAGATCCCAATACAGCAGGTTTATTGGCTGCGGCATCTGCACTACCAACAGCAGAGTTACTGCTATTAGAAGCACTGCCTCCACCACTTGGAATGGAATTCCAGATCAGCGCTCCAGGACAACAAATAGCAATAGTTTGCAAGACTGAACTCAATGACAGGACGAGGGCATGATGTTGTGGGCATGTTTTGTATTGAGAGAGGACAGGAAGTGATGAAGGACTGACAGCTGTCAAACTTGAACTGAATAAAAAAAACATAACAAACTTGAGAAATGATGGGATCAACAGGTCACGAGTATGGGACAAAGAAAAAATCTGAGTCCCCGAGAGGAATTGAACCTATGACCTTCTGTACACCCATCAGATGCTCTAACCACTGAACTATGAAGGACTTGTGGCGAGATGGGCCATATACAAGGTTCATGTATGACATGCATCCCGGGTACTGCTAGGATCTTCACTAAGCGAAGAGTTGAATTGGCCATCATTCTTTATTTATCACACACATGATGATTTCAATATTGCTGATCCTAGCAGTATGCGGAACTGTATGACATTGTTTTAAAAACTATATTATAATTTATTTCAAAAAAACTGGTCCAATACTCCTGTTTACCTTTCTGATGTGATGGATGGTACTGGACTTGGCACTGATGTGCTACTAGTCTTGTTTGTGCTGCTTGTACCTCCCTGATTCTGTTGCTCAGACTGCATCTGTTCAGCATTAGAGTATAGCGTAGACAGCTTCTTGGAACACACCTGCGCAAGACTCCTGGCAAGTGTTTGGGACAAGACTATCTGGTCAACATACTGAAATGAGTGTTCAAAAAAGTAATCATTAATTAAACTCATCAACATAAGATCAGCTCAGGAGCTGGTGCTTTAAGGTTGGTGGACTTGGGCAGCACCATGTGTGTATTGGGTACTGTATGGGAAAGGAGGCATCTAGTTTTCAGAGAGTTTTTTTTTCCTTTTGATAGTTGACAAATATGAGATGGGGGTGTCTGGTCACAGAGGTGGTAAGAAGTGGCAAGTAGTGGCAATGATAATGGCCAATCAGAGCACACATTGCATCTTGGAGAGCACATACATGTGCTGTAATACATTTCTGTCTCCTTCCTGAAATACATACCCTTAACAAGAGTGGGATTAAATATTTTAGCAGCAGATCATCAGCATTTTTGCTTTTGTCCAGTAAGTCCAACAGCCACTGAAGAAAATCCTGTCTGTCAAGAAGACTCTCCTGAAAGCATTCATAGGACAATAGCACATAACAGAGTACTACACGGCTGTATATACTGTATGAAGGGATCAACCAATCAAACAACTAACACATCACAGACACTCTCATGTGGACAGCCCTGCTTACAACAGCCTGCAGTTGACAGTGGCCTTCTTATGCAGGGTTAATGACGCCAAGATTTCAAGTTGCAGTAAATACAACAAGTAGGTGAGAAATTAAGCAGCTAGGGGTTTCTTTCGTTTCTATTTTTCTTCTACTTTCCTTTGAAAGTGGTTGGGAGCCACCTCTTAATGACAACCCTGTTATGGGATCGGAGGTATGCATGTCCCTAGTCTGAATTTCAAAAGCGGTCATTTCACATATTGAAGAGTCTGAGGTCATGTTACTATCAGTATTTTACTATTGTATTTGTGATTTTCTTTGTCACTGTCACAGTTTCAACCCATCTCCATGTTGTTGTAACCATTTCACTGCTTCAATGCCATCTGATGTTGCTTGTCAGGATTTTAGAGTAGCCTAACAGGGCCTTCTTGAGAAAACCCTGTTAATGATCTTGCATCCTTTCAATCTTTTTTGCGATTATTAATCCAAATCACCCATTTTCTTAAAAGAAGGGAGTATAGGCTGGAGCTACAGTGAGAGGACCATATCCAAATTCAGAGAGATAATAGTACTAAAATTTATGTACCGGTTCCCTGTTGTTCCCGTTCTTAAGTACATAAGTTTGTGAACTTAAAAGAATACATCGTCGTTAGGAGGGGAAAGAAATTTCAAAGTAGAAAAGTTCTTGTTTTGCTTTCTACACCTCTTCTGGTTTAATAATATTTATCGTTACTTTATTGTAAGAGTTTCTGTTGCCGTCACCGTCATAGTTTTGTAAGGTCCCTAATGTCTTAATGTACCCATAACATCCCACCTCGTACAGCCAGTGTGTTAGTCGCACAGTGTAGTTCCACTGTTTTAGTGCTTGTTCCATTTCAGGAGTCATTCTTTGTTGATGTTGAGTGGAGGTTATCCCACCAAAGTGGCTCTGGTAAAAATCTGCTATCTTGTTCAATTGATCCTTCAGGTATTTTGTTATGGCATGAGTCCAATCTTAAATGATAAAGAAGATACATTCAAATCAGTTTGACTTCCAAACATGTACATGTTCTTATTGTCGCTAGGGGATCTTTTTATTCTTACAGGAACAATACAGTGATTGTTCTTCTTGAAGTTACATGTACATGTTTTATTTTTCCTCACATTCAATTAAGCTATATTGTAGTAATACATGTAGATGTGCATGTGCACGTAAATGTATTATTTGATTTTAATGAGAAGCCCTACTGACCCCTTTAAAACCACTGGCCTAACCTTCTATTCTAATGAGAAAATGAGCTTAAGAAAAAAGGGCTTGTTTATAGATGCAGAAGTCAGTGTACTTGGCATTCCATACCTCACACACACAATGAAAACACATGATCCAAAATAATAGAACACAACAAGATTTAAAAAACCCAACTGGCAGGAGGTGATTAGCAGCCTATTTACAAGTGTGGGAGATGCTTTAAACTCAGGACAACTGAGAAATAAATAATTAAGTGGGCAGAGTGGGACTCAAACAAAGAAACAGTCATTATACAAGTCTGACACGCTCACCACTCAGCCACACTTCCACCTGTTAAGCATCCATAAGCATTATGAATGGTTGTTTGATTTGTATCACCATATTTACAGATTCATTTTTCAGATATTGGTTTTGGTCACAACCAAAAGGCGATAGAAAATCAAAAACAGTTCAGTAAAGACATCAGCCACTTACAATAGGTAAGTCTAAATTTTCATTTGTATAATACCTTGCGCAGGATCTGCCATCACTCTTTTCTTGCCCTTGGATTCACTGATGCCAGTTGTATAAGCTGACGATATTTTTATGAACCATGCTGCCCGAAGCATGGGAATAGAGTACTCACAAAGGCTGCTAAAAATTTCCTCTTTCTTATTAAAGATAGGCACCTAAAAAAGCAAAAAAACAAATTGTTTTGAAGTTTCCCCTTTTTCAATGAATCTTGTGTAACTTGTTACCTAATGGAGATTTATCAAACTCTCAGTCACTCTCACAGTTTTCTATTACACTGTAACAAAAAAAGTCCATAAACAGAAGTTGATATTTTTTCCAAACTGTCTTGCTTAAAATTTGTTGTAATTACTGTCTTGTTCTCACAATGTTTGACTTTATTTGAATTACTTCAGGGAATCAGGACTCAAAAAAAAAAAAACAAAAACAAAAACAAAACAACTTGAATTCCAGCTTTTAGTTGTCCTATGGGCAAGAAATATAATTAGGTAGCCCTCACATTAATTGGCCGGGGTCGCCTCTCGCTCGCCTAGAACCTTTCCCATTGGGCGAATGATCTTTTAATGTACATTGCAACTTGCCCAGCAAGCGAATCTTCTTGTCCTGGACTACCATGGATTTTTTTTCAAGGATGAAAGGGCAAGCAATGGAGTCAAAAGTAATAAAAATATGTTATTTGTCTTTCTTAGGGTAGCAAATGTACATGCATAGTTTTTACCAAACAGCTCCTCATTCTACTAGTCCCTGCATGTACAGTGTGTGATTAAATTGAAATCTGTAATGCATTTATTTTTGTACTAAGAGAGAATCAGGACTCAAGAAAGCAGACTTGAAGGGTTATGACTGCTCAAGTTTAATTACATTTACTTTTATAATCAGTCTCACATTTATTTGTTCATTTTGATAGAAAATACATGTACACAAACAAAAACAACAACAACAACAAACAGATGATACAGAAATGATCATTTTTCCGTGCTTTTGGCCCCGCTGATACATGCAGCTTTTTGCCAGAGTTTTTCAGGTTTTCTGATTTTTCTTTTTTTAATTGGTACATTTATTCATTTTGTTACACTCACCTTCTTTACTAATACAGTGAGGGGTTTGTTCCCTGCTAGATCTTGAAACCAACTGGATATAAATCCACGAGAGCGGGCAGTTGCATGAACCTGATGAGACAGGTAAAGTGAGTATAATCATAATAAAATAAATGTAGAAACTGAGAAGATACATGATTGTACAAGGGGAATGAGATTTCATTCGCAACAATAACAACCACAACAACCACAAGTATTTTTGATGTCTTGATGATGATGACGATAATAGTAATGATGATGATAATGATGATGATGATGATGAGAATGATGCATGAGTAACAAATAAATCAAATATTCATATTGACAAAGATGCTACATGTATGTTGACTTCATAATGTCACAAATATAAACTGTAGACTTATGCAAAAAAAAAACTGAGTACAATTTGAACCCACAGAACCCAATTTACTGGCCGGACAATCTAACCCACACGAAATTGTTTGCAGAGACTATGGAGAAACTTTCTGTAAACTCTAAGCCCCACAAAAACTATATTTAAAAAAATAATATTACAGGTGTATTATTAATGTAAGTGATAGAATACTGTGTGGGTGTTGGCTAGAAAGGAATGACAAAGCAAGGATTAAAAATAATTAGCATCAATTTTTCATTAATTTGATATAGCAAATTAAAAGTTGACTTTTGTATGTATTACGTCAAAATGCACATGTTCTCTTGGTACTTACTGGTACAAAATTGTCCTTGACAGGCTGTGGTTTTCTCTTATTCCCATCTTGTGAAGTATACGTGTTTTGCTTCTGTTTTTCTAATAAAATTGCACTGAAGCTTTGTGTAAACTGTCAAAAAAACACAACCATCTTGAAATAAACAATAGACAGCAAGCAGCCTCTTATTTGTCTTTTAATGCACAACAGATTGAGAGCACGCCTGAGGGGCGAATGGCAAAGCTGCAAGGAATGAGGACGGAAGCCTGAACAAAGAAAAGATAAGAGATGGCGATGGGGTCTTTTACTTGGCGATCTGCTACCTTTCATTCCTACTTCCTTTCTGACAACTGACGCTAGCTTTATTGCCTACTTTTTCTGCTAAACAAACAGCTTGTCTGTGCCCTGCTGTTTGGTTTGCACTAGTTAAACCATTATCAGGTTATCTTGAAAGCCTCAGCTTCCATTTGGAAACTACGGTTGTGTTCGATTGAGAAATCCGGATTTCAGATTTTGCAATCGAACGCGAAATCCGAAAATAGATTTCATCACAGTCATCGGGAGGATTTCAATTAAGAAATCCGAATCTGGATTTCATGGATTTCCTGTTTACCGTTCAATTGGGAAATCAAAAAAGGGATCTGCAAAATTATTCTTGTGAACAGCGGTCTTCTTTTTGCTAATTATGCGTGCGCGTGCAAGACTGCTGTTCTTAAGGACAGTTTTCCAAATCCTTTTTCAGATTTCCCAAAGGAAATCCAAAAACAGACATCTCAGCGTTGAAATCTGTTTTCGGATTTTGCAGTCGATTGCAAATCCGAAATGCGGGTTTTAAAAAAATCCAGATTTCCCAATGGAACACACCCTAGAGCGCAGTTCTTGACCCTTGTTTGTTTGCCATGTGTTGCAAAGTTAGAACCACAGTAAAAATTGAACTCCACTGAGAGTGAGATTTTTTTTGTTCACAGATTGACAAGTAGCCAACCAATCGTGAATTTTCGTTTAGATAAAATCCGTACTCAGATTAATTAACAGGTACTTCAACCTAGTTTCATTCAAAATTTCCTTGGTTCCTCATCCAACCATGAGACAAAGAAGATCTGGGTTGACCTGGATACGGATTTTACACACAAGTCATCTGCGATCCTCAGTTTGTATTTAGCAAATCCAATAAAATTCTGAAGTACCTTTGACAGGGGAACATTACACATGATATCCTTTGCCGATCCATACTGAAAAAAAAAAACACATTCGTCATATTCCCAACACAACACAGACATTTTAACAGGTAAAAGAAAATATTATGAAACGAAATATGGCTTTAATAAAGTCCTACAACCTCGACTGATCCAGAACTGAAAGGCAGGGGTTGGTAGCTAAATCCTTTCTTGACGTTCTCTTCGGTGAGTTCATCCTAGAAAGATCGCGGGCAAATTTAGCATGATAATGATTCACTTCAAACTAGATATTAGTTAAAGCTTACCTCTTTTTGTTTACTGTCTTGTGGGTATACGTCTGGATGGCCCAAACGTGGTCTTTTCAGAGGACGTGGGACCGCCATCTTAGATCGAGTGCGGATCGTGTTGCCCAAAGCCCAAACATTCTCACCCGCGCCCGTGAGCCAGTTGCGGTGTTCTTTATGAACGTCATGCGCGGCTAGCCGGCGAGACGAAAACAAAGATGGCCGCCTCTTTCCGTGCTTTGAACTGTCTTCGTAAGCTAAATATCGGCGGTTTAAGGTCTCCAGCAAGGCTCTTACCAAGGGTATTTGTCATTTTCCATATGCTTGCAGGAGTTTTGTGTGTTTCCTTTGTAGCTAAGTGCCTCTTTGTTTTAGGTTTTGGGTGCCAATGGCTGTCAACATCAGCAAATTCGGGATTTATCTATTCATGAGCACCATAGTATGAAACTTCTTCAAGAAGCAGGAATACTTATACCACAGGGAGGTGTAGCCAGAACTCCAGAACAAGCTTATGAAATCGCTAGTACTATGGGTATGTATTACTAACGAGATTAGCTTCAAAGCTAATCAACTTACTGTATGGAAATACAGTGCAGTGGAACCTCGACTCCGCGTAAAACATTGTATTGGCAGGGTTGTCAGAAAGTTTTGAAGTAGACAGCTGAGTTGTCAAAGTAAGCGGCCAGTCCAAGGATATTTTATTTAAAAACGCCATCCATAGACCATAACGAATGCCAAGCAGAGTAGCCGGCCGATACTAACCAAGTAGGTGACGATTTTCAGTGGCAGCCGGCTACTTTTATCAACCCTGTTATTGGCTGGAACAAAACAAGTGGCTTTTGTAAATAGGTGGTCATAAATAGAGTTTCAACTGTGTTGTCATGTATGTTATAGTTCTGGGTAGTTGAGTTGGATAAAATAACGCCAGTCAACTGCTGAGCAGAAGTTAGCAGGATTAAACACCAGGCTCCAGGTGCTCAAAAGATGGACAGTGCTATCCACTGGATAAATCACTATCCAGTGGATAAGTATTAGGAAAACCAATTACACTATCCACTGGATAGAGATTTATCCCATGGATAGCCCTATCTATGTTTTGAACAACTGGGACTTGATGGACCAAGCGTCAACATCCTAAGTGTGACATTTCACATCTGCTAACATGAAGGGGTGGATGTTAATTCTGTCACTACCTAAATGTGTGAGATACATAGATAACCAAATTTCTTACCCATGGTGCTATGCTGCATGGGTTTCACATGCGGAGAGCTCTGCTATCGGTAAAGCTGTTTCATGCAAAATGATTTTAGCATTAACCACTGTTTCTGGGCACTTGCAGAACCTCTGCTTTAGCATTGGTGCTTCAATCAGTGACACATTGGTGACTTTGTACACTGATATCTTGGATGTACTGTGTTTCTAATTATTTTTTTCCAGGCATTGAGAGTGACTCTGACATGGTGGTCAAAGCTCAGGTTCTCGCTGGCGGACGTGGAAAAGGCACTTTTGAGGGAGGGCTCAAGGGAGGTGTCAGGATTGTGTTCTCGTGAGTAAAATAATATGCTGTAGAGTGAACTTATATATTATATTTTACTTGTATTACCTACTGTATTTTAATTTCCTGTTAAGCTTTTAATTTTTATTCATGTATAATGTACTGTATGCATGTCTATTGACAATAATTATGAAAAATGTTTGTCATTATTTTGTTTCTGTACTTTCTGTTATTGTGTGTGAAAACATGAACGCATTTGATACGCATGATTGATGACTGCATATAGTATAACATTGTTACTTATGTGTTGTGTTATTTTAGGCCAGAGGAAGCTAAAGAAATGGCATCCAGAATGCTTGGTAAAAAACTCTTTACAAAACAGACAGGAGAACAGGGAAGAATATGCAATGAAGTAAGTGAGCTTCAACAACAGTCAATAATAACATCTTCTCTAAGGTAAATTCCCGCTAAGATGGCTGCGTAACCTCATACATTTATTATGCACACATCTTTCAACTCTATCCATATTAACTATGATTATTTACTACAGGTCTACATTTGTGAAAGACTCTATGCAAGAAGGGAATACTATTTTGCAATTGCTTTGGAAAGAGCATTCAAGGTAGAGTTACTGTACAGTTGTACCTATAACTGTAATACAAATAGACTGATGTTGTTAAGCAGCAGACTCAAAATGTTGGATAGCACTATCCACTATTGTGCTAAAGTGGAGAGTGTTATCCACCTTCTTATCATCTGGGTCCAGACCTCTTGTTTGAAAATTAATAATTACATGTACATGTATTAAAGAAATCTTGTTGGTGAATAATATTGAGGCTCAATTCATAGACATTATTGTGGCACTCATCTTATGACAAAGAGTTGTGGCCACTTACCATTATTGAGAACTGGCAAACCAGACCAGTCCAGTCATAAAGAGAATGTCATATTCAGAACTGTCCAGTCACATCACTCTGTTTCTAAAATGCTACGTGTATGCATGGCAGTGATGGTTTTTCTCTAGCAAATTGATTTTCAGTATTCATGTTATAGTTCATTTTCCATTATTTGAATTACCCTAGTAACCAAGCCTTCCTGCTTCCTGGAGGAAGGTATTGCAATAAGCGAACACCCCCTCCACCTATGTATTTGAAAGGTCTGGAAACCTTTATGTGGAACTGAAGTATGGATATTTTCAATATTGTTTTGAATTGGAATAATGGTGGCGACACAGTCAAAAGGGCTGAAGGGACAGTGTCTGTACAATAATAAATGGTAATTTGACCCTCAATACAAAGTCTGGGTGAGTTCATTCAAGGCTGACAAGAGAAAAACTTTGTGTAAATGGTGTGACTGGTTAACAGAGCTCGCTGAAATCTCACACCAGAGACAAAAAACACAAACAAAACAGCAGGTGTAAAGGGAAGGTGTCATTCTATGTCAAATAAACAAGTCCTTGAAAAAATGAAAAGTCCTGACTTCTTCCCCAAAAATTCTGTATGAACCATGGCTCATGTTTTTTCATATCTCGTTGCTGTGCATCCTGGATCTTCTTGTAGTCAGAAAGGTGAAAAGAAATGCCTGGCCTTAGGAAAATCATCTTCATGATAATAACCATAGGTTACAGAGTGAGGGCGACAATGATCGAAGGTCAAAACACTTTTGCTAACTCTGTGCTTTTCATAAGTTTCCAGTGATAGGTGGTTGAAACATGTGATCAGATTACAATTGGTAGAAGGTCCAAACATGTGTGATCAGATTGCCCTCTGTCATTCCCGTTATTCTTCATGGAAGTCAAACTGGCTCTATAATAATTACATGCCTTGCATTGATTTCATAACAGCAACCTGGAGATTCGTTTTCCAGGCTTCCCTTGTCACCTGCAATAATAATTATTATAATGGCCACCTGTGGTATGGATTGTAACCTTTCACAAGGCTGGTTTACATGTAATTGCTGCCTGGTAATGTGTACCTCTGATGGAGAAGCACAGGTCTCACAGATCATAAGTTCAAAATCCTGGGTAGATCATGCTGGTCATCATGACCAGATTTCCGTGGGCCTTTATTACAATTTTGTGTCAGTTCAGACGGCCCCTCTGATATTACGTGATGGTGCAATTTCGCACTAAAGAAAGCCTTGCAAGACATCTGAAACCTTCAATCGTGGCATCTGGGCAGCCATTTTGATTTCAGAGACAAGCAGTGTGGTCAGCAGTGTAACAACGTCATGTAATATTAAACAAGTGTCCTTTTTCTTTTCCGGGTCAAGATAATTGGACAATTTAGCTATTTTGCTCTGTCTATTTTGTAATAGATGTTTTGTTATTCCTTTACATTCAAATTGCCTGTTAAACATCATTAAAGTGGTTTTTCTCCTTTGAAACCTAGGCTGGTAAAAATAGTAAAAATTAATTAGCCCTGAAAAAATCACATAAGTTATAGCACAATAATAATAATAATAATTTTATTGTCCTACAGACGCAGAAAACATGGGTGTGTTTTGCGTGGCAGTTGGTCACTTATCTCTGAGCTGTACTGTATTTTATCCCACAATCTACCCTGAAAATATTGCACAATTTCTGATTTTTTATCACATCCTATCAGATGGCATGGTTCAGACGATTGCATCATTGGGCAGTGACTTTTTCTTCTTTGACTTAAGGAATGATAAAAAGTGTGCCTTTACATGTATGACATACTTTTATCCAATCTCACCCAGCCCATCCCATTTTTCCACAATTCAGCCACTAGCTGCCATGTAGAAAACTGGTCACCCTGGTTGATATATTTTTTTAAAAGATAAAGTGTTTCCCTCTTAGCCTGAGTCATTAATTTGTGAAGACATTCTGTTTGAAGCCTGTATTGCACAGTAGAAGACTAGAAGACACTAACCTTTTAAACTGAATTCAAAATCATATGATAACACTTTACTTTAATTCTCAAGATTTTACTTGTAACAAAGAATTGTTTTCTTATGAATTGTAGGGACCAGTATTGGTGGGCAGTCAACAGGGAGGTGTTGATATTGAGCAAGTTGCCAAAGAAACGCCTGATGCCATTGTTAAACATGGAGTGGACATTATCAATGGTTTGTATCAAATTTAAAGCTCCCTCTTTGTAAATCACCCCTTACTTTTTTTATTAGTGATGATCCTAGTGTTGTGCAAATAATTATTATACCAGTATTTGCAACATTGATATTTGTGACCAGTAATGTTCCTGTTCGAATGTACATGTATACTGTATGTACTACTTTAATGTGAGATTTAAGTTGCCAGGGGTAGAACAGGCTTGCTATTAACTTTCTCCGTCTAAACAGGGTGGGCTTATACATTTGTACATAAATCATTTATGTGTTACTAGTAAAAATTGAATTCAGGTTAAAAATTTTGAACCTAGGTTGATTATCAATTTTCTTTGTTGTACCAGCCCCGATTATTGATGAATTAGGGCTAGGAAATACAGAATTTTTTTTTTAAAAAACCTGAATTTAATTTTGACCTGTAACATACAGCATGTATGAAAGGCAGGGGGGGGGAGGTTAATGGAGGATTTAGAATGTCCATGCCTAGACAGTAAGGACAAGCATGCTGACAGCTACCTGTCAGTAATACATAATTTGATTGTCAGTCACCTTCACAATTAATAGGTTTATCAAAAAATGAAGCATTGGAGTTTGCAAGAAAGATGGGATTCAGTAAACAATGTGTGGACCAGGCTGCAGACTGGATGATTCGGTTGTATGATTTGTTTATTGAAAAAGATGCTGTCATGGTTGAAATAAACCCAATGAGTGAAGATCTGCTGGGCAGAGGTATAATTACTGCTTTTGTTGTTATTGTCCATGTTATTCTTTGTTAAACAGAGGTAAAATAATAAACAGTGTTGTTTAAGCAATAGAAATTTTTTTCCGTGTTTGCGAAGCCTGATATTAACACGAGATGTGTTGAGAGAATTTGAGACACTTTTGTAAAAAGGCTTTACTTTCTTACAAATTGCTCATGAATTTGAATTGCAGTTGTATGCATGGATGCCAAGCTTCTCTTTGACGACAATTCAGAATTCAGGCAGCCTGATGTGTTCACATTGAAGGATTGGTCACAAGAAGATGAGAGGGAGGTGGAAGCTGGACAAGCAAACCTAAACTACATAGGTCTTGATGGAAGCATTGGATGCTTAGGTAACCTTCATAGCAATTTGGAATAATGAAGTAGCCTGTTTCAGGCTCTCAGATAGTGGGAAAGACGCAAAAGTGAAAGCCTTGTGAAAAGTTGGCGAAAAGTTTCCTCCCATTTTATTTTCATGTTCTCTCCTTCTCAATCCCTTCCGACCTGACTATCTCAGAGCCTGGAACAGGCTATTAGTGTAGGTAAACAACAGTAGGATGTTCTGAATCCCAAATCAGTCTTTCATTTTCGCGTGGCCTTGTTGTTCAAATGGCAACCAGTGGATAGTACAGTAACTGTAGTACTATTCACTGGATGAATTATCAGCTTTCTCTGAGAAGACAGATACGTACCATTGGGACCAGTGCTCAGTGTTCATCTTTATAGAGAGATGTAGTGAAGAAAGGCAGAGGCCATCTCTACAGGTCCCTTTAAGATTGCTGTCCTCCTTATGAAGCATTAGAAAGAGACTGAAGACTGATAGGAACCAACTCTAGGTGTGTCAAGTGTGTGATCTGCCTTACAGAGAATCAAAGAACACGATTGAAGAATGAGTAGACAAGATCCAACTCTAGCTGTCTGTTTTAGGGGGATGCCTGTCGCGTGAAATGTAAAAACAACAACAACAAAAAAATGTCTCAAGAAAGGCAGGACCAACTTTAGATGTCCCTTTCAGTGCGCTGTCCGCCATATAGAGAGTCAAAGAAAAAACGATTGGAACCAATTCTAGGTTTCCTTTTCAGGGATTCAGTGAAAAGTCTTGAGTAAAACCCTAACATGAAAGCTTGCTCGCAGGCTATTTACTTACTCACTGCTGATAAAACAAATTACATGACGTGAAAGTAATTGTGGATTTTTTTCCCCTTGAAAAATCAACAACAGTAAATGGAGCCGGATTAGCCATGGCCACAATGGATATTATAAAGCTTCACGGTGGTGAACCAGCAAACTTTCTAGATATTGGTGGTGGAGCTACAATAGATCAAGTCAAGGCTGCTTTCAAGATCATCAGTGAGGACAAAAAGGTACATTTTACCTAACGATGCTACATTAATGTTTGGAAAAGATGATCAGGAACTACAAAAGATTTTTTTTATTTGGTTGAGCTTCCCACTAAGACCTTTCTATCCGGTGTTGGTTGAAGTGCGGCGTTGGTAAAACAATTAAAAGATAAATTACCCAAAAGAGTTTCCAACGATCTACCAAACCTCGTTTACTTTAGAACCCGAACAGTATATCACTATCCGCTAATACCGGGCGTGTTTTTAAAGGCCAAGGAAACGAAAGGTTTCCGAGAGCCTCGTTCCGCCTTGTGGACACGTGAATTATTAATATTACAGTAAACCCAGGTAACTCGAACTCTGAAGGGAAAGGGGAATTCGAGTTATCGGGGTAAATTTCAGTGAAATTTTGATCAAGGGAAAGGAAATTTAGTTCGAGTTAGAGGGGAATTCGAGTTGTCCGAGTTCGAGTTATTGAGGTTCTACTGTATTTTTTATTCTTTTTTTTCAGTGAGATTAACTTTGATGATTTTGTTTTTTAATGTAATGCGCATTATTTTTTGCGTAAAATTAACACCATGTGCTTTATTCAAGGTTCACGCCACCCTTGTAAACATTTTTGGTGGTATTATGCGCTGTGACATCATCGCTGAAGGAATCATTGCTGCTGCTAGGGAGCTGGACCTTAATATGCCTGTTATTGTACGGTTGCAAGGTAGGAAATATCCAAAAAGCAAATCTCTCTCTACAAAATTGAAGTTTTATCGTAGGGTTGTGGAGACATTTAGTGTGTAGGTGCATAATCAGGTTTATAAATCAACCTCTTATATAACTTTATATGTCCTTTAATGGCTTTCGCGAGGGCACCTTGCCGAAGTCGTTGTTGGCCGTCTATTGGATAAGGATAATCTGCGAGCAGGCTCACTTGTGCGAGGTCGTGGCAAAGATGTTAGGCTGATTTAGCAACAGAACGAGAACGTCAGTTGACGACGGCGAGCGCAAACTAAACAACCGGCTTGACCAATGGCAGAGCGGCAAATTGGGCACCGGAAGTGGTGTTGAGTCCTTTCCGCGCGCTTTCCCGTCGTCAACTGACGTTCCCGTCCTGTTGCTAAATCAGCCTAATAGCAGCGCGAGGCGGCATTACCGGTAAGAATAATGGCGAGAGAAAGTCACTTTTGCTCGCACGTAGGCGGCTCCGTCGCCAAAATTTTTCCCGAGCTCGGCCTCTGGGAGCAAGTTTGAATGTCCCTACGGTGGCGAATCAGGGAGGGGCCCCCACCTTATTTTTAGACCAAACTGAGGCCCAAAGGGCTGAAAAAACTTTTTTTTGAGACAGGCCCCCTCCCCCCTTATCTCATGGTCTTAGAGGGATGAGAAAAATATTTTTTCTTGAGATCTTGTACTAACAAGTTATGTGAGTGCTAGTTAACTGCTTTACAATAAAGTGGGTGGTGGTAGCCTGAAAAAAGCCGACGTTTCGCGACGCCACAATGGTTTCCTCGCGAAATGACGTCTGGGGAACGAGCACAGAGATTCCATACTGAAGACGTGTCACTACCAAGATCTGGATATCGCTCCTGATTGGTTGAAGCTAATTTTCCTCCCGGCACGACTACATGTAATCAGAAGAACTACCCATAACTGGGTAGTAATACGTGACCACTATGGAATTTCTGCACTCGTACCTCGGACGTCATTTCGCGGGGACACCATTTCGCTGTTTTTTCAAGCTAGGGTGGGAAAGGGAGTCTCCTTTCGCTACTGGTGCTGCAAGTGACACCAGAGAAATCAGGTATAATGTGTTATCTCCCGTTTTTCTTTTAGGAACAAGAGTGGATGATGCCAAGGCACTGATCGCTGCCAGTGGGCTGAGAATTATCGCTTGTGATGACTTAGAAGAAGCTGCTGAGATGGTGAGTTGGTTCATTTTATTTCAAGAAGTTACTTAGGCTCCGAACGTACTGAACGTTTTCGAGTTAGCGGGGAATTCGAGTTATCGGGGTAAATTTCAGTGAAAGTTTGATAAAGGGAAAGGAACCGCCGCTTGGTTAGTTCAGTTGGGAGAGTGCCTGTCTGCCGAGCGGGAGGTCGCGGGTTCAAACCCCGGCCGGACCAACACTCAGGGTCTTTAAATAACTGAGAAGAAAGTGCTGCCTTAGTAATGACATCTGCAAAAGGTTAGACTTTCTAGTCTTCTCAGATAAGGACGAAAAACCGTAGGTCCCTTCTCACAGCACTTTCACTTATTTGTTCTTGTGGGACGTAAAAGAACCCACATCACTATTCGAAAAGAGTAGACCCCAGTGCTGTGGCCAACTTGGCCAACCAACCTTTACGGGTTGTGGGATTTGGTAGGGATGGCACCTCGCATGGGACCTGAGTCCGGTTCGTGCACATTCCCTCTGGGCAGGCCTGTGTCCAGAAAAGTTGGTAAATAAATAAAGTAAATAAATTTAGTTCGAGTTAGCGGGCAATTCGACGAGTTATCCGAGTTCGAGTTATGTAGGTTCTACTGTACAATTAAATATTTTTAAGAAGAAATTTTCAAATCCGATCAATCAAACACTCAATATCAACTTGAGAGAATGATTATTTTTGCAAACGCTGAAGCCGACCCTAAATAAAAATTCGTCTAGTATGACCCCCCTAAATAGGTACAAAAATTTTGTATCTTTGTCTCTGTCTCCAGCAGCAAAATGAATACAGAGGCTAGAGCCGACAGCGTCCTTATAACTGGTCGCGACTGGTTTTCACGAGCTGTAGTCGCTAAATGTACTTCGAAGTAAACCCGGACCAAAAACCTCTACAGAGTATTAAATTCAGGGGTCATATTTCCCTATTCCTCGACGTTAAAATGAAAGACAAGCTTCCTGCTTTACACCCTTCTTTTTTTTAAAATTTTCACAACAACGAAATATCAATTCTTTTTTAAGAAAGAAAAAATTGCGAAAAGAAACAGTTCGGTTATTTATAATTGTTATTCACCTCTACTCACTGTTTTACGTTTTGTTCACTTTTCCTTTTTCGTCTACTTTTCTCGGGGTCATTTACGGTCGAGGACCATTTGCGGTTCATTTTGGGGACCATTTGGGTTTTGGAGGTCATTTACTGTACAGGTCAACTCACTCAAAGAGCACGCGCGAGCGCTGTTGGCTCTCTTTTTTTTCCTTATGAATAACCCTTTTAGTAACCATCATCAGTTTTCTCCCAGCGATATCCATAGATTGTCAAGAGACAAGGTTATGAGAATAAATAAATGATCACCTGAGGAAAATGCTTTGATCTTTTAACAAATTCTCTCAACACATTTTTTAAGGAAATGTATGGAGATCAGTTTGGAGAATTTGTATTTGTATATTGGGGCTTAAAGGGTTAAAAGCTCGCTAAAGTTGACTCGACTGGGAGGGTGACCCCTTTTTTCTCTGTTTTTATTGCAGGTTGTCCGTGTTTCCAACATTGTTGAGCTCGCGCGAAGCGTTAAAATGAAGGTCAACTTCGAGCTGCCCATCTAGCGACATTATGTTTCGTGTAATATAGCAATCATCTGGTAGTTTGTTTGTTCTATATTCTTAAGCGGACCAATAACTTTTGGTGACCTTTTTAATCCCCCATGATGTGGTCATTTTAAACATGACACTATACTGAGATCTTTTTTTTGGTGAGTGACGAAAAATGACATGTTAGTTCATTTATGGAGTTGCGAGTCCTTGCCTTGAGCTTATACACTTAATACTGGTTTCTTCCTTTTCAGCGGCAAGTGTATTTATGTCACAAAATTTTTATTGATGTATCTTTATTCTCGAGGAAAGAGTGTATATCATCAAGGCAATTTTTAGTATCTCAAGATTTATTATTTCAGAAATAAAACTGATTAAGATATTAGAAGTTGTGTGCCTCTTATGTTCTTGCACTTTATGGATAATGTTTAAGGTGCTCTTGCCAAAAACGTAGCGAGTGTCTTTCTTTATTGGTATCAGGCGTCGAAACGGTTGGGGGAGTGAGGGAAAAATAGAGGGAGATATTCCCTTTCGTCACTGGCCTGGTATCCGTCGGGGGAGGGGAGGGGAGCTAGGGAGAAAAAAATGGGGAGAGGTATTTCTCCTCGTTCTCCTCTCTTCCCAATCCCTCTCCTTTTTCCCCTCCTCGACTACTCCTTTTGACGTTTGCTACGCTGGCGTTATTTACAGTACACTCGCAGCAAAAATCACGAATCGAGACATAATGAGCTTTGGTGCAGTTTGATTGTTGATTCCTTATCTGTATGGTTCCAAGAGAAAACAGTCAACTCTTTTGATATGTGCGCTAGTTAGATTGGTGGTGACACCTTGTCTTTTCTTCTTTAATAATCTCCTAAGGCACAGTACCGGCCGTCTTGAAAAACCATAAACGACGACCGGTTTTTGTGACTACTTGGACGTCCAATTTTTCTGCGCGCAACGAGTCCGTGTTTGTACTCCTAGGGGTTGTTAAAAAGACCCTAGATGCCATACCCTTTCGCAAAAGCTTTCAAAGGTTAAGGTACACAATTCCAGTCGCACTTCAGGTAAAAGACATCCTTTGCCAGCGTTTTGATACTATCGATTTGGTAAAAGAAAGTGAAAAGTCGACTCACCAGATGTCTACCGCTGTTTTCATAAAAGTTACTCTCTGATATATTTATTTATGTGCACGGCAGTTTACAAGCCGCTCGGCGTTTTCCTCATGCAACTTCAAAGCTACCAGATTGGGAAATTCGTGAAACTGTAGCTTACCATCCCCATTAACATCAAGGATTGAAAACAGCTTCTTCAGCTCATGCTTTGTCATGTTAATGTTCATGTTCTTCAAGCCTGAGATGAACGCATTCTCTCCAATGGTATCACGTTTGGCCGAGAGAATCTTAAACAAGTCAACCATTCGCAGTCCGCTGCTGCGACCAAACTTGACGAATATGTCTAATGGTGATGGTCTCTTCGGGTATTGAATCTCCCTGGCTTGTCCACCTTGGATACTCACCTGCCAAGAGGCCTTAAAATCGGGTCGCTTTTTGAGAACATCCTCCAGCTCCCTGTGGCAGTCCCCGTCTAGAGCCATGTTGTCCAGGTGAAGTTCCCGAAGGGCGCTTTCCTGATTTCTCCTGATTGCTTTCAAGAACGAATAAGCACCCGGACTCAAATATGGATTCTTACCAATGCGAAGTACCTCAAGGGATTTGTTCTTTTTGAGACCTGTAAGAAAAGAAAGCGCATTTGCTTAGGGCGAGCCAAGCCTCCTTGACAATAAATCACAAACTTGTAATTGTACCACTCATTTTAATTGGGAAAAATTGAGACCTAAATGGTCATCATAATGACCTGGAATGAATCGAGTTATCGATGCAAAGAGTTGGCATTCGGCTTCCCGTAAACAGGTTTTCTTTATGTGATACCTCTTATGTTCTCGAGGGTTTTCCTAGACGGTCTTTTGTCCTGGAAACCCTGATTCGTTTTGTGAATTCCACTTTTCCTGTTTGGCTATCCCCATAAAATGTTTCGTTTCCCATCGCCCTCCCTCTTGTGAAGGTGGGTCGGTCGGTCGGGCAAAAAAAAAAAAAAGAATGAACACATGATTGCACGTTAAATCTCACGTTTAGTCTGCAAGACATAATCAGACGGTAAAAGATGTATATTTACAGGACTATCAAATGTCTAAAAAGGTTACAAAAACGAAGTATCGACAATAATTTAAGACAGTTGCTGTTAATAAGACAAGATCGTGTGCTTGTAAATTAAAGTACTTGCTTCTTTGCAAGTGATTCTAGAATTTTTTTTCTTTTTTTTTTACTTTTCCAAAAAATGGGTCGGTCGGGCGATGGGAAACGAAACATTTTGTGGGGATGGCCTTTGTTTTTCATTTTTTTCCTTTTTTTACGTTTTGATTGGCTTTTGTCCTTACCCTTTGCGATTAACTTTGCTTCAGCCAGACCGATGGAAGTGTTTGAAACATCCAGATGCACCAATGATTCGTTGGCCTCGAGAGCGCGTCTCAAGGCTTGCGCTCCTGCACCTGCCAAGCTATTCCAGGAAAAATCTAGCTTCTTCAACGTGTAGCTTTCTCGTAGTCCGTCCATGACCTCTACAGAACCTCGTGAAGAAATCTTGTTCCAGCTGATATTCAGAGATTCCAGAGAGCTGGTCGTAGAAAGTATGAATCCAATGATACCTGCCCCTTGGTCTTCGAGGCAATTGTGGCTCAGGTCAAGAACCCTCAAATAAAAGTTATCTTTGAGACCCTCAAGAATGGGAAGGACGTTTCTTCCTGTGTTGCAGATGTTTGAGAAGGCAAGCTGCCGAAGTGATGATGTGTTTTTGATCATCCGCTCCATCTCGTGGCATCCTCGGAGGCCGATGTTGTTTCCCGAGATATCTAAGCTGGTTATAAAACAGTTTTCATCTAACAAATCTGCCAATGCTTGGGCTCCAGTCTCAGTGATTCCGTTATCGTGAAGATTCAGAGAGATCACAGTTATGTTGCTTTTAAGCGCACAGCAGATAGCTTGCAGTCCCTTGTCCAGGATTCCATAGTTTCGAAGATCCACCTGAAATTAGATTTAAGAAAAGTAGTTTCTTTAGAAAGTTAAGACCTTATGCCCTTATTTAGAATGGCTCAATGCCTTGACGCTTTCGGTTTTAACTGAATAGTATACATGGAATTGCTAAATAGTTTTAAATATCAAGCGAACCTTGTTGGGTTAAAAAGGGAAACTTTGGACCTAAATCTTAAGCGATACTTCCTAATTGTTTTCTCGGAGTCTTAAAGAATAGCAGCACTCAGCTCCTTACGTCCTCAGAAAAAAATGTTTATATCGATGAAAGGTGAAGAAAAGGAATAATTCGAAGCACGATATCGATGTGTGAGTGCTCCGTGAAATTTCATATTTCATTGTGAACTATAAAAGAAATGTTGCAAGGGTCTCAACAGTGTTATTTCTCCTGGGGTTTCACTCTTGAACAATACTGTATTTTTTACTATAAAAGCAACAATCATATTGAAAAAACATACACCGCAAATCCTCTATTAAGCCCCCCACCCACCTCTCGAAGAAGCCTCCGCCCTCTAAAAAGCCCACCCCTTTTTTCAGGGGAAAAAAGTTAATAAGCCCGTCCTCTCTATTAAACCTACCCCCCCCTTTATCCGCCCCTGCCCCCCTTAGTATTGTTTACTTATTAGTGATAGACTGTATTAATCAATTATGACAGTAAAACTTCGTGTGGACTGATCCGGGATGGTTTATTTACCAACGGAAAATTCGGATCTGATCCTGATCCTCGGCTGCATGACCTCCAGCCTTCTTGTACTTAAGCTTTTCCACTTTGTATTCTCGTTATTTTTACGTTTTTCTAAATGAAACTGATAACGTCTCTATGACGACCCCCCCCACACACACACACACACACACACACAGATGGGCTTGAAGTAAAAAAGCCCGCAGGGGGCTTAATAGAGGATTTACGGTTTATTTATAACAAGAGAAAGCCATGGAACCAGGAATGATGCACCTTGGTTGTCATCATTTGCTTGATGAAGGATGTTGCAGGTGGTACTCCGAGCTCTCTGCAAGCTTCTAAGTAGGTCTGTTCCAGGGAGCTACTCAGCCTCTGTCTTGTTTCTTGCGGACAACAATCTTCTAAATCAGTGTCCCACTCTTCACTGTCACTCGTAGATGATTCCGAAACTGAGTGTTCTTGTTTCGTTGATGCCATCTCCAGTCGTTATTGTTTGGAAACTTTAAGAACTGGCAATTACAAAACCATGAGTGGTGCTGTGGACATCAGAATAATAGTCTCTAGATCTATTTTGAAACTCTGTTCAATTTACGACGAGAATGAATCTACTAGGCAGGAAAATTTCTTGAAAGGCGCAAATGACTTAAATTTTAACAAGGGTGACACAAAGCTCGTTTGACTTACGTACGTGTATGCACTTCTCTTTAGGCGATTCGATTTTTTTCTTTGAGTGAATTCATTCTCTAAACTATCAATTAAAAACGAAAATTCGATCGTTTTTCCCATAAAATATTCAACGTATTATTACACCTTTAATAGCACCTCTCCGGTTTCTCCCATTAATTTATATAGATTCGCAATCCGTTTTCCTTGTGTTAAACCTTTTAAAATGAGGTTTCGATGTGATAATTAGACCCGTGCTTCAACTGAGTGTTTTGGGTGAATTGTGTTTCATAATGGAGGTAACATTATGCGACAAACTAACATTTCATTTTAATGGAAACTGGGTAGGGCGCGAACGCCAAAAATTACGCACAAAATGTTTGTGATCATTGTCTATATGAATTTGTGACAATTTTCCATGGTTTAACCGGGGGAATTTTTTTTTAATATTTACAGTTTTCCCTTTAAGTTTTATGTAAAGTTGTGTACCTTTTATGACGCCAATGCGGACATGGAAATGCGATAATCGGTGCTAATCACAAGTGGTACAATCTCAATTATACAAGATACCGTATTAAGATGTTGAATTTTTTGTAGGGATTAAGTCTCTTCATGTGAACCCAGTCTGGTTCCGTCTCACTGACCCTCATTGTAACTTTTCCCATAAATAAAACACATTGAACTTTTTACAAAGGAGTTAATAGCCAGAAGTAGATTTATTTATTTATTTACACTGATTTCTACACAATTTGTGTATACGACATCTTTCTAGCTTTCATTAATAATTAATCCTCAATTCTAGCATGGCTTGAACAAGAGAGAATGGGTTTGAACTAGAATGTGCCATTAAATCATATTTTGTCTATGTAATGTGAGAATTATTAAAATCCAACTTATATTGGCTGTTTTCACTCAAGAAGGCGGGCAAATCGTGTTGAATGACGTGTTGTCTAGTGTGAAAACTGGTCGAACAAAATGTTGGACGTACAAGCCGTCTGTCTGTGATTTTGTCCGTCCGTTAAGACGATTTTGTTGATCTAAGATAAATAGTAGAAAGTCAGACTCGAATTCCAATCTGACCAAAAGCTTAACTCAGCTAGAAGACGCCATTTTGGATTTGCTTCAGTAGCGCTCTGCGCATATAGTAAGACCAGTAAAAAATGTGAAAGTTTAATCTTTTCCGTCCGTTACGCGTGAACAGAGCGAGATTAATGGGAGGTTCCGTATGAACGAAATACCTGGTCGAAAATTTCTTGCGGTACCGTGTGAAGGTAGCTCAAACCAAGCAAACAATTTTGACAAAATGAGTTCTAATAATGTTAAATAATCAGAAACAGGCCACGATTGGTTAAACACCGCTCCTCTGCTTTACTGAGTAAATTGTTACATTAATAATTTCAGCATAATAAGCTTTCTGGGATCCAAAATTTTGTGGAATTGATCTATACAGCATAACAAAATTAGATATATATATGACATGTATATAACAAAAAGCTCTTGCATGGTTTCTAATTCTAATTTAACTCTCGGAAATGTAAAGAAGAAGCGAGTGATGCACTCTTCCTGGTATTTCCCACTCTCGGGATAACTGGCTGGGGGCAGCTCACAATCTCGGCGAGACACAGGCTTATTACTCGCATACCTTACTTGGAATTTGTCGGTGAAATCGTAATCTTGTTTGTACTCTTCGTGGAAACAACATAGAACTTCATATTCGGGTGAAATTTCCGTTTTGAACTATTCACTCCAGCTAAACGCTGTAAGAGCAACTCTGAAAGTGCTAAAGTCTAGCGTTTTCCAACGTAACTCAGTAACAAATTCACCAAAAAAGAAACCAAGCGAAGTATCTTTCAGCCGTCGCCAGACTCATAATCACGCAAAAGAATGGTTGCAACGGCGCCATTGGGCTTCAGCGTTTCGCGGCGCTTGCATAGAATGACCACAATGGCGGTGAGCAGAATTATTGTGAGGAACGCAAGCCCCCCTGCAAGCAGACCAAAAGGGAAGGTTTCCTCTTTAGACTTGCTTGGCACTGTGTGGAAAGAGTAAGGCAAAGGACGTTAACTGAGTATACTAACAGAATTATGAACTTGAAGAAATTCTGACTTGTAAACTTACATTTCGCGGCGCCATCACTGGTTTCACCGCGAAATGACGTCTGAGAAACGAGCGCAGAAATTCCATACTGATGACGTGTCACTACCCAGATCTGGGTAGTGCTTCTGATTGGTTGATGCAAATTTCCCCACGATCGCAATCGCCTTACGTTTTTAAAATATCAGAGCATAGTATCCTATTTAACCTTTTTAGCAAGCCCTTAGAACAATCAGTATCAAATTCTGCCTTGTTATAACAACGTTTTATAAAGCAGAGTAGAAAAATGAAAGACAGCAGGTATTGAACCCAGTCCCGTCAGCTCCGAACGAGAACAATAGAAATGACCTTTCATTCATTCTTACTCAGACGATAGCATACGAGCGTTACTGGCTATAAGCCAGTAAGCTCAAAAATCGACTAAGACGAAGTGATTACAAAAGAAAAGCGCGTCTAGAAAAGTTTAATCGGCGCGAGAGTAGAGGACTTAGATCATGTAAGATCGTGTAACGTGTCAAAAAAGGAAAAGAAATTTTTACGACCTTGATTGGGACCCAGGTCCCGCCCGAATTAGAAGTACCTGTTTTCTCATGCCCATCGGACTGCCTGGTAGAAACAATGATGGGTCCAATCGCCAGATACTGCTTTATTTCGTTTTCTTTGTTCCGCTTTCTCCTTCTACCATATGGACACCCTTGCGCGCATCGCGATGATAAATCTGATCGCTGGCAGGCTGTAACCTGACAATGGAGGTACACCTCATCTGACTTTAAAAGACGGAAATTGAACGTCTTAAGAGAGAAGCGCTGCACAGACGATAAGGTGTAGTTGTAATCGACAGTGTTGTCCTTTAAACATCTGAAAAATTGTCAACAACAATAATATTAGCGAACATTGACAGTGCCAGAGTTGCATGGGTACTGCAATTTAGCATTATTGCGGGAACCAAGAGGAGCCCGCAATCCTAAACTACAGGTTGTTATTACGCATGCGTCGCATGTATGTAGCCAGCATTCGTTTGGACTTCCACTAAGAATGAATGGAATGCACAGGACGCAATTTGATCACGCGCGTTTGGACTTTTTATCACTCGTAATCTGATCTCGCGTGTTCTGACTATTTGTCACGTGAAACTTGCGCAAAGCATAACGTGGAGCAAAAGCGTTTTGACCTTCGATCGTTGTCGCCCGCACTCCGTAACTTTTGGTTATTACTAGTTTAATGCTTCAATACCATGGACGGATTCATTGGTGGGGCCGAGGGGGACAGTCCCCTCCCCATACCTTTTTCTGCCGCATTTTAACATGGGAACGAGGTTGTATACACGGAATGACATCCCGAATAGGAGAGCCAGGCGGATGAGCATGTTCCAGCTAGTAGCTTACGATGCTAAGCGGAGGGGAATATAATCTCGTTATGATGCCAGATAACCTTAAAGGCTCAATTACGTCATGGTTTGATCTTTTTTATCTGGCAATTAATGTCATTTTCGGGGTGACCTCGTCCTTCAAGTAAGATGCCTTACCCGTCCTCTATAAAGAAGTATTCTGCTTCGTTATCATAGTCAGTAGTTGGGGTTGCCTTGCATTCATCAAGAAAAAGAACAAGTCCTGCGTGACTGGTTCTCAAAGACACTTCCAGGAATATTTCAGCGTCAAGGGCGATGGGCCCGATGGGATACTCTGTGTAGTATTCTCTGAAGTGTCCACTTTTGAACATGAGCATTTCGAAGGTGAAGTTTCCAAATGATACTAGAGAAGAATAAAAAACGAGTCATCTCGTTTTAAGTAAGTGCTGTTTTTTAAACAAGTTAAATCATCTGGGCCTAGATACAAATATCCGGCTATTTTTAAAAATATTTAGAAGATTTTGAGATATTTAGAAAATCTCATGAGTTTAAGGAAAAAATTGCGATATTTAGAATTTTCAGTTACGAAAAAAGTATTGAAATCATGTTTTTTTTTTCTCGGAAGCTACCTCAGTGCTAATTAGGGCGTGCATGGCATTTCAGTGACAGAAATTCAAACAAATCTCCACATATGGGCCCATTGTAATCGGATTCAGCAATATTCTCCATGGTAATAAATGCAATGTGGCCAATGTTCAACAAAATGGCTGATGACGTACCCTCTGAGCAACGCACGAACCAAACGGTAGTGTCCCTTTTAAACCGCTTTAGACCTCCAGTAACTAATGATCTTTTACGAACTCTGCTTGTATTAAAGTGCAGCGCCCTAGTTTTCTTAGAGGCTGCGGAGAACTGAAATGATAAGGCTGACGTTATGTGAAATTGTTTAGAGTTTTGTTGTATGCGTAACGAAGTTATCATAAGATGAAATAATAAAAATGCCAGTTGTTTTGAAATTACGCAAACTGTTGACATTTTAACTGAATGTTTACATAGTAAAAGTTTGCATTTTCCCACATTGTGGTTTTTTCACTCAGTCAACACATAAAGAACATAAAGCAATGACGAATGGATAGAGAATTATCATAAGTCAGAACAGAGCAAGTTTCCTGTACTATCCTATTGAACCTTTTTAAACAGCCATAAGAACAATCAGTATCAAATTCCTCCTTATCATAACAACGCCTTATAAAACAGAGTTTAAAAAATGGGAGATAGCAGGTATCGAACCCAGTCCCTTCGGCTCCGAAGGTTACGCGGTACTACACGTACGAGGACAATAGAAATGACCTTACATTTATTCATTCTTACGCAGGGATAGCATTCCTACGCAGACGATAGCATAAGCCAGTAAGCTTAACAATCGACTAAGATGAAGTGATTACAAAATGAAAGCGCCTCTAGAAAGGTTTGACCGCGCGAGTAGAGGACTTAGATCATGTAAGATCATGTATCGTGTCAAACAAGGAAGAGGAATTTTTACGACCCGGATTAGGCCTCAGGTCCCACCCGAATTAAAAGTACCTGTTTTATCATGCACATCAGAATCCTTGGTAGAAACAATGATGGGTCCAATCCCCAGATACTGTTCCAATTCCTTTTCTGTGTTCCGCTTTCTCCTTCTACCATATGGACACCCTTGCGCGCATCGCGATGATAAATCTGATCGTAGGCAGGCTGTAACCTGACAATGGAGGTACACTTCATCGGACTTTAAAAGACGGAAATTGAACGTCTTAAGAGAGAAGCGCTGCACAGACGATAAGGTGTAGTTGTAATTGACAGTGTTGTCCCTTAAACATCTGCAAATTGTCAACAACAATATTAACGAATATTGACAGTGCCAGAGTTGCATGGGTACTGCAACTTGTCATTATTGCGGGCGACCAGAGAGGCCCGCAATTTTAATCTCCTGGTTGTTACTACGCATGCGTCGCGCGTATGTAGCCAGCATTCGTTTGGACTTCCACTAAAAATGAATGGAATGCACAGAACGCAATTTGGTCACGTGCGTTTGGACTTTCTATCACTCGTAATCTGATCACACGTGTTTTGACTATCTGTCACTTGAAACTTGCTCAAAGCATAAAGATGGAGCAAGAGCGTTTTGACATTCGATCGTTGTCGTCCGCACTCCGTAACTTTTGGTCATTACCAGTTTAATACTTCAGCTGTTGGCTCATGATGTAGCCTGCGTTGCAGGCGTTCGAAAGGGAAGGGGAAGGGAATTAGGGCGCGAGACCACTCGCGTTTCTCTCGCGCCTAAAACTCCCTTTCCCAAACTCCCCTTCCCTTCCCTTTCAAACGCCTGCCACGCAGGCTACTCATGATGCTAAATCCAGGATACTATAATCTCACTATAATGCTGGATGAACCTTTAAGACTCAATTACGTCATGATTTTATCTCTTTTTTTTGTATCTGGCAAATAATGTCTTTTTCGGAGTGACCTGGTCCTTCAAGTGAGATGCCTTACCCGTCCTCTATAAAGAAGTATTCTGCTTCGTTATCATAGTCAGTAGTTGGGGTTGCCTTGCATTCATCAAGAAAAAGAACAAGTCCTGCGTGACTGGTTCTCAAAGAAACTTCCAAGAATATTTCAGCGTCAAGGTCGATGGGCCCGATGGGATACTCTGTGTAGTATTCTCTGAAGTGTCCACTTTTGAACATGAGCATTTCGAACGTGAAGTTTCCAAATGATGCTAGAGAAGAATAAAAAACGAGTGATCTCGTATTTAGTAGGTGCTGTTTTTTAAACAAGTTAAATGATCTAGGCCTAGATTTTTAAGATATTTAGAAGATTTTGAGATATTTAGAAAATCTTATGATATTAAGGAGAAAATTGTGATATTCAGAATTTTGTTACGAAAAAAGTATTGAAATCATGCTTTTCTAGGAAGCCACTTCAATTCTAATTAGGGTGTGCATGGCATTTTAGTTACAGAAATTCAAACAAATCTCCACTTATGGGTCTGATGTAATGGGATTCAGCGATATTCTACATTTGTAATATATGCAATGTGGCCAATGTTCAACAAAATGGCTAATGATGTACCCTCTGAGCCACGCGAGGAAAACGTGGGGAACTTCCGGAAACATATTTAGGCCTAGTTTTAACAGGATTGTGTCCCGTGGATACTACGTGCTCTCATTTGGCGACGCTACCACTGTTTTCCCCGCCAAATGACGTCTGAGAAACGAGTGCAGAAATTCCATACTGATGACGCGTCACTACCCAGATCTGGGTAGAGCTTCTGATTGGTTGAATCAAATTTCCCACGAGGCACGACCAAATGTCGGCTGTTTTCTCAGGCTATGCGAGCACTTGACGCCAAATTTAGGCCCTAGCGTTTCGCGAAACTGGCCCAAGCGCCTTACTTCCCTCGCAGCTTCAACTTGATGCGTCTCGAGATTCTCAGGGCCTCCTATCATGCTACACTAAGAAAAACTACAAAGAACAAACATCTTACCGACGTTAATGACGACTACTTTTGATGCGTTGAATGAAACTGCAGACACCAATGTCCTTCTCCTATAACTACACCGGAACTCAAAAGCCATCTGTTGGTCACGTGTCACGTGCGAACCAATGGGTTGGTGTTTCTCTGAATCTATATGAATAGCGTTACGATACAAAATCCATTTTCCATCTTTCGAAACATTAGATCTTGTACCGCAATCTCCCAGCCTGGATTTAACAAATATATGAGTGCTGTTCTGGTATATAGGCTTGCAGGTTGGGTCGTTAAGGTAAACACTTCTAGGGTAGTGACTTGACGGGCCGTTGGTGTGCAATACGACATTTATTTCATGTTTATCACATTTCACTGCCATAGCATACTCGTCTGGGGATACTAGAAAACAGTAATTAATTAGCTTGCATATGATAAGATGTAATGTAACATCCCTTGTGAAATTTAATTGAGTTGGTGAGAAAAAGACTAGGAAACCCCTGAAACAAAGCGCTGGAGGTTTCGCTTGTTTAATTACAGGCCTGGTAATGCACAGAGAGGTTGTCCTTTTTTTTAAATTTAGCTACCATGGGTAATTATGATTACATCAGAAACGCAAAGAAAGATGATTAGTTATTTCCAGTTATCAATGGTCTACGGGCGTTACCTCTCCTCGGTAATCTCGTCAAGGATAAATGTTCTTTATCTCGGCAAGGTGGCGCCAAGATTTGGTGCTTCGCACCACTACTTTTGGCAACCTTTGAAAATCTTCGGGAATCTTCAGTTATGTTCGGAAGTCGTCAGATGAAGACCTTCGGCACATGGACATGTGACTTACTGGAAGGTGCATCCCATTGTGCCAAAAATATCTACTCATAATTTCAAAGGCCAGCACCGGGATGATGCTTTTAAACAAAAAGACCACGATTAATTGGCTTTCACTTAGTTAGGAGCTTGTCCTAGATTCTTTCTATATTGTGGTCGATTAAGTCAGGACTGCAATTGTATAACGCAGTTTCATAAAGGACATATAAGAATACCTGGTTGGCTGTTTGGTCTTGTACATTCAGGTAAAGCCGTTGCGGTTTCGTCTGCCAGTTCAAAGAAAAAATGCGCAACTATCAATCTTTGAGTTACTTTCTCTTCCTATTGGTTCTAAGCGAATGAATGCCTTTCATTTGCCTCGCGATCGGCATTAAAGGGCAAATACATGCGTTCCCTATTTTTCATAACTTGGTTGAATTAACACAATAAATTTGGTTTTGTTAACTAAGTTGATTAAGTGAGTTTGCATTCCTAAAAATATTCAAAAACTGACGAGTGCTAGCCTCTTTTCGTGTTACCATTTAGTCCCATCGATAACGAAGCTAACATCACACACAACCCAATGTTCGGCCCTTGATTATGTTTTTGCTTGGTTTGCAACCACGTGACAAGGCGGCCATGTTGATGGTAAACGCAATAAAATTCTTTTCGAAAAATTTACATGAAAACGGGTTTTAGTTCCCGGAGGACAGAAAAGGATTTGTCCTTGACCACCAACATGGCCGCCGTGACATCACGTGCAAACAAGCATCCTGTTGTAGGGTGCTGGTCTACAACAACGTGAAGATAATAAGAAGAAAGATGGGTTCTTTTATCGTTTCTCTCACTAAATTATTAATCATGCCCATCTTAATAATGTTCTTCATTATGATAAAAAGAATGCCCTGAATTTTTGAAGCTGTTAAGCTGTAATAAACCACATATTAACGAGAAATAAACAAAACTAAAAACAACAAAACATTCCTTTCTACCTACCTGACTGAACACTTTCATAATCCAATCGGAAGCTACTAGCCGCTTCACTTCCCTTAGAGACGAACCTCACGAGTGCGTATCGATTAGTCGAATGAAGTTTAAGCTCGCCTGCCGCACAATCGGCGTATTTAACAATTCTTGAGCTATTATCTTGCAGCCCGTCACGGAACTCTAAGAAGTCGTTGGCGCCAAACGTCACGTTCTTCAATATAAGCCCCACTCTCATGCCTGCAGGCGCGGTTATACGCCAAGTGCACTGAAGACTGCTGGGATACAAGCCAGTCAAATTGGGACTCGATAAAGAGCCTGGGACTGAGCCGTCGATTCTGATGTCATTGTTGTCAACCGTACAGTTGGGATCTGAGTAAACATTGATGGGATGATATCAATAGCAACGTGTAAAAGTCTTTATGGCATCGTAATGATTACAATTTTTTTCTGAATTTTGGATTAGTAATCTCGTTCCCAGAGGCTGCGATACTTTCGTATAGCACCAACGATCCGTTTCGCTGGACAAAGGTAGCAAAGGCTCATGGAGGCGTGTTCGTTTGAAAGGTTCTATGGACAGAAGTGGTCTCTAAGGTTGTATATATAACACTCTGCGCGTGCGCAGATTGGTCCATGGATCGGGAGGGGGACAATATCCCGAGATGTTAAAAAAAGCCTACTACTATTTGCTTGCTCATACATCCATTGCATCGGGATTTACCATTGGGATGGGATGCAATTTACCTCCTTGCTACTATAAGAATCACTTGGGGATCGTTTGGGACAAGATAATTTCTGGGTAAAATATGATAATTTTAATATCTTAATTTGTTTTCAGAGGTAATTAATTTATGGAAATATATTTACCTGGTTTGTTAGTGGCCGCTTTACATTGTGGTGAAGACGTTATGTTTTCTTCTATTGATTCTAAAAAAAAATTAAAACTCCACTTGAATAAAGAAATAGTTTTATCTTTTACCAGAAAGCTGCCTAATTCTTGCTTCATAGAGCCATGTAAGACCTTAAGTAATGTTATCAATGTTATTTTCATTTAACAATCAAGTAAAGTTTCAAAATGAAAAGAGTTCATTAAAAAAAAAAAAAACGTTTAGTCCAATGTTTCACAAGAAGGTAACAAAATATTTGCTGTGGCATAGCAGGAGACATTAAGGGCTCAATTGCATTACAGCTGTGTTATTATAGTTTTACACATTCTTCAACTTAAGGGCATAAACAAACTAGGTAAATTTCAACTAGTAGCCAAGACAATAACGAAAAGTAAATCACTAGAAAATGGCGTTATCTTTTTTTCTTCTTACCTGACGAAACACTTTCATAATCCAATCGAAAGTAACTAACCGCTTCACTCCCATTAGAGACAAACCTCACCAGCGCGTATCGATTAGTTGAATACAGCTTAAGTTCGCCTGCTGCACAATCGGTGTATTTAACAATTTGTGAGCTATTATCTTGAGGTCCATCACGGAACAGCATGAAGTCATTGGCACCTAACGTTAAGTTCTTCAATATGAGCCTCACTCTCATGCCTGCAGGCGCGGTTATACGCCACGTGCACTGCAGACTGCTGGGATACAAGCCGGTCAAATTGGGACTCGATAAAGAGCCTGGGACTGAGCCGTCGATTCTGATGTCACTGTTGTCGGATGTACAGTTGGGATCTGATTAAACAAATGGCAAATCGTGTTATTCGTGTAACCGTGATTAATCGAAGCGCCTTATTTCTTTTCGTCTTAGTTTCTGATACGGTTTATTTTAGAGGGTCAGTTGGTTTTTATAAATTCTCATTGGCAAAAAACACAGCACTGAGCAGTTTTTCTTTGCCTTAAAAGTTAATTAAAACTGGATAAGGAAAACAAACGTAAAAATGTCCATTAACAATAGCGATAACAGGATGTAACTCAAAAGTAGAAAGCAATAGAAACCATTCACTAAATTTTTGTCAACGTTTGATTGGTCTAGAAATAATTATGACGTCACCCGCATATAATTACCTTTGGAGAAATGGCCTGCTCATGCGCAGTAGAGAAAAACGTTGTTTTACTAGAGACACTTGCTGTACTTGTGGGCAGTTTGATCGATGTATTCGGAAGACCACGGAGTCTCCAAATGTCCACAGAAATTATAGAACAAAATTTGACATTTTTTATTATTTTAATTTACTTTCAGTAAATCAATGTTTGAAAATAAGTTACCTGGCTTGATGCTGGCTTTTTTACATTGCGGTAAAGTTGTTGTGTTCTCTTCTATTGATTCTGAAAGTAAAAAGAATAAAAGCCCTTTTAAACTGTTTCTCTTTTAGCCAAAACAGAGATCTCTTTCTTGCTTCAGTCATATAGCAGGTCTCCTCACCGAAATAAATAATAAAAAATGTTGTGCTATTGTTTTCTGCAACCAATGCGGAGACACCTTACGACGCAGCTGCAATAGTAGTTCTTGCTAGATAGAGTACTCAGTGCGGGTCCTAGGTATTATAACGCTTAAGATTTATTTGAGCCTACGATTCCAATCCATTTAGATTAATTTTTGCCCAGGAGTTAAGAAGTAATTGTTGTGACATACTACCCAGCTTACCTCATTGTGTTTAAAAATAGTTTGTTCAAACATGTTTCTATAGGCGTTTTACTTACAAGGCATAATCACAAAACAGAGTTATGAACGAACAAAAAAATGTTTTCGTAAGTAGAAATCCAGTGGAGTTATTTGCAACGAAAAAAATTTATGTGTTTAACACTTACTTGACTGAACCCCTTCATAATCCAATCGAAAGCCACTAGCGACGTCACTTCCGTTATAAAGGAACCTCACGAGGGCGTATCGACCTGTTGAATAGAGCTTCAGTTCGCCCGCTGCACAATCGGTGTATTTGACAAGTTCTATACTATTATTTTGCAGTCCATCACGGAACACTATGATGTCGTTGGCACCAAATGTCACGTTCTTTAATATAAGCCTCACTCTCATGCCTGCGGGCGCGGTTATACGCCACGTGCACTGCAGACTGCTGGGATATACATTGGTCAAATTAGGACTCGATAAAGAGCCTGAGACTGAGCCATTGATACTGATGTCATTGTTGTCAGCTGTACACTCCGGATCTAATGAGAAAAATTACAAAAGGAGTACGTACACTTACTGAAGCTAAGGTAAAGCGATTGAGTGGTCTTATGGTGCCCGACTTCGCCGAATGTTTGGCCAATATTCTTTAACTGGCGTTGTTCTAATGATTAGTTTGATTAAACCGAACTTACCTTTGAACATACCCAGAAGGTTAGACTACTAATAATTCCTTCATGAATTTTCTCAGGACTAGTGAAGCTGTAGATGTACGCTGACTCAAGCGCGAGTAAAAGTTGCACAAGTGCTTTCGTATATTACTCGCTTAACTATTCCTGAGAACTAACAAAGCAAAATTCTTCTCGGTGACTTCCAACAAAACAGGTTCACCGTCCTGCTTAAACCTCTCCATTTCTTATGAGCAGCCCTAGTGGTTCTGAAGACAAAACTCGCGGGTCTTTTAAAAATGTGAACAGAAAGAGAAAAGCGAGCTAACCGGCAAAGTTCCTGAAAGGTGAAACAACGAATTTCCGAAATACACCATACAGTTGCTTTATTTTTAACACCAGTATTGTTTAAAATTGTTGAATGAGGCCCTGAGTATGATATGAAGAATTATGCAGATCGAGGAGAATGTTGACTGAGGTGGATGACAGTTTCCGATTGAAAATGTTATATCTCTAAGTTAACAACCTTGCCTTCTCGCAGACTTTCTTCAAAACATTTCTTGCCACTGTTTCAGGATATAAACAGATGTTTTTCTTGCAGATACTCTTGAAAATGTAGATGACATCCATCGAGCAATTTGTCATATTCTTGCTTTTACTCCGCAGTTTTAGTCAGAGAAATTCGGCTATTTCGCCTTTATGTAACCGTGAAATCTGTCGACACAATTGGAACCCGAAACAAACTGGTTACTAGTTATATTAGGGCAATATACCGTCGTAACGATTGATTTTGGCCTTCTTCTTCCATGGTCACTGAGTGCGCGCCAGCTGGTTATGAAGAATTAACCGGGAGATTGGTGCGAGCCAATCAGAAACGGCGAAATATTTTGAATGAATAACTATAACTTCGTTTAATTTTTTTTTTCTAAATAAGTTGTCTTTACCTGGTGCACCGTCTCCGCAGTAATAAAGGTCGCATCCCTGCGTCTCTGGCAGCTGATAAATGTAAAAGTCACTGCACTTTTTCACTTTAATATCCATGTACCAGTAACAGCATCCTTTAATCCACCAACTGAAGCACACTCTCCCGGATGAAACAGCACCTGGAACCGTTGGGTAAGTTCCCTGGAACCATCCAGGGGCATGTGTGCCACAGGACCCCGTCTTGATGCAGTAATCAGGCATTCCTAGCCCAGCCCTTCCTCTAAATCTGTACCAGTTCGTGGGCAATTGACTGTCACATTTGGCGTATTCTAGTCCAGAAAGTCTGTAATACTGTGAGCGCTGAAACTCTCGCAACTCTTTGTACGACTGGCATGGGTCGACCTCTAAATGGGGAAAACACATTATCAAACACGAGAGAAACTGTTTTATCAAGCGCGTCATGAAAGGAAATCCAAGACAGTCTTGGATTCTAAATTCCACGCCATAGATTCCGGATTCCAGTTATGGATTCCGACCTTTTAAAGTGGAACTTGGATTCTCCGGATTCCAATCATAGTGGGATTCCGGATTCCTAATGAGCTGTATTCCGGATTCCAAATCTCACGATTCCTGACTCTACAAGCAACAATTTCCCGGATTCCAAAATCCGGATCCCGTTAACCCTTTCACTGCCAGAGTGTTTGATGGAGTTTTGTGAGGTGACTCCAACTTTTGATAATCCTATGATGTGACCATTCAAAAGAAAATTCTCTGCCTGTACTTTCACATGATGCCATTTGTTTCTCAAAATTTTAGAAAATAAATTTTGGAACTTTGGTCGAAATTTACCTTTGGCCACATTTGGCTGTGAAAGGGTTAAATAGGGCGATATCAAAGTGAGAGTGAGAGTAACAAATTGTGTGGCAAACCATCTTTCCTTACACCCTGCAAGTAGAGCTACCTTTTGTCTACTTGAAAAAGGAGGAGAAAAGGAAGCTCCGCCTGTCGCGTCAAGCCTTTGAAGTCACCGCAGCCTAAACTGGATGAAGAGAATAAGCCAGCAAAGAACCTAAAAAGGCCTTGAAGCAGGACGATCACTTAAACGTCCTTCTAAATTTCTTATAGGAACAGGTGACGCTAAGTTGTAAACAAAGCTAGTAGTTAAACTGGGGTACTAATAATCTTTTTTTCACTCTTAATGAGAAAACGCAGCTAGTTTTATAATTGGGGCATACCTACATGTAGTTAATTGTAACTGTAATTATGTTCATGACAATTGGATAGTAATCTTCAGTTAATAGCTTGAGACTGTTGACGCACCACTGTGACATTTTTAATAACACGCGAAGATAAATTAACTTAAAATTCTGCCTACATTGTCGCAAGAAAGAAACCTGTAACTAACAGCAGTCGAGTACAGTGTATGTCATGCTGTTAGATGTTAGACATGTCCGTCCTGCTTCAGTTTAAAACATCGATGTTTACCTTCAATAGAGCAAACGGAGGCGAGAATTACGTAGGACTGGAATAACGAAAGACATTTTTCAGGTATAAGTATGCTTAAGTCTTCTTCTTTTAGACTGCTTACGTTTTATTTGAATGTTTATTTGTCTTCCCAAAGCATTGTCCAAAGAGGTAAATTTAGTGCGTCTCAGACTTGAATACCGGCTAAAACAATATATTAACTTTCTCATCAAAATATACTAGAAATGAGACATAAAATTTAGACTCAGTAGGAAATATTGAGCAAAAAGGTACCCGAAGAAGCAATTAAGAGTAACTCCGAGTTTCATGTCAAATAGTCTGAATACACCTATATGGAGCGCGTTGAAGTTGCGAACATGGAATGTCAGTGTGAAAAATAAACTTTTTTACAGGTAGGCTACAACTAAAACTTGAATTTAAACATTTAATCGATAACAGATTACCAGTATTATTATATACACCTGGAAGCCTGAGGGAAGTTTTCATTTTTCTTTTGCGAGGGATATTTACAGCACTTATATGTTCGCTTGGCTTTTATTTTCTTTTTCTTTTTTTTTTTCATCCCCTTTTAACAGGGGCACCCACACCCAACGAGAATATAGTTCAAAACCACTTAACCTAGCATTGTTAGACGTATTTTAGTATTTAAACGATAGATATAGGCATATTTTTATCCCTTAAAAATTTTTCATCTGTTCGGATTTCCTAGCTGAAAGTCAAGTGATCCGAAAATAATGGGCATAAAAACTTATCTTTTCGAAAATTTTAGCCAGAAAAAAGGCTCCCGAAAATTCTAGGTGACCTTTTTAGGGCAAAAATCCGTTAAAAATGGGCTATTATACCATTTTTTAGATGTTCGAAAATCCTAGGAGAGGCAGGCAAGCAGGAAATTTTATAAAAAATTTTCCGAAAATTCTACATCTAAAATCATCTTCTGAACAGATATTTTCCGAAAAACTGACGTTGGACGTTGGGTGCCCCTGTTTCAAGACTTCCCCTTCATATTGACTACCCTAGCCTGAGATCATGCCCTCTCCCTATTATCCCTTTATGTCTCTCACGGGAAGAGGGCGTTAATTTTTTTCCCTCTCGAGCCAAAGAAACAAAGAAGTAAAAAAAAAAATAACTCCTGATCTCAGGTTATGACTACCCTAGCCCCAGAGGTCCGTTCTCAAAATACTTAATATGAAATAAATCGTGCTTACGTTTGATAAGGTCGCTTTGCCGCGAACCATCAGTATCGATAAGAAAAAAATATCCTCTCGAACCCAGGGTATTAACTGATATTTTGAGCGAAATCTTAGATAAAATGAATGATCTCTGTTGACTGAACGCTGCTGAGCAATTTCTCTCGCGGTGTTTTGTGCTCTGACATCGCACCAATTGGCGCCATAATTTTTACTTTACGATTTTAGTTGAAAAATACTGAATCTGAGAGTCTAAACTACTGTTGGCACTGTCTGTATGCGACCTAGACTCAGTAACACGAAGTGTGCGATAGGGCTTGAGTTAATTAAGAAACAAAAGCCGATTTAGCCACCGGTGAAATTATTCTTTGAAATATCAAGCCATATTGTACCGTCGCGCAATTTGTAATAATCGTGACAGCACTATGTAATAACTGTCGCAATTTTTAATAAAAATTATTACACGAACGACGACGGTTGTTACAAATTGCAGCAAACATTAGACATATAGACATTTTCGTCTTATAGTTAATTTTTAATTACTCTGTTGGAAATGTATTTTCAACAATTTATTATTTCGATAGTTATGAGCCCCCTTTTTATGAAGAAAGGTCGTCCCGGGAAAGTGTCATCCTCCTAACCGAGGCAACTTTAGCGAGCGTTTATATGAGGAAAAGATTGACTGACTCCTTTGTCCGAGCCAATTTTCTAAGTTGTTATACGCGGCCCGTCATTTATTTTAGCACTTCTTAAAATCCTACGCAGTTGAAGTACTTTTTAAACATTTGCATAAAATCTTCTAAACAATATGGCTTTTTCAGTTTTACTGTTTATTTCGTTTTAAAGGCTAATATATGTCAAGAGCTTGAGATCAGCCCACAATAAGGTTGGTTTGTTTTGTCTATCATCTAAGTACCACGCGCGAAAGCCTAAAACAGCCGCACATTTATAATATATTAATTAAGCAGTAGCCGAGCGACTCATCAAATGTATTTCTATGACTTTGTGTCTGTTTTCAAAATAACAGCTTGTAGAGCTTTCTAGAACACGCCTGGGGTTTGCCATAGATGACTCAAGGATCGGGCGGGGGGTTCACCTGAAAACGGATTGAGTGAGTGTCTGCGCCGTAGGCATTCTTCTTGAAATTCTCACCTGACTTCAGAGCAAGATACGTGATTTTCCCTAAATGGAGAATTGTCCATGAAGATCCTACTCATTCTCATGTCGACAATGCTCACGACCATCAGCTCGGAGGTTGTCATATTGGCAAAAAATGCAGTAGCAGCTCTTTAAAACAACCTCTCTTCTATTAAAAGCTGCATTGTTCGTAAAGAAAAAAAGGTTACCAGAATTGCCTCTGCATAGCTTGCAACGTTTACGTAATTTATGGACAGCTTTTATAACCTCTTGCGGTGCGTATAATTTTCATTATCATAACTTCAAATTTGTGTGAATTTAAACGTACGAGCTATTAATAATCACCATTGCTATTACTTATATTATCGTTATCGGAAGGTTATCTTTATTCTAGTGTCTCAATTTAGTAGTTTTTTTTAATGCTGTAGACTGACACGTAAATAAACTATAGGTTATCTTCTCTTACATGTTCATGAATCTGATATCGATGTTGACGGAATAACAACTGAGTAAGAATCAAGGGAAGGCACCCGAAAAACAAAAACATCTTTTAAATCGAGAAAAATCTAAGATTTCCGCTGGGGTGTCAAAAGAAATCTGTCTGGCGTATAAAGAACGGCGACTTTTTTTTTGTCGTATTCGTATAAACTTTCCCGAAAACTAACGGATGATTGACTAAAACGATGGTTTATAGAGGCTGAAATTTGAACGTTTGAATAGCAATTGTTTATTATTATCATTATTATTATTATTATTATTATTATTATTATTTATTGATTTTAATGGAATCTCCTTTACTGGAAGTGAGTAGTAAGGTCTTTAAGTAGAGACCTAACAGACGACGTCATGTGTTTCAGTTGCCATGACGAAATTTGAGCGAGCTGTCTCTTCAAAATCAAGTGGTTAAAAAGAAAAAAAGGTTTGTGGCCATGCACACATGTCGAGCTCAAAATGTTATCGCTTCCAGGCAAAAAGGGAGGAGAACTCACAGCTTCCAGATCATTCCGCCAGTCCGAGAGATGACAAGTGAGGAAGCAGTAAAAGTTTGATAACATGTTGGCCTGTGCGGTTCAGTTATTATGGAACGCAACTTATCATCGCTTAACCCGTTTAATTAGCTAGAAAGCCGCCTTAACAAATAATAAATAAATAATAGCTCAGGCTTCGGGTTTTCTTAATCCCCCAGGGCAATGTTTTGAAAGTTTCGAATTAATGGATAAAACTGGAATCAATAATGATGCTAAATTAAAACTGTTTTCTTAAGTGAATATAGTATTACTTAGGTACTTTAAAAAAGGAGAAATTATCCCTCAATTTTCCATTTCTATTTGTAACGACTGTAAAAGATGTTAGAAACGAGCCGACTATGAAATGATTTGATTATTTCATATTCAGTAAGTATAAAAATTAAAATCACTAAAGACTTGCACTGCGAATAAGGAGTTTGGATGGAGAGTACAGCGAGACAAGCTTCTCCTTTTTAACCATAATTTTAGATCGTTAATTCTGACGTGCAAATTAAAAGACCTCAACTTTTAGCTGGTCTTGCTTGATTAAACGCTCAGCGATAAATCGTAAATATTATTCAGTCTGTAATGTGGATCACAAGAATAAATCTTTTATATTTTTGAAATAATGCCGGAAACAGTTGAAAATCGCAAGAGAATAGAAAATCTTCGTCTGCAGTTTTGGTTAAAGTTAACTTATATTATTTCATGAATTTGCTTGGAACGAAACGTGCTAATAAGTACTTCGTTTCTTTTGATCCTAAATCCAATTTTTTAATTTCTCTGATATCCGCTAAGCGCTTCTGCTCAACATTTGTTATCGAGAGATATCCATATGTTGTAGAAATCGTGCTTATTTTGATGCATAAAAGATATCAGTTCTTACCTGTGTTTGAAGTTACAAGTAGAATAAGAGACAGCAAAATTTCCCAAAACAGCAAACACATCTTTTCTGTGAGTCACTGAAAGTCGAGAAATTATCCTTCCCACACCGTCAAAACAACAGAAGGATCAGGAAGATAGTCCACATAGTCGTATGCAGATTTTCCCTGACCTCGGAATGTAATTACAATAATCAATAAGTTGAAACCTTCACGCAATCATAATCTATAACGGTTTTTCGACATCACGCCGGGATTAGTCAAATTTTTCATTTTAAAGAAAAAAATACGATCCTACAAAGGATAAGAATCCATTAATATTTTCAAGAGTGTCGCAGCTGGAAAGATAATAAACCGCTGAACGGTTGTTATTTGAGTAGTAACACTACAGAAATTTAGAAATGCAAATTGAACAAATTAAAGTGTTTGAGTTGACTTTGTTTTAAATCTCCTATTGTGTACTATTGTGTAGACAGTTTAGAGACAGAAATAAAGGAATGTAAACACTCATCCACGTTTGTAACAATAATTGAGTATCCTCAGATGAGAGTTAAGACCGTGACTTGGAGTGTTAACTTTTAATTTTGAGGGAAAAAGAGACCACGAGCGTTTCATACTTATTAGAAGTATATCAGTTTCATCATCCCGGGTGTGTTAATAAAAAGAGGTTTGGGCATATTTCTAAAAGTCAAAATTTGGGAAATTTTCACGTTTAGGCGGAAAAGCTCCATAGGTTATATTACGTGCTCTTCTTGTTTGTCAGCGTGCCCTTGAAATTTTCGTCACCCGTTTCTCCAACAGACGGGCAGCTAGGAAGAACTTACCGCTATAAACGACGCACCAGTGAAGCAGTGTATATTATTTAGGTCATTTAGATTTGCTGGAAATTTGTTTAAATTGATATCAGGATAATAAAAGGTCAAAGCAAAGCTTTTGCTTCCAGTAGTCAGTCAGGTTGAATCATGACTTCATTGACCATACTAAAGGAAAATTTGACTTGAGAAACTTTTTAGTGGAGCTCTCACGCGCTCGCGCAAAGGGAGCACAATTGGTAACAAATTTGGTTACCTTTGCATGGGCGCCATTCCATTTCAATCAAAACGTCTGGTTTGTACCGTATGGAACAGCATTTTCGCAATATATACGCAAATTTTCGAAAATTATCATGGTTCTAAAATTTCTGGTTGAATGGTTTTTATCCAAGAAAATTTGGTTGGTTTAGATTTTATTTTCCTTTGTTTTGGGGTATGGTATTGTATGATAATAAGTTTGAAACAAAGGAAAATATATTCTAAACCAAGGATAAAATTGAACCACAACATACGTGCTAAAACGAATCATGATTAGTAAGTGGACTAAAAAACTAATGGGCAAAAAGAGTAAAAAAACTCGCCCTTTCTTAATGCCTAACTGGGATAAACAACTTAAAAAATGTGTTATGTTCTGACAACAAATCAAAAAGACGTTTACACTACCCATTGAGCTTGTAAGCTTCAAACAATATGGTGTTCAAATAAAGGTTTAGTATTGCACAAATTGTATGCATCTTGAATTAGCCAGCGTAGCCGGTGCTAGGAAATAAACTGGGACGCAAGAAAAAACGCGTGTGTCCTTCTCTCTCGCGCGTTTTTTCTTGCGTACCATTTATTTTCTAGCGCCTGCTACGCAGGCTAATGTTGAATTGGAATGCACAGGGATGCCCAGAAAAGAGTAAACACGTTATGTAATACAAATAAATTGTCAAGTCGTCATGATGCGCTTCGGACATGTTGACAGACATCAATGCATGGGCATCCGTTTGTCGAAGATAGTGGGCGTTTCATTGCCCAAAAACCGGAAAGGCGACCGCTAAGGTTATCAAATTAAAGGACGATATGCTAAGAACCATTTTAGCATACGAAGCAAATGCGTGCAGAACCCGGCTTAGTGCCAACCGTTTTTCAGTGGCGTGGGAAAATGGAATTCAATTTAATTTTTGTTTTCCTTAGACGTTTAAAAAAGCCGATTTGAATTTCTGGCATTCGAAAACGGATTTTTTGGAAAAAACGAAGAAGCATCACTAAGGAACATTTGCTTACAGACTCTCAAATCTATAGTTAACAAGCCGAGGGTAAGAGCCATACCACTTTTTCAATTAGCGCCGGATAGAGAAATTAAAGTGACTGAAGCCTTTGTTCTGGCGTATGACCCATTTGACTGGAAAAAAAAAAAATAATAATAATAATAATAATAATGATAATAATAATGGCAAGCAGCTGCATGGGCAGTTCAAGAGAGAGACAGATGACCTATCTGGTGTGTCTTGGGAGTGGATAAGAACTGGTGAACTGAAGAAGGAGACATAAGGGCTTATTTTTGCCGCGCAAGATCAGGCATTAAGAAAAAACGACGTAAAAGCCAAAATCGAAAACCAAAATGTATCATCCAAATGCAGAATGTGTGGTAGCCACGATGAAACTGTGCAGCATATTTTGTGTAGTTGCCCCAAGCTTGCGCAGACAGAGTATAAAAAGAGGCATGATGTTGTTGGACGGGTCATTCATTGGGAGGTGTGTAAGGAATATGGAGTTGAGTGCAGTGACAAATGGTATGAGCATTCCCCCAAAAGCGTAGAAGAGAATGAGGAGGTTAAACTGTTGTGGGACTTTACCATCCAAACAGACCATGAAATCCATCACAGGAGGCCAGACATTGTAATTCAGAAAAAGGAGGCAAAGGAAACAATCATTGTGGACATAGCTGTTCCCGGAGATAGTAATATTCTGCAGAAAGAAACTGAAAAGTGTGAAAAGTACCGAGACCTGGCAACAGAGATTCAAAGGATCTGGAAATCAAGGACAAAAGTGGTGCCAGTGGTTGTAGGTGCATTGGGTTCAGTGTCAAAGAAGCTGGCAGGCCACTTGGAGCAACTAGGAATTAAAAACCGAACAAGAACGATGCAAAAGTCGGCACTCCTCGGATCGGCACATATCCTCCGAAAAGGTGCTGGAAGTCTGAGGTCTCGGGATGAGACTTGACTGGATATTTCTCCCCAGGGAAAATACCTGTGCTAAATTTTACATAATAATAATAATAATAATAATAATAATAATAATAATAATTAAAATGGCGCTTTTCATTAATATGATGGGTGAAATGTTACCGACTTCTATCAAATAAGCGACAATTTATTAAGTATTAGCCAGAGGGAAGGTAGCCAATCAGAGTGCGCGAAAAGGTTATTTCCCTTACTTTGTAAAGGTGGATCTTAGTTTATACTTTTGCCTTATTAACACAAAACATCATTCTATTAAAAACTGAAGTTCGATATAACTAATACTGATTGGATAATTTCTGTTATAAATACTTCAAATGTCTCGTTTAATACTGGGTTAGGGTTAGGGTTAGTTCTTGATAGCTGACCAATTTCGTTGAAAATTGAATTACTGTAATTATAAGAAGCTCGGAAATTTTACGGAGTACTCAAATTAACAAGCTCTTTCAACGAATGAAGAAATTCTAACGTTATTTGCCGAGTCCCGTTTGAGGGGGGAGGAAAAACTGGAAAGGAGGATTTCCCTTACCTGGGAAGGCAGCTTTATTTTTAGGAAAGTTCTATAAAAAGAAAATTTGGGGGGATTGACCACCAACATGGCCGCCTGGTCATAAGGAAGTAAACCAAAAATGGTGGCCATGATTTTGGTCAATAGATATCGTTCTCAGCCACATGGTCAGCAGGTCAGCCATGTAAACTTCTTGGAACTAAGAGGGTTTTTACTTGGGAAAGTGGTTGACTTCAATAATCAAGAGAGGATGACTTGGCGCCCATTCAAGTTATTTTGTTGTTTACCAACATGGTCGCCATTTGGACGTACTGCAAAACGATCTATAATATAATTTGTTTTCGAAGAATTTGCAGGAAAATAAAATTTGGTTCCACGTTCACTACACTCGCGAAATGAACCGAAATGTAACCAAAAGAGAGATATGTAGAACTGAATCACGTTCCAGCAAAAGGCAAATCTTCGATTCCGGTTAACTATTTCTCAGATTTGGAAATGCCCAGATAAAAAACGTACAAAATTATTCAGAAACTGTTTATTTTGTGTAGATGTACCAAACTCTGCGAACCCTAATGTCAAAATTAAAATTCTCATCTGTTGCTCCTATATATGATCCGGAGAAGTAGTGAGAAGAAGTTGTGAAAGTATCAATTAAATTCACTTGGTATGATCATGTCTTAAATTCTGTTTTAAAAAACGAGCAGGAGTGTATTATCAGGTGTAAAAACTCGAGGCAAAGCCGAGAGTATTTAAACCTGGTAATACTCGCGACAGCGAGTTTTTTGAACAGCTTCAAAATCTCTGATATAGATCAACTCAGTCTTGCACTAATATTTAGATCTAGGTTTATTTTGGTCTAAAAAATTGGACGTAGAGTTTAGCCGTTTCTTTATCAGACATAAAGACACTCATTAAACATTAATTTCTTTTGTTTTTTTTCTTTATGAATTATTACTTATTGAAAGTTTAATAAAGCATTGATTTGCTGGGAGATATTTGATGGCTATCATTCTTTAGGCTTTAAAGATTTATGAGCTGTAATTTAAAGGTAAAGGGAAAAACATGGTCACGTGGTCCAAATAGAAATTTCTCTTTAGCCCTGAATGCAATTCTAAATCACGATGTCACGATGATCTGCCTTGAAAACTATCGATAAAACGCTGGGTACCTTCCAGCAATCGACCGTATACTTATGGGAAAACACGGTTAAGCTGAGATAATTACAAGACAGGTAGCTTAAGATGGTCGGCAAAAGCAGAAATCTCTCGAAGCGGTTTTAGTATGCATGCAGATGCGTTTATCTGTGAATCAGGATGCGAAACAGTCACACCAACGCAGAGGAAAGCCATTCGAGGGGTACTTATGCCCCTAAGATAATAAACGAAGAGTATATACTTTAGTGTATTATCAGTTTTAAAAGATGAAAGAAAGAGCATCCTGTTAAAGGTGGCTTGCCCAGCCTTGATGTCTATGGGTAAATTCTAAAGATAATGACCGCTCAGACAAATGCTGTTCTGAGGACTACTTGATTTGTTTTTTATCAATGAGCTGATCAGCAGCATTCAGTATCGAGTTTAAAACATGAAGCGCAGTGCATCAGCGTGTTTTAAGCTTTATGAAACACGACCGCTGCTATCCCTGCGAGTTTATTGAAAGGTTTAAAACATCTTTCCTCTTGATTTGTTCATATTTTTTTCCATCAACCTTTTTTTTTTCACCTTCAGCAAGAAAAAACTCAGCCATGCTTTATCTGATTTTGTCGCTAATGAGTTCTTTTTGTTTTACAAATTATATCAAGGTTTTGACATCTGCTTCCTCAGCCGGGTAATCTAAGTAAAGTATTTGGGTTAATCCCTTCAAAGTAGGCTTTAGGCCGTAGTTATTTCAAGAACTTCGGCCATTAAAAAAGGTTTTTGCTTTGGGCTAAACTCGTTAGCACTGTCCACCTGACTAGCTAGTTTTGCTCTTTTAAATTCAGTTTTTTATATTTCCAACCCATATAATATTTTGGTTTCTTTCCAGAAAACTTAACCTCGCCCTGGGGGTATCTCCAATGCTTTTAAATGATCTGTTAGAGCTAGTAGGGTGTAATAATGGTTTCAACGATAGTTAGTTTACCTAATATTTTCACTCTGTAATGCAATGAAGTGAATATAAGTTAACCGGCTGCAGCGGCGAGTATTGATTAATCACTTAATATACAGGTCCTCGCCGTTTATGTTCAAGTATCCTCTTTAAGCACATTTTCCTGTTTGTGAAAGAGCAATAAATTTCGCATGGATAGGTTTTTTCAAACTGGTGAATGTGGTTTTTGCTTCTTTTTGCTAAAAACAAAGTCGTGCAAATTTGCACGAAAAAAAAACGAAGAATCCTATTTAATCCAAATATCATACACGAAAATCAGAATCTATTTACTTCAACATCCTGTTTTTCTGCGAACACAAGTTTTAAAATAAGGTTCTCGAATCAATCTTTGACTTCTACCAATGAGAACGCAGCTGTTTTGCATTGCAAGAGAACCCTGGGGTAATCCATGTTCCACTATTAACTTGTCTTTTGTTTTGCTTTCAGAAGAGTGGAGATCACATGTCGTTTATTCTGTCTGCAAAAGAATACATTGTCAACGAAACTAAGGTTCTCAGTAACTGCTTCATTTTCAGACGCGATCAGAGAACCGCGAAGTTGTCCTATAACTGTACAAACGACGCACTTTTTGGAACGCACCATTCTACCCAGAAGAGAATTAATTAGATGACCGCCACATTTTTAGAATGGCATAAGAGGCTTTATCAAAAACTCAAATCACTACTTAAATTGATTCCCAGTGGCATACGATTTCAGTTATTACCAGCACAGACTTTCGCAACTGGAGAAAGGTGCCAATACTATCTCATTTGGTCACTCGATCAAATGAAATAATCAGTGGTTTTTCCACGAATCTACAGAGAAAGAAAATGAGCGGGAAAATAACGAACAATTAAGCATCCAAGGATTTAAATTAAGTTGAGCTTTTTTCGCCTACACCTGCAACTAATGGTACTTTTCAGGATAAACATTCAAGAAAAAGCAATCCATTATACTTTTGGATTGGAAAAAACTATGGTGTGACTGTTTAAACAAGAGATTTTTGTCAGTTATAGAAAGTGAAGATTGGAACTTGTCTCGTGTTGGAACCGTTCACTCTAAATATGGAGAAATCATCAAATGCCACAAACACTTCTTTTTCGCCAAAATTACATGATATTTTACTCGAGCTTCAATCCAGAAGTATGTGGCTAATAGTCGTGGAATCAGTTCTTCTGCTCTTAATCAATTTTGTGGCGTTTTTTGGCAATCTACTGGTTTGCCTTGCGTTTTACCGGAATCCAAGACTGCGGATAACTCCAAATTATTACATCATCTCCTTAGCAATATCAGATTTGCTGACATCAGTATTTTGTTTACCATATTCTGCAGGAGCTCTTATTGCCGGCAAGTGGCCATTCGACAATTTGATTTGCCAGTTACAAGGATATAGTGTCTTTGCTTTCAGCATTGCATCTCTACATACTATGGCATTGACAGCGTGTAACAGATACATACGAGTCATCAAGTTCCATCTTTACCCCAACTTATATACCTCGAAGCTGACAATTTTGTCTGTTCTCCTAATATGGGCATGGGCTTTGCTTTGCAGTGCACTCCCTTTCATTCTCAAAATTTCTACTTTTGCCTTTCATCCGGGAACTGTGATTTGCTACAGTTCCCCCTCATTTACGCCGGCTTTTATTATTCTTTTCACCACGACTCTAACGATAAACATTCCCGTTCCCATGGCGGCGGTTATCATCCTATACCACAAGGTATTCCGAGCAGTTAGGCACCGGAGATTCCGTGTCTCGACCGAGAGAGGACATGGCACGAGTCTTGAGGATATAAGACTTGCCAAGTTGCTGTTCACCGTTTCACTGGGGTTTTGTTTATGCTGGGGGCCTGTCATGATTGTAGAATGTATCCGTTTTGTAGGCCTATGGGCAGTTCCTCGACAAGTGTACCTGACAAGTACATATTTTGGAGCTGCGAGCAGTGCCATCAACGTGTTCATTTACGGAGTAATGAACCGGGCCTTTCGCAATGAGTTTATCAAAATATTATGCTTTAAAAAGGTTAACTAACCTGACAACAGTGAAAACAAGGTGCACCTACTGATTTGTTACAACTGTTGTCTTTAAAAGTTTGACTAGATGTCTTGGTGGGACTTGAATCTGAGGAAAGAACCGAAGGAAAATAATTAAGTCTATCATAGCATAGAAAACCAGTGTAACGAACGGACAGTGTGGGATTCAAATGAACGAGATCGAAAAAAGATATATCGTAGAACGAACAACAAATGAACTAATAAGTCTACACTCTAAGAGCGTATTGCACCTATTCATCCATCAATTATAATCAATCAATTAAACTTTATTTAACACAGATTTCAACAAATAAAATTGACATAAGATATAGTTATTTAAAAACAATATATCTAGTCCGCATTTTGTTCCATTTTTAAAAATAGAAACTGTAAATTGGATCTATAAATTATAATGAACTATAACTCTAGAGTTCTTTTGAGATTTAATTGTAAGATATTTCCTTGTAATTCCTTTAGTTTTATCGATATACTTTGTAATGAATTGCTATTAAAATAGCAAAATCATTATTCAATCTTGAGTTTTTATTTTTTGTTTGTATTATTAACATAAATACTATAATTTTTAATTTCAGAATATTTATCTTTATCATCATTATATATATTCAAATGTCTTCTTGATTATTTGATTTTGAAACACTAATTTGTAGAGCTTGCGTGTTTAAATTGCATGAAAATCCAGCATTTTTTTTCGCGACGAATTTTTTGAGAGCGTTTTCATATGACGTCACACGTCCGTCATATTCGTGTCCCTAAACAAAAAAACGGCGGCCATGTTGGTGTCCCAAACCAGTCTTGTGGTAATTTAACCTTTTTTGATATGCAGCAATCTCATAAAGGCATTGACCTAAATCCCCTTAACGTCTCGTAGAACTCCTTGCATTCTACATCCCCTAATATTTATTCCTGCAGTGAAGTTGGAATCGAGAAAGAACCAGGTTGACATGAGAAGGCATCCTATGATTGCGCAGAAGGGAATTCCGTGATTGCTCGTAATCTGAACCCACCATCAAGGTAAATTGAAGATGGGACAGGATACAATGCAATTACCAGTTGTGAGGACTGAAGTCTTTTAAAAAGACAGCAAAGTAGGGAGAATTGCTGGGGTCTAGACCATGAACAATTGGGTGATACACTCTGGCAGCACCATCCTTGCAATCAAGAGGCGGTTTGAATCCCTTTGCGTCTGCTTCATGCCTTGAAAGAATAACGAAACGGTGAGAACTGTTGCCATAAAGCTAATGGGAATTTTTCTCTATTCCCGGGGGGGACATGATTTAAGTCACAGCCGCTTCGCTAAAGCACCATGCCAATTTTGGTTCAAGATTTGTTCATTACTCGTATAAGGTAATCTGGGACCGTTTACCCAAGTCATTCAAAAAGCTATCTGTAGCCTACGCTACCAAGGGAATATTTCTTTAAGGCACGGGTATGATCAGAGCTTTAGCCCCTTAAAACTATTCCAATTTTGCTCCATAAGATTCGTCCAACATTTGTAGAACCAGTTATAGAGATCATCCAGACATTGTGATAAGGAAGGGGAGCCTAATCTGGAAGCCTTGCGGACCTGCAATCGGCAAAAAAAATTGTTGACGCATTAGGGAGCATAAGCAACTGAGACGTTTTTGAGCGACGTACGTCAACCGGAACTATGGCCGTTTCCTTTATAATATGCCTTGACGCTACCAAATTTGTATTGGTAAGTATTTTTACTCTTTTAGAGAAGATTTGCCCAAAAAAGGCTCAACAGTATTTTGTAAGGCCGAGTAGGCTCGAGTTGCATGTTCTTAGACGAGAGGTTAAACTTAACCATCTTTCGAGGAACCGGGCCCAGGCGATTTCCCTTAGAAGAAGGGAGAGGCGAGACTAAGTGCCGCCTCCCCCGTCATGTTTTAACGGAAAATTCGTGGGAACGAGGCCGATGATTCCTTTCTCCAGCCCCTCCCCTCGTGGTGCACTGTTAGCAGCTAACAAATGCTTACTTAGATTGATAAAATGGTCGTTCATCCGTTACCCAGCCAGTATCCACAGCTGTCATATATATTCCATCCATTTGGTACTCCAACCCACTTGTTCGTGTCATCATATTCAGGGCAGCTTTCGCCATGTTGGTGTGAGGGTGGCGATGTCCTTTCGATACACGAGAAAACTGACCTTCCATGGCAGACACATTCACGACGAACTTGCGCTCGAAAGGACTTTGTTTCAGAAGTGGTTTGAGTTTTGCCGTTAGAATAAAAGGTCCCACTGCATTGATAGTCAGAACCTGCAAGCCATGAGAAAGTAACATCTTAATTGATACTTCGCCTTTGTATCAGCAGTCACACCCTGCCAGCAAAGCCTTTCAATTTTGGCGTACACATGCAAGAAAGACACTGCATGATTCGCGTGAGATCTTTGTTGAGCATGCGCTACATGTTGCTAGAATACAAGTTTCGAACCCAGGCCTTATAGCCGTGAACCTAGTACAGCGGTTTATCAATAGAAGGATACTCGCACTCGAAATAACCGTTTTGACGAGAGAGAACAAGATTGACTATCCAGAAGTTTGGGCTGCGGCGATTCAGGAAGAGTCTCCTTTTTTCCTTCTCACTCAAGAAAACAAAAAGAGGATATGCTCGCAGGGTGCAGTAGTCATTGACAGTTGTTGAGATCGCATCAATATTCAAGTACTAAAAAGGACTCCAGCACCCAAGTCTTATTCATGACAAAATTTCTCCTTTCTCATATAGAAAAATGCATTTTTGGGAAACGGTGCAAAGAATAGGACTCAAATCGTGTTCTTATAAATATATATCTGACTGAACATATGTAAACATGGCGTCAATGAGCCGCTACAGGTCCTCAGCTAAGTATGTCCTGGGTACCAAGAATCCAATCTCACCAACCAAGAGACTGGGTGGCTGTCCGCGCATCTCCCTGAGCTCTACAATTATCGTGATAATTATTGTCAGCAGAGGCCTGATTGTGCTGTTTGAGGCAAAGGGGAACTGAAAAGGTACTTGCCAGTCAAAGCCTCTGGTAAACACTGCTCCTTACTGAAAGGTTTGTGTCAAAATAGACCCCCTACCCATCCACTGTTAGGGTTGACCCTGGGCTATCTGCCTGTGCCGACCAAGACGGCAAGCCTTCCCAATTTCTGAAGACCAAACTGGCTTCCGGCGCTAGGCGAAAACCTATTTGCCACGTTTTAACGAGTTCAGACAGATATACTTATAATTGTATATTTTTCTGCGCAGAATTTTCATTTTTCTCTACTGAATTTAGAGAAAATTGCATCTTAATGTCAAAGGTTTTTTTTTCACAAACTAGAACTCGTATCACTTCTCACTGTCGTTCTCTACATGCAAATTACCCTGCACTTAATGTCGAGTGCAATTTGGAATAAAGAAGGAAGAGTAACTGACAGAATTTGCGGTATTTAATCAATTTGCAAATGCTTATTTATTCCAAAGTGCATGAGAATCATATGGAATTATTTAAAATGCGAGACAAGTTGCAGTAAGCTTTATGTTTTTACATTTATCCAACGTTATCAGTAATAAAGCGTTCTCGATTTAAGTGCTCTCTTGAAACCTCGTATCCACTACACTAAGAACTTATTTCTAAGAATAGTTCGTTTATATTTGACCGTATATTGAAAAATCATGATCATGGTCTTAGTTTATTTTATCCACTGACTTTCGCATCGGTTCAGCAAAACAAAATGCCCCACTACTAGTACTGAGCCAATACCTGCAAGACTCATCACCAGTCGCCTATCAGTGGACCACTCCCTGTTCCCGCCATGCGCGTCACGTGGGCGACTGTTAACGAGTCAAAATAACCTGCAGTATTGGCGTTGTCGTTTTGTGCCGCTGTCACTATCTAATTGGTCAATTGAACTATAATAGGGTGTGTCAGCAGTGCCATTCCACTGTTTCACCTCAAGCAAGCTACATTGCGAAGCCAAAGGAACCACAACGGTAAGTTATCAAGACAAGACAAGGGTAAGTGACTTAGCGTCAGGGTGTCAAATACACCTTACTGATAAATTTGAAACTTAAGCACTTATTAAGTAACTTGCACAGGTAATCATTTCTTGCTTTGAGCCTAGCCTTCCATTTTTATTAAACGAGGCACTGCGGCATGAACAGACCGTACTGTAGTCTGCAGTAGTATAAATCAACGACGAGAGAAGAGGGCAGATGTGAGGTTTATTTAAAACAGCTGCCTTAACTGCGTGCAAACGTCGGCAAACGATTAGTACACATTCCAAAACAACTTAACGGGGGCAAGACTTTTCTTGAAGCAAATATTGGCAGATATTGTCATGCTTCAGCATTGTGATTTACGAGCACAGTTCATGGGAGTAACCCAATTATCCCAGCTGAAGCGTATAGTCTTCGATTTCTCTAGCATTGCCCTAGCTTACTGTATTAATTTAATTTCTTTTTAAGAGTTTTCTTTCTACCGATCTTCTTGTAAATATACGCTCAAAGTTCAACATCAGAGTTCAAAAATTCCAGGGGCGTAGCTGGGGGAGGGAGGGAGGGAGGGAGGGGGGCATCTCTTTCTTATTTCCACAAAAACGCTAGAAATGTGTTATAGACTGATCACGGTACTTTCGTCAGCGGTTCTTGTATGGGCTAAATTTAGTTTATAGAGACGACATATCCGTTCCTTCTTGCCACACGACTCATCTAAACACTATGCAGCTATTGTGCAGGCTTGTCCTTCTCCCACGCTCACTGAACGTCCAAAAAATGTCAGTTTTAGTTAAACAAATATGGATTTTGACATAACAATCTCTTAAGTGGCCTGGGTATATCACGGTGTGACACCCTCCCCCACCCCTTCTTTTAAAAAATCTATAGTAACCCCCGTATAATCCACTACACCGATAAAATAGAGGCCTCTAAGCCGCCTGTAAAATTATCTACAAAAATCGATCGATTATTTGATTACCTCAAAAGCCAATATCAATCTAAGCAAGCTCTACATACGAAAAAAAAATAATAACAGAAAAAACAGTCACGATTACATTTCTCGATTTGCCTAGGTAGGAATTATATGAAGCTTAGCCTCTAGGGTGCCACGAAAACTGTCCTGAAGAAGAAAAGCTTGACTGCATTTTTTAGCCAAAAATCTACCTGATTTTATGGAGCGTGAACCAGCCCGAGTAACCAGTTAATCGCGCATGACCTGGCCTTTTGCTATGAACAGTTCCAAGGGGCAGCTGTCCTTTACGGGTGTTCCAATACAGTGCATTCCACTCAACTAGTACCTCGTTTTTTTTGTCTCATTTATCGTTAGGCAACTGAGCATCGATGGCGAGAACTCAAGTGACCTCAGTTTTGTGTTTGTACCCGTTATTATTAACAAGTATGACTACATTCTGTGCGAACCTTGACGGTAGCAGCAAAACAGGCCAGACTTGTGTAAGTGTTGGATAACAATGTACATATTGCAGATCTTTACAGCAATTTCTGCGATGGCAGATTCCCGCAGTTGTTATGGGAAGCTTCCTTAAACAATAGCGTTATAAAGAGATAAATAAAACATATATTTGTGTAATGAGGGTTCGATCCGTTTCACTCTTTTTAATTGTATCACCAGTCTACTCGCCTATGTTATGGCGGCATTCCAGGCATGCATGGCAAGCCAGGTACGCCTGGGCCACCAGGCCGCGACGGCCGTGACGGACGAGACGGAGCTAAAGGAGACCAGGGAATTGCGGGGAATGCTGGCCCCCAGGGTCTTCCTGGTGTCATAGGTCCTGCTGGTGCAACTGGAAAGGATGGTGCTAAGGGAGAGCTTGGCGCCCAGGGTCCTCCCGGTCAAAAGGGGGAGCGCGGAGAGCCTGGAAATCCCGGTATGATGCCTTTCAAGAACTGGAAAGAGTGTGCTTGGAAAAACGTGAACGATGACAGAGACAATGGGTTAATCAAGGTCTGTGTTATGATCATCTATGGTGATGGTGTCTATGGCATGTTGGTGTCACTCGAGTATCTGCCCCCCTCCCCTCTCCCTTTCAGAAAAAAAAACCTATTTTGCGAAAAAATTTGCATAAATGGCAAGTTGTCGTTAGTCATATTCAAAGTAATCACCTACATCCTGAAACTGTCCTTTACCGTTTATCGAAGTAGAGGTAATAAAAGCAGTAAGATAGACAAATAAAAAAAATAATTAATAGATAAATCCTCATACATAAACAGATAAATCAACTTAGTATTGGCGAATGTACACTGTGGTTTTTCGTCAGCAATTCCGAATCGAATTGAATTTGAAGTTGTTCGTTTTTGAGGACAGGAGAAAACCGAAGTGTCTGAGAAAAACCTCTCAGGGCAAGGGTGGAAACCAAAAACAAACTTAAGCAAAACATGCCTTGGCGCCACTTCAGAGGGGTTCGAATCTAGGCCGCATTGGTCTGAGGCGAATGCTCTCACCACTTTGCCACCCTTGCTGACCTTCTGAATTATTTCCTTTTTGCCAGTCCTTTTCTTGTTTGCTTGAGCACATACAGGAATACAGCAGATATGCATGAGTATTTACAATGGTGAGACGAAAGCGAGCCATTCTAAATGTCCATACAAATTGGGCCCGAATATTGTATAGAAATGAAACGATAAGTGAAGTGAATTCTAATAGCTGGCCAATAGTTTCAAATGGTTCATCTCCTTTTTATAATTTGTCATCCCACTTGATTTGTATCAAGATCAACAGAGGCATGCAAATCAAATATAGGATATAGGATTGTTTTTGTTCTCTAATTAACGAATTGTAGATAGTGTTTTGATGAATTGATTAGATTTTTTGCAACAGCAGGTTGATTGTAAATAGGATTTTAATCAAGGTTTTGTAATAAAGATTTTACCAATTTTCCTCTTAATCAAATACTACCTTTTGGTTGATCACAACTTTGAGGTATAATCAATATCTTTGAACAATCTTTTTTTTTTTTTTTTATCACGCAGGAATGTTTGTTTACCAAAAACTTCTCTGAAACAGCTCTTCGAGTGGTCTGGGTTGGTGCTTTAAGAATAGCTGGTTGTGTAAACTGTTGCAAGCGGTGGTACTTCACTTTCAATGGCGCCGAATGCTCAGGTCCACTCCCCATCGACGGCGTTATCTACTTAAGCATCAAAAATGAAAATCCTCACCGGGTCCGTCAAATCGAGGGACACTGTAACAACATTCACCAAGGGAGGGTGCGAGTTGGATTTAGCGTCGGTAACTGTGTCGGATATTCCGGAAGCGTCGATGCATATACAGGTTGGAATTCCGTCTCTCGCATCATAATCGAAGAAGTTCCCAAGGCTCAGACTTAGACCTTGTGCAAGCGCGCGAAAAAACCTTTGTTGTTTTTAAAAATTAAAAAACGCTCAAAACTTAATACAAGAAACTAAACTAAAGCTGAAAGTGGAGTCGACAGATCTGCTTATAAGCGCCATAGCTGAGTTAATTCTAGAGTATCATAAATAAAAATAATTGAAAAGTCTTAGGCCCAGTTCAGACGTCGTGCTTCTGCCGTGCCGAACTAAATTCGGGAATTAAGTTCGACAAAAGCACGGCAGAACCACGGCGTCTGAATCAAACTTTTGAATTAAGTTCGGTAAGCAATTAAGTTCGACAAGCGCTGCCGTGCTACACGGCTCTGGCAAGGCAGCGATTCAAACGTCGTGCTTCTGCCGCGCTAAACAAAATTCATAAATTACATTAATATATTTTGTCGAAATTGCGTTCCCACAGGGAGTTGGGAGAAGAATTGTTACGAGGCATCAGTAAATCCTGAATTTGGTTCGACTCTGGCACGACGTCTGAATCAAAGTTGTTTTCCTGCCGTGCTACAGTCGAACCAAATTACAATTAAGTTCCGCACGGCAGAAACACGACGTCTGAACTGGGCCTTAGTGTACTGGTTTATTAATGCTCCCTACAACCTGAAAAAGATGTGAAACAGTTGTTTCCACTAGAGCCGAGCAAACAGAGGTTGAAGTCGACAAAATAACATAGAGAGAGAATTGATCGAAGACCCTTGAAACAAATAAAGTAAAGTCTAATTGAAACTTCGTCTTTATAAGATGCCGTTTAACAAGATTTTTCTTTCATGTTAACTGCATGATCAACTCTACCAATAGTCTAGAACGATACCACATGCTTCAAGATTAACGACTATTTGCACCATTCGTCAAGTACAAGCTTGCTTCGTTTGCTCCGAATGGACCATATCGAGACAGGCAGGCCTAATTTCTAAGAAAGTATACGTAGTGCCAGCTTTCAAGTTATTTTAAGAAACAGGATGCGCGAAAAGTTAGGATTTCTCATATGCCTCGACTGCACTCGAATCTTAATTTATTACCGCAGATGATACAAATTTGACTTGTTATTTTAATTCTCTGTTTTTAAACTGTAGATAAATTCGCCGGCTGGATGTGAACAGCTCGTAAAGGCTGCCTGAAATAAGAATAAAGGAGGAGGAGGTGGGGGGAGGGCCGGAGAAGAAAGGTAGTGCAGTCACAATTGGCCATTTTAAGGTTGCGCGCTTGAGACAGGGTCAGTGAAGTGTTGAGCTGCACTGTGGGACTGTTTTGGTGGACGAATTTTAACTCGGTTTCCTGCGCAACTTCGTAATAGCCAATGAAAGAAGAGATAGGCATCCCAACACAAACCCATTGAGCTGTCAGAACTGACAGAAATTGAAAGTAAGCTTGAACCTCCCTTAGGCAGAGACCTCTCCTTGGAGCGAACAATTTTCTGGTCTCAAAGGGTGTCCGTCCATATTGTATCACAAATATTAGTATAGGTAGTAGCATGATCGTGATTTGTAGTGATAGTTCAGGGGCTGATCCAGGATTTTTTTTAGGAGGGGGTGCACTCGTCTCTTGCTCTATTTCAACACCATTAAACCACATAGTTCTTTTTTTTGCAGAAATATACCAGTTGTATTAGAAAACCACAGGTCATCTCGGGGGGGGATGGGGGGTGTGCACCCCCTGCACCCTTTCCCTAGATCCGCCCCTGTATTTGGCATAAATACCACGAGTGATATTTCAAAATTGTTATATGTAATGTCACGAGTCGTTAGGCGAGTGAAATTTGAGACAATTTTGAAATATGATGAGTGGTATTTATGCCAAATATCACGTACAAATCATGCTATTATTTGTTTATACTGCTACCCGCAAACAGTTTGTCATTTCCACATGTAGGTATCTCAAATTAAGCTGAAATACTACTGCTCTAAGCCAATCAAATTGCAGAAATTTCTCAAAAGGCAAAGAAATTACAAGCAATTTTACTGTTTTATGGCATATGACAGTCTTTATAAATCTAGCTCAGCCGATCAAAATGAGGAAATTGCATTGGAATAAAAACTAGTGTAATTTCACTAACAGACCTGAACATGAACATCAAGATGTATAAAAAGCAATTTGAAAGATACCTGCAATAGTTCTTGCAAAGGAACCTCATCCAGATTATAAGTCCAGCTATTGCGTGGACGTAAATCCAACTGCTCACCATGTTCATCCTTTTGGCCATCTGGGAACTCACCTGATGTTGTTCCCCACAGAAGAGCTGATTGGCTGGAAGTTGAATTTGTAAAATGCACTGGAGCAATGGAACCGTGGAATGCCAGTTCCTTGTGAGTCTGACCTTCGCAGGCCATCACGTTGGAGGAATCCTTTGACAAAGTTGGTAACTGCTTTACTTCATTAGAGATCAATGATTGATAGTATTGGAAGGGTCGAAAGATTGTTTGTGCTGCGTTGTTGATCAAGATGTCCAAATGAGGGATGGTCTTTTTAACATACTCAAGAAACTCTTCAATTGATCGCAAGTCTTGCAAATCAAGGCGGTAGATTTTCAGTCTATGTTTCCAAATATCAAAATCGCTCTCTTTGCTAAACCTAAAATCAAAGGAAAATAACTAGAAATTTATATCTAAATACTTTGAGATTTGTGCGCCAGAGCTTTTGTGAGAGACCACTGCAAGGATAATGCAAAACTTATGATCTGAAGAGGTTTTAATTTAAGTTAGATATCCCAATAGAGGGTTGCCCTCTTTTGCTTGCATGACATGTGAGCACTGTGACTGCTAATTGCATAACCTTGCTAGTTTTTAAAAGTTGATATAGTCAATCAATCACTTTCATTGATTAAAATTTTTAGACTACAAACTTCCAAAAAAATTATTATACACTGTACATATAATATATAATTATACACTGTATAATATTTCAATCAATTTTATGACTGGTTGGTGTCATATCCCAAATTGCGTGACCCAGGGTGCGTGACCAAGGATGCATGACCATTTGTCTCCTTAGGGGGTAATTACATGAGACCGGGACGAACTCTGCTTGTAAGAGAAAGAAAGTTTACCTTTGAGTGGCGTCAACAATGAATCGAGTGGTTATTACTACAAAACAGCCATCTCTCAGCAAGCGTAGAGACGTCTCAAATCCAATCTTGATTCGCCCACCGGTAACAATGGCATACCTTCCATTTAAATCACACGACACTCTTTTCATTTTGCCATTGAGAATACAACATTCGTCACAGAGGTCATCTAAGGTTAACTTTGACTTGCACATATAGCAGTAGGTAAGGCTGCTACAATTGGGGCCGCTAGACACTTCTTTTTGCATCTTTTTTAGAGCTTTAAAAACCTCTTTTCGTGGGCGACGGCTGTCACTGTAAGGCGTTGAACCAACGGGTGGATCATTAGATGTTGCGCCGGAATCGTTCCTTTTCCTCTTTAAATTGTTGCTCAAATGAAACTTTCCATGTAATAGCCCTGGATGTGCATCCATCAAACGTTGGATATCGAGGAGATTTTTGCCAAAGTTCAGCAGGTCAATGCTTGTTCTCAAAGCTTCAGCGCCCGACTTCAGCGGGTCATGTGATGAAAGTTTCATGATCGTTGAATTTCTAGTAGGTAAAGACACCTCGCCATTTTCCTTCAAAAGCTTTGTCAGTCGCTCCTTTATCTCGAGAAACTTTGAAAAAGTACAGTTTAACCAGGCGAACGAAACTTTGGGGTTCTTAATCAACTGACAAAAATTTGCTAATTTGATTATAATATCCTCTGCTTTAGCAGTTCGACAATCGATGATATAACCAGCATACAGTGTACCGCTATCTTTAAAATCTGCTTCGCAAATTGAGCTTATGTCTGATGAAACTGTAATCAATTTGTAACATTTCCCGTCGTGTGACAGTTCCATTTCTGCTGTGAAAACTGCTTTTACCCTTGCAAGGAAAGTGTAAGAGAGTTTTAAAAGAACTGGATTTATAAATGCGATATTTCTGCGTTTGTGTTTCAAATTGCATCAGCTTATAAAATGACGTCATTGCGAGTCACGCTCTCCCAGTGCAAACACCAGTCAAAGCATACGGTCAATGTAGCAAACCTGTACGATTTAAAAGGATAAAAAAGAATGAAAATTTCAATGAACAATTAAGCCTAGAATTAAAATATACTGAAAGGATAAACTGATGTTTAAAGGACATTGTTTTCGAAAAGATTGTGTGACGGTGTAATAAGATCATGCTCTCCGTCATGATTTTAGGGCGGTCAAAGGGGGAAACCCTCTTGTAGTTTAATAAAAGAATTAAAATAATTAGTAAACATCAGAAGGAAAGGGGCTTTGTCAGTTAGTCACAGTTTTGTATTCGCGTAAGTCGCGCGAGCAAACTAACCTACTTTGAGTCAAAAAGTTTTTAATAGCGTCTACTGTTTTGGCTTTATAAGTTTTCCGTAAATCAGATCTTCCACACTCCTTATGACGAACGTGCGGAGGTGGGGTAGTTTTTTTAGTGTTTGGTGTTTTTCTTATCCATGACCTCAGTGAAGGACACTTTTCGAGGTGAATAGTGATTTTTCGGCTTTGTATCCTTCGTCAAACTGTTGTGAGGAAATTTTTAACGACTTTCTTTGTACTTTGCCGCCAATGGAAAGATAGCCTGTTCCAGGCGTTCAGATCGTAGAGCGCGGCGGTAAATGGGGAGCGAGTTAACTTGTACACAGGGAAAAGGGGGAGGTGGAAGGGGGGCGAGAACGAGAGAACGCGTTCTCTCCCCCTTTCCCCCTCTAGTCGCCCCTCGATTTTTTTTCTCTGCGTGAATTTTTTTCCCGCGCTCTGCTATCTGAACGCCTGGAACAGGCTAGTGGAAAGAATATGGGAGGGTGGGGGGGTACTTCTGACAATTCTTGGTTCTCCTGACCCTATTTTCAGACCAAAAAATGTTGCAATTGGCATATTTCTCTTTCTTTCTTACTCATTTGAGTAAGAAAGACTCAAATGACTCCCGTAGTTCCCGTAGTTGCCCGAAGCGGCACATGCCTATATGGCTTCAAAAAGGGAGTACCCCCCCCCCTGGGGGGAAAGAACACAGGAGTTTTTTTGAAAAAATCTCGGTTTCGCCCTATGTTAGGGAATCCAAGACAGTCTTGTCTAGATTCGACGCCCGGGATTCTGGATTCCGTAATATTTGTCAGTGGAACATGGATACCGTATCACAATCGCTTGTGGGATTCCTCATTCCTTGAGCTGTATTCCGGATTCCAAAGCCCAGAATGGTGGATTTCACGGCAAAAATACAATGGCTTCCGAATTCCACTAGCAAAAATTTCCCGGATTCCTGAATCCAGATTGCCTTAGTGAGTCTCCCAACCCTGCCTTTAATCCCTAAGAACAAAATTAAAATTCTCATTTGTTGCAAATAAGGCAAATCCATTGTCTTTAATTCAGTCTCATAACCAGGAAATCCGGATTCTGGGATCCAGGAAATATTTGCTTGTGAAATGCGTGTGGAGTCCAGAATCCTGTGGCTGATCCCACTGGAATCCTGGAAGTCCGGAATCCAGCTTTAACTGACTAATTAAGTAGCTGGAATCCGGGATCACAATCCAGAATCCGGGACTGTCTTCGATTTCCTTAATTGGGGCGAACTATGTTTGTAGAGAGCATTGATATTAAAAGGGGAAATTTAATGTTCCACTCTTACTTAGGGCCAAATTGTTACTCCCCCATTAGGGCCTCTTCAGTAAGCCCACTTGACTGGGTTGGTGCGGTTTCCGAGATCTCGCCTTAACTCTGAATCCTTTCAGTAAAATTTTCGTTGTGTTCAAGTGAGAGGGCGGGCTGGCTCGGTTTCCCTCGGTTTTTCCCCTTGAGATCTCGGTTTTTCCATATGAACCTTGATCTCGGGATGAAAGCTGAGGGCTGAAAATGCATTTTTGCCATATGTGCCGCCCGGGACTGAAAACCCCATTCTTCAGCCTGGTACCCCGGGATGAAACTGATACCCCCGTTCTAGAAGTGGGCTAATTTTCTGGATGAATTGCATTGAACCGTATTTTTCGCAACCTGTCGACTTCAAATGGCTGCAAAATTAACTACCCCGTTCTAGAAATACTGAAACGGATGTTCTAAATAAGGGTTCAAAATCACGACCCCTTTGGGCGGCACAACCCGTATGATAGGCGAGTACCCCGGAGTGATACAGCCATGAAAGTTATAACGAAAGTTTAATATAACTTTGTCTTTCACCATGTTTGCTTTGTTTCTCGAATTTCACGCCTCGTCTCGGAAACCGTGCTGAAATTTGTAATTTATCATATATATGAACCCCAGGTTAAACTAGTTGTGGTGAGTGTGGAAAACTACAAGCGTTACAGTTTGCAATAAGTCTAGAATAGTCCCGGCCCACGGAATGAAATATTCGAATTCAAGGTTAAGTCAAAGGGTATATTGTGGTTTTCAGTATTTGGGCTTTTGGACAATTAACTAAGGCGGTGTTTTGACAAGGTTTAAAGAATGGTAACTCGTTTACTCACGGCAACCAATACATGTTAAATAAGTATCGAAGCCATACGCGCTAACTTGTATACACTGGGACTCAGTTTATTGCGGCATAGCTTACGAGTAAGCGAGCAATCCCTTATTCTTTCTTGGGATTATGTGGGATTAGGAAAACGTGCACGCGCGTGTAATCGCCTTCCGCGAGACGTGGAGGGAAAAGTGAAAATATAACGTAAGACCATGTTTGAGCTAATTTTCTGCAGCATTCAGAATATATAACAAACAAACAAAGTTAAGTATCTCTCAAGCTGGCTGCTTTAAGCTAGATATTACAAATGGTGGGTTTGAAAAGACTCCAAGGGAATTTATTAACTTATCCAAATTCGAAACGTTTTTCTTTTCTTTCCTGCTTTGTTCTTTCTTCTTCTTTTATTTTCTTTTTTCTTTTCGTGCAAAAAACAGGCAAACATTCGCCTGTAGAAGCACATTTTGCCCAGGGGTAACTAAGCACGCCTGTAGGATGATGTATGCAAATAGCTAAATGGAACTTCATCCATTCAATTCAATTAACTCCATCGAGAACAATTCGACGGTATTATTTGTGAAACAGAGTGATTTATTCAGTGTCGTCCATTACGCTCATTTAATAAGCGGTGTCACGGACCAGCGCGCGGATGTCAAGTTGCAAGCGAGCACACCTGTCGCCTGTCGTTGGGCAGTGAGTTTGCTGGACTCGTCTCAGGCTTGTTTGGATTCATCTTACTGATGGTGAACCACTTCAGTTTAATTTCACGATGCCGCAAGTAGGAAAGTTTTTTATAATTCAGGTGCTTGCTATTTACCTCTGCACTGCCCAAGGTAATCAATGAATATTATTGTTGTTAGCTAGATCGCAAATATTGTTTTATTTAATTATTTTTAAAAGAAAGCTTAGAGCTGATAAAAATTCTAGTTCTTAAAGTTCGCATTTGGGGGAAAATGCTAGACTATTTAGGTCAGTTTCTGGTTTACCGGTCGACTAAGCGAACTCGGATAATTGACATAGATGATCGACATTCCTTGCTACGCTTAACACAACTCACGCGGAATGGCTGAAATAACATGTGTGCCTTACAACTGCACAGATGCAGAAGATTTCTCTCTCTCCTGGTGCATGTTTTAGATTCCCAATTCAAGTTACAGTGATAGCTTACAATCACGGGCGTAAGAGTAATCGGCACATATGCGATACCAGCCCCGATATCAAGGGTACCAGCAAGGAGACCTTTTCCCTTCTCCTCCCCCCCTCGCCTTACTCTTGCCGTGCGCGGTTTTAGTGGGGCATAAAAGGGTGGAGTTTAGGTACCAACTTATTTCAGTCTCTTAACCCTCGGAGGTACACGTCCGAGGGTTAAAACATGGTTTTAATTTTTTCCTTCAACACCACTCAGAGATCATCGGGGTTAACTGATATGTGCCAATAACATATTTCTTTCAGACGCTGTTTTTCAGTTTAAAAGATCAGAAATAAACGTGCCGGAGGATTCAGGACAAGTCACTGTTGTGATCGAGAATACCGGTAATACCGATGTGTCTGCTGGTGTGAGGTAAGAAAATTACAAACCATTTGAGATTTCTATCACCTTCATTACTATTGTCATCACCAACACCACGACCATCGTTATAAAAAAACATCCTATAAATGGCTTGGAATAAAACGTCAAACCCGATCTGTGACCCTTTGGTGCACGTGTAGCCGACAAGGCCTTGTCTCCCAGTTATCTATTGCTGAAAGTTCGGGTTCCGCGGTAGATTGGTCACAAATATTCAATTCCAATTTTATTTAACAAACATACATTTTTTTTTTGTTCCAGGGTAACTACTTCGGAAATAACAGCCAGTCCCGATGTAGACTATGAAACGACAGATTCAATTGTAATTTTTGCATCCGGTGACGCAGAGAAAACTGTTTCAATTTCAATAATCGACGATGATGAGGTTGAGGGCGAGGAAGCTTTTGAAGTCAAATTAGCACTTAACGATCCAGCCCAACCCGGTGTGACGATTGGAGATCGAGCCATGACAACTGTAGTTATTGAAGATATTGAAGGTGTTTCAACTGCATTAGCTACTCTTACAACAGAAAGCCCCTCCACGGCGGGTAAGAGGGAGGCTCGGTGTGGAACCATAGTCTCGATTCTAAAATCCCTTGTTAAATTGATGGGTTTCCCTGGTCGGAGGTACTTAATTTAGGGCCTGTTTACATGAAGGTGGGGGACCCCAGGTAGGTGAGGTAACCCGCCTGTCCATATAATCTCTCATTTTAATTTGATCACGTTTACATGATAAATGTGATGACCCGCCCAGGCTAGTAGCCCAGGCAGCCAGACGGGGTAACCCTCTTAGCCAGGGTCAAATTTTGCCATATAAACGTCTCAAGGTGGGATAACCCGCCTAGCCGGGATCGGATTCGTGATAAATCAAATTCGTGCAAAATTCACTTTGGCGGTGGCTTTGCATCATTATTAAAGGTAACAATAGAAAGCCACAGCAATGAAGGTTGCAGTAAGAGCAGCAAGTGAGCGTAGAAAAAAATTAATCACAAAAAACTTGTTTTACTAGCATTTTTCTTGTTTACGTGCTAAACGATCATTCAATAATCTTGAGAAAGCACAACCAGGGATGGCGGGTTGTAAGATTGCATGTAAAGGAGGGTTATTTTTTCACCCCACCTAAGCAGTTTATCTCACCTACCTGGGGTTCCCCATCTTCATGTAAACAGGGCCTTAGTGTGAACGTAACTTTGTTGCAAGGGTGGCGAAATGATAGAAGTACGGCCCCTGCCATTATGTGGACTTGGTTTGAGTCTCGGGAAGAGGGAATGCCTGAGGATGGAGTTTGTTGATGTTTGTTTCCCTTTCCGTAAAAGCGGGGTTTCCTCGCTATAAGCTTTTTTCTGAATTTCCATCCTCCGGACGCAACTTGAGACCGTTTCCAAATGTCAATTCTATTGGGAACGAATACTTTGAAACGAGAGTTTTTCAGTGACGTTGACAGTTGAAAAAATTTACGTGTAATTCAGGAAAAAATTGTACGTCAGATCTTGGAGTGAAAAAGACTGAAAAAAATGAAATACCTCTCAAAGGTCTCTTGATCTGCTTCGAATTATGATTTATAATTACTAGGAATCACCCATCCAAGATCTCAAAAATGAAAAAAAGGCTTAAACTGGGAGCCATTGCAAAGTGGAGGTCGTTATAATCAAAACACTGACTGATCGCAGTTTTATATTTAGTGAAGAATAAAAAAATGTTGATAACGACCTCCTACTAAAATGGATGAAATAAACGAGAGGTCAGTAGTTGCGGCAACGGGGCCCCAGCCCTCTCGTTATTTCACTGTCTAATCCGGCCCGGAGTCAACAAAGGTTACCTCGGGGACCCGTCCAAACAATGTGAGTGTCAAGTCTGAGGTAAGAAGAAAAGAAAAGAAAGAAAGAAAGGAAAAAAAAAACACGCGGTTACTTCCTGTCTAGTGGTCACGTCCTCCACAAAACGTGAAATTAGGAAATTTTGCGTCGTAGTCGTTCAAGGACTGTAAAGAAATCAGTACAAAAAAGCGTGATGCACGTGCAAAGTTGTTGTTTAATAAACCTAATGCCTTTTTGCCGTTCTCTTTGACATCGCCGTCGTTGCTAAAGCTCGCTATTCTGTAAAGAGAGAGAGGATTCGCAGACAGCAAGATTTACTTTGGACTTGTCTTTGAGGTATTGAGCTTAAAAAGCTCTGCGTCAACTGCAAGAGTGATCAGTAGTTTCTGCAAAAAAAACTTACACTCATGCTTTCAATTTTTTTGTTCACGGTGCGGCGTCCCATGGGCTCCGCTTTTGCGCATGGTAGTTTGGCAAAATTATCTAGAACCTTTCATTCCATGATTAGCAGAAGACATTTATGCAAAATAGTTGAAATCTTTTGTGCCGCTAATCCACGGTAAACAATTTATGGTTAATTACTTTGGCTTTAAGGTTCACGATGAATGGCAAATATAAACCGCTGGATCGGAGAATGATCTCGGTGCAAAACAAATAACCAATAAATTAAATTTAGATGTTGGTAATTTTTCTGACGGCAAGAAACGGAGATTTCAAGCGCACAACGATTATCATAGGACTGTTCAGTTTATGTGGAAATCAATGTAATCATGCAGTGTGATCGTACATTGTGACTATTCAAATGCATTCTGAAACATAATCAATGTATTGCATAACTTTCACCGGGCGTTCAGCTCATCACTTTCAATCGAAACTTTCCTTCCTAGTGAATATAATTTCGTTTTCCTTTCGTTATCTCGCCGGCTTCTAAAACTAGAAGCATCTTTTCTCGTTTCTCGTCAATTACGAAAGCAAGACCCCTTATCCTCCGCAACAAAATAAAGAACAATGAAAACGCCCATTTCAATAGCTGGCGTGTCCAAATTGTATATTTTGTCACGCTTGATAGCTAAGCAGATGCGCAAAGACTTAAAAAGGCGGCGCGCGGTTTTCTTGATACGACTTGACGGCGGTGAGGATTACTCGGGAGCAAACTTTGTCTTTTCAGCGCGGATCTTACTGTGGCTTAGGAGACAAAAATGAACGCCTTCTTTTGCTTGTGCATCTCGCTCCTTCTAACTATAGGTAGGTCCTCCTAACTATGTAGGTATTTTGAAACAGGATTCTTCTTTAAATTTTAAAATGAGAAATATGGTCAGACAAGCGTTTCTGGGTTTCTTAATTGCGAGTGACTGTTTTCTAGTCACTCAAGATCTCAAAGCGTTTCCATTTCAAAAAGAAAATGCTAATGTAGAGGCTGTAGAAAGGCTTAATATATGGTCCGTCTTCGTAAAAAGACTTTGTTCAACCTGTCCATTTTCAGTTTATGTATACAACGCTACATTTGACCATGCAGGTCGGAATGAGTTCACTGCTTCAAATTAGTCGACCAAGGTCTGTTCTCTCGACACAATTGGTTTTCCACGGACTACTTGTGTTTGCTTTGTTAAGCTTGGCCGTCATCATTTCGTACGCTGCACTCCGTTTACTGACCTACCGGGTCTTCCAGACTAAAGAGTACAGAGGTTGGGCGTAGACAAATTAAAATGCAAAGGTCTCGGGGTATTGCTTCATTTCACATGTTCATTCTTTTTAAGATTTCTAATTTATCATCTTGCTAACGATTTGTGTTTCCAAAGTATTTCTCCTAATAATGCCTCTTTGTCGTTTTAGCATCTGCTTCAAATGGCGGAGGAAACATTACATTGGATGTGGAAGCCAGTAAGTAATTTCAACGCTCGTATACAGGTTTGCTATTTATATACGTAAACTGCATAAAAATCGCCCACAACGTACTAGCTAAGCTTGCATTTGGATTGAAGTATGTTCTATTCTCATAACCAAGAACTCGAATTTGGATTTTTTAGACTTATAAATAGGCATAAATTTATGCTTTTCATTGTTTTCCACCTCGTGCGTGTGCAAACTAGTTTGCAAACTGATTGAAATGCATACAAAGCTACCCATGGCCAAGAACCAACAATCATACATTGTTATCCCTTTGTCTTGGGCCAAGCTTAGATGGGAAAAGGAGTCTTTGGTGCTCGCAGACAAAGTTTGCTATCTCAAAATTTTGACATAAAGCTGGTCAGATTTCTTGCATTGCTTACATTTTTTTTTCTACAAAACTGCTAAAAGCAGACTAAAATGCCTCCCTTATTTGATTTCCCTTCTACGCTAATACAATTATTTATTTATTATTTATTTATCTTTTTTGAAGTCTTGTAGTAGATTCACTTTTATCAAAAGCACAGAAACACAGTTATTGAAGTTTTGCAAGTTAGGGAGTTTAAAAAGCAATTAAAAGTTTGCATGCTTTACTCTCCTGGGGTCCAACTGGAAAGGCTGAAAGAATACTAAATTAACTGAACTTTATGAAAAAAATCGCAAACAAGCTAATGCATTCCAATCACATTATGCGAAATAATTTAGAATTAGAACCAGGGCGGTTTCCCACGTACCACGATGTCTAGATCACACTAGAAAACACAATTTGAAATAAAGAACGCGCTTGAATAGTAATTTCCTAGCATAAGTGCTCTTGAACAATGCACGTTGACAGTTTCGGCTTATGATTATTTATAGTTTTCAAAAATGCTCAAACCCCATTCAAATCAAATAAAGCATCTGTTTTCTTTGTTTTTTATGGCAGTCGCTTTTTTAAAAGGCTGATGTCTGCGATTCGAAAAAAACAAATGGTGTCGGATTTTTTAAAACCGTATAAGCTAACTTAAGCCAGAACCGACAAGCACCGTCCTTCATGAACTGGCCATAATCTTTTGAACACAATAAAACTCTTTTGTTCCGCCGATTATTGTTCTCGAAAGTTACCGGTATTGCGACATTTTGTGATGAAATGAAGGCCGACTGGGTTGGTGTTCGCAACGTGTTGTGGACATTGAGAAAAAACGCAGGACATAGGCTTTCACCAAAACAATTCTTCTTTCGTCTCAAAACAGAACCGTGTTTCCACAAGAACTAAACCAAAAAGCTAGTAACGATTGCATTGGACTGAAATATGGCCATTAAACATCGGATACGTCCTTTTGGCTTGTTTTTTTGATATCGCGCTTGCTTTTCCAACCCTGATTGCTATGAATTAGCTCTAGTAGTCTATTTAAATTTTTAATCTCATTCAGTGAGTATTTTTGTACACGTAAAATCCCAGGTTTGAGTGGAAAAATGAAGGAAAAGTTGAATGCCATTATCGCTATCTTTTTTAAAAATCCATCGTGCTCCTTTGCGGCTTGATCAGACAAATTTTTGTCTCTTTGGAAAAATGCAGTGTCTTTTTAGTGGTTTTGCCTTCATTCGTTTGAGTTTGAGAATGGAAACTAGCGCTAAAAGTCTTTTCATCATCGAAATCTGATTTTTTTAAAAATAATTTTTCTCAACTAAGTGAATGATTAAAAAAAATTTTGTTGCTCAAAAAAGTGCAATACTGAACATGAGCTTATTTTCAGTACAAATCTCTTACCTTTGTTTTCCCATCCAAACATGATAAACAAAATTAATGGAAAATAACGAAAGCATATCAGATTTATCTGACCACACTTAAAAACCATTGTTAACTGCATTTTGTTTTTCTAAAAGATGATATTCCAGATGGGCAAAACAAAACAATTCCACGAACGGAAGATAGATAAGGTTTTAAACCGGGACACAATATCTAAAAATTAAGGCCGAAATTAATTGAAAACGGTTAAGAGCAAAGACCACAAATATTCGGTCCTAGGCCAGTATTTTAGGCGGTTCTTTGAGCTCCCTCTATAAGGTCTTTCGCCTTAATTGAGACTAGAACCATCTTTCTCTCCATCCATTATAAAAATCACCTAGATTTCACAAGTAACTTTCGATTAAAAAATCATGCGAGAGGAAGTTATTGAAAAATATTTTGGCATTTACATTTCGTTGAAAAAGATTGGTCGTTATTGAAACAAATACAAGAATCTTTCCAAAGCCATGCCTGATTGAAAGCCAGACAGTGGTTGTTCTATAAACAAAATCAGAACACGAATTATTGGTTTTTAATTAATGATTCCACCCTTCTTTAATCAACAGTATGTTCTAGTTGTTATCAACCGATCAGATTTTTAAAACGAGTTCAAAGTCCCCGCCGCCCAGGCAAACTGTCGTGCATGGTTTCAGTTTGAAAAAAATTTATATGGAAATTGATAACAGAGCTCAAGTTACAGGAAAACATCCACAGAGGCAACCTCGTTACCGGGGTGAGAGGACTCTGGGAGCAAGGTTGCCATGCAGAGGCTGCAGCAAATTAATCATCTGGTTTCGCGCCCACATCTTACGTGATTTCCTAACAACTTCTGAACCAATTACAAATCAAGTGATTAAACTATGAATATGGCATTAGTGAGAAGCTTCCAATCAAGTCTGCAAGACGATGTCGTAGTCTATTGACGTATAAAAAAAATAGAAAAGAAAAGAAAGAAAGAACATAAAAAAGGAAAAAATTCATTTCTTGAGGATTGAAGCGACTAAAGAAGACTAATTCTCAGAAAAGAAAAAACTTGATCGCTGTGCTAGCCAATCAGAACTCAGGATTCGCCCTATTTTGCCTTCTTGCGTAGCCAGTCATATAATAACCTCAGGTAAAATAAGTTCATCATAGACATAATAGTACGGTGATAGTATGGTGGATAACATTCTCGGTTTTGCCGGATTCACTCTGGTATGTACGACACCAAGCATTCGAGCAGTAAACTTTATTTTAAAATCGTATCTGCCATGTAGAAACCACAGTGGCTGGCGGAAAAAAATTTATTTTAACCTGCATGAGAATTAACATCGAGAAAGAGGTCGTGAGTGAAGCTTTTAAAAAACTATTATTTTTTGCTACAGTACTTAGAATAAAAGAAATAATGAATTGTCTCTTTTCGCATTAAACTTGAATCAGTTCCCTGTCCATAGTAGATGGCAACGTATATAGACTTGGGCCAAATTATTTTCACTGAACATTGCACTCTTCGTTTATAGAAATTGCAGTTGTTTGCGAGCCTGATTATATCGAAGTAACGTTGATGACGGCAGATTATCCAGGCATCATCGTAAACGACTCGTTGCTCCATCTCGCGGACGCCTCTTGCGTTGCTGGATACAAAGATGACGACATGATCAAATTCACTTTTGGACTTGAAGCCTGCGGCACTGAACAAACGTCGGATGAAAAGAGAATCTTGTACAACAACAAAATTTACTTGACTGCTGACGAAGAATCAGATGACGATGCTATAACTCGCAAGCATATGCAAATCATTCCTTTCCAGTGCGGCTATGATAAGACGTATACGATTTCCAAGGTGTCGTATAGTCCCAGGACCACCATGGTAATCACCGATGCAGGTAATGTGTGGAGTTTTAGCTTTCTGCACCCAAGGGTTTATGAATACATATCACTGATGTCAGTAGCCGGCACAAAATCTCAGAGAAAACGTATAAGAACAAGAGAGAATAATATATGAGGAGATAGTGAGCCTCAACGTCAAGAGAGAATCATGGGACAGGTAGTGAATCATGAGGCATTGGCCGGGATATGTGAATTTCACGAAGGTTCTTTTTTAGAAGTTGTAATAAAAGTGAAGTCTAATTATTACTGAGACGTCTGCACGTTTGAATTGAAACGTCATCAGGTCGTTGTGCGACTGCCTTAAAGCAAAGAATATTGTAATGGTGACCTACCAAGAGAGCATATATCCCATAGTTTTCTCTTGACAACACTACCAAGTTTGCAGCTCTCTCCCGAAACCGATTTCAAATTAATTTCTAGCGTTTATGTGGTCTAAAAATATCTTTGGTGAGTTTCACGTATCCCAAGGGCTAGAATAGGAATTTCCTTCTCTCTCTCAACATTCAGCTCTCTTGCCCTCAATTATCTCTTGTGTCAAACAATATTAAGGAAAAAAGTAATGACAAATACCTGAAGAAAATACTACCAGTTCGGCCACTCTCTTAAACACTTACCCTAAAGCAAATCGAATAACAGCGGAAGGAACAAGCGTGACGTGGAACAGTCGGTTCTTACAGTAAGAACCATCTTTTATAAACATAATAACAATATATGCATTACGGGATTAATATTTTGAGTAGGTTTGATTTTAGGTTTCGATTTTTTTTAGTAAGCTTGATTTGAAAGGGTAGTAACAACCTGTTACTAATATAATCTGTTTTCGTTTCTAGAGGGTTATGGCAACTTCACATACGAAATGTTCATGTACGAAAGCGAAGATATGGAGGACAAAGTCGAGGAATTTCCAAAAGCGGTTGGTCTGGGTCAACCAATGTATTTCGGTTTCCAAGTGACCTCTGCCGATAGCCAACTGAACGTTTTCCCTGATGTGTGCAAAGCAACTGCATCGTCCGAGTTTGATTCCACCCCAGATCACCTTATCATCGAAAACGCGTAAGTCCTACTTTTTGGCTCATTAAAAGAAAGAAGAGTTGTAGAAAGTTAACATAGTTCCACGATGCTGGCCGGGTTTAGACAACGCCATCGATCTTTATAAATTTCACTTAAATAGTCGCTATTAACTGTACTGAGACTGACTTGATGATCAACGGAGTCAACAGCTAAAACTACAACAGTCACACAGAATAATCAGGGGCACCCAACAAGAATATATTTCAAAACCACTTAAACATAGCATTGTTAAACGTATTTTAGTATATAAACGGTAGATATAGGCATTTTTATCCCCTAAAAATTTTTCATCTGTTCGGATTTCCTAGCTGAAAGTGTAGTGATCCGAAAATTATAGGGATCAAAACTTACCTTTTCGAAAATTTCAGCCAGAAAAAAAGCTCCCGAAAATTCTAGGTGACCTTTTTAGGGTAAAAATCCGTTAAAAATAGGCAATTCAGACCATTTTTTTGATGTTCGAAAATCCTAGGAGAGGCAGGCAAGCAAGAAATATTACAACAAATGTTCCGAAAATTCTAGATCTCAAATCGTCTTCCGAACGTTGGGTGCCTCTGAATAATTTTCAGTTCTAGAAAGAAGTATCACTCAGTAGCTTTTATTTGTCAGGGGTAAACTTGAGACTCTCATCCACCGAATCAAAAGGGGGATATAATTAAGCATAGTAAACCGGCCGAGTACGGCAGTAAAGTACTTCTCGGTAGCTTTCACTCGAGTCGGGTCACACTTGGGAATTTCATCCGCTGGTTCAAACGTTACAACACTAATTATAACGTTATTCTTTATACCTGAATCCGGTTTGTTTCAGTGCAGTTATCCTCATAAAAGACCATTTCTAAATTCAACTCGAAAATGTAATAAAACGCTATTATATTTTTTTCCTCTTATCCAGTTGTTCAAGGGACAACACTTTGAAGTACACTTACACAAAGGGAGCCTTCCATAACTTCAGCGTCTCTGCTTTCCGATTCAAGGAAAACTACGATGACGTCTATATCCATTGCAAGCTGACTGTCTGCCGCGAATCGGATACAGGATCGCGCTGTGACCGAGGCTGTGAAGCAAGCAGAAGGCGAAGGCGATCAATCCAGGAAGATTTCAGCGCTAACGTACGCATTGGACCACTGAGCTACAAGAGCATGGTGGACAAGCAGGATGGTATGTGTAATTGCCTGTTTGCTTCTAGCAGCAATACCTCCCCACCAGTAATTGAAAGTACTGATGCCCAGTAGCTTTTATTTTCAATGGATGGTTGCATTGCCGGGTTAGCCTGTGCCAGGCTCTCGGTCAGAGTAAATAAGCGAAAAAAGCGAAAGAGAAGAGGAAGAAAATAGCCTGCCTTTGACTCTCGTTCCTCGTTCTTTGCTTCGAAAAAGCACGTAAACGCTTGCTACGCAAGCCAGCTTGAACAGCATAATAAACAACGTTACAGGAAAGTACTGCTCAGTTAGCTTTCAACTGAATGGTGATACCGCAATGTTCCTTTCATAAAGTCAAAATTTGATCCTTCTTTTACAATAACATAGGCACGACCCCAACAAGGCCTGAAATACCGTTAAATATATTTTGCCGCAAGACCTCAAGCGAACTTAGGTTTCATTTGTATGGTCGCATTAATAGAGAGCTTTAGATTCTAAGACAATTCAGAACAACTACGAGAACGAGATCTTCTCAATAAGCAGGAACCAACGTCATTTTGGCGGGAAAATGTGGTAGCCGTCGTCAGTCTACTACGAGTGAATGTCCTGGTGGCGAAAACAAGTTATCAAATGTTAGAAATTTTGCCATTTAGCTATCGGGAGAGGCTTTACCTCCTTCAGTGGAAATAAACGTGTTAACTCTTTTAAGATGAAAAAAAAAGGTACAATGAAGCTTTCCGGGATGTCTATTTTTAGAGAATAGGCGAAAAACTTTAAACTTTAATAAAAATATCGTTCTCGTAGTTGCACTCGTCCTCGAATCTAAAGTTCTCTTTTACCGACATTGTGTCAACCATCCTAAAACTCCATTCAGCCACGTCCCCAGGGCTTTTCCTTTATAGCATGGGAGGGGTGGGAGGGGCGGGAACAGGCATTATGCCCCGCCAGTTTTCTTAGGTAAGAGCCCTGGAGTCGAGGTTGGCCTCCATCGTGGTCTCCCAGGTGTTTTCTCAAGTTTATCTCCTCCCTAACGCACCGTACCCTCCAAGAACCCAAGACTGTGGATTGTTTTACATGGGAAGAGTACCTCAAAATTGGATTGGGGTTTCCTTCACTGAGCTTAAGTTGAGAAAAGGGCTTTTTGAATGGAAGCTCTTTTGGTTAGACAGCGTTACGTAAAAGTAAAAAATAATGATTTTTCTCTTTTCTCTTTTTTCCCGTAGTTACACAAGAGGAGAGTAGTGGTGCTGAAGCTAGTAACAGCATGGTGATGATCGTCGCAGTGTTGGTTGGAATTTTGGGCACCGTTGCTCTCGGGCTCGTTATCGCTGTAGTCGTCCTGGGCCGTCGTCGTCGCTATGCTGCCGTAAACAAAGGCGCCCAGCTGATCGTCGCCGAAGAAATGTGAACGAGTCAATGTTCGAGCTTTAAGTTTTTTATCAGGATTTTAGTGACACTGCTCTGTTTCATTAATCAACAAGCCAACACAGTCAAGGAGTAACTTTCAAATTCGATTGAAGTGTACTTTTTTCGCCATAAGAGCTCGATCGTTCCTTTCCGTTACTGACTAGGAAGCTGATCATTTTACTTTTTTATTTTTTTTTTTTTAGGAATTTTGCTCAATTTATAAAGAACGATTTTTACAGGCCGCTAAAACCAAAAAACAGAAGTGGGAAGGGTTGGTATTGCATATCATTGAGAAATTAGCCTGCTGATCATTGATGTCTTTGAGGTGTTAACATCTTACTGGCTTCAAAGAAATCACATCACGGTATCCTTAAAAGGATAAAGGTGTGCACATTGTCATCATCATCATCATCATCATCATCATTTTGAGTTTTCTCGTGCACCGCACCTTTTAAGGTTGAACAAAGTTTATCCCTGTCACCTTATGTTTGAGCTCCACCTGTCTCAAGATAACAAGGCAAAGTTTTATAGCCATGAAGGTTGCTATAAGGTTGTGGATTTGTGTGAAACGAAAAAAAAAGCTGTGGAGCTTTCCAGTTTCATACCGGTTTCCAGTCGTTCTTTATTCACTTGAGCAAAATGATCTGTTTTTTAAGAACTTTGAACAGTATGTCATTCTTTTTACGATAATGGGTAAAAATAAAGGATGCTCACTGAGCTTTTAAATGCGCGACATACTCTCTGAAGGCTGAAAGGTTTAGGAGATTTCAGTTAAAAAAGTGTGAGATATTTTAAATTCAAATATTTCATTTTGAGATATTTCAAACTCTTTGCCCTGCTACCTCTAGGAAACATTGCTAAAGGATAGAAACCCATAACCCGAAGTGAGCAAAACCCATAAGAGGCCCATATTACGGAATTAGGTTTATCCTAACCGGCTGAGTCACACGTCTATTTGAGAGCAAGTGATAAGAAAGTTATAATTCAAGAGTCAATCTATTGGGAGAACGCCTATTGGCTGACTGAAACATATCTCCGGTGTAGTTGTCCATCTTCAATCGGGTGCATACTCATATCCGGTCCTTCATTACTTGTAAACTGCACCATAAACAGTCTGACAAAAGTATCCCAACCTGTATTTTCTGAACGCACTCTCACGGTTTTCCTCCTCACGATGACTTCCCGGTCTGCGGCAGGAAGTAGGAACCATTAGCGCGCTACAGCCCATCGATACTGGGGGAGCAGGGATGGCGCAGTGGTGAGCGCACTCGCCTTCCACCAATGTGACCCGGGTTCGATCCCCGGACTCGACGTCATATGTGGGTTGAGTTTGTTGTTGGTTCTCTTCTCTTCTCGGAGAGGTTTTTCTCCGGGTACTCCGGTTTTCCCCTCTCCGCAAAAACCAACATTTCTAAATTCCAATTCGATCCGGAATGCCCGAGCGTTTAATACATGAGCCCCGGGCTCGGGAGATTGGACAACCACTCCTCACGCTATCGAGCTTAAATAAAATTAATTTAATTTAATTTAATTTATACTGACCTTGATACCTATCAACATACCGTTTTAAAACCTTCGGGCGCCCGGTCATGTTAAACTTGCCGATCTTACATAAGGTCGTAGGACAGGTTTGATTTTTTGTTAGTTTAATTTCTTGTTTGACGTATAACCGATAACCCGGGGTGAACATCTCCCATACAAGGCCAGGCCTCTGGGTTGAAGTTTTCACGAACCAGTTAATTTTTAGATACATTTTAGAGCTCTTTTTCGCGCGAAAATGGAAGCTGTACTCCGTCTATGAGCGCATTTAAAGTATAAAGTATGGAAAAGGAAAACTAAATGTATTTGAAAGTGCAAAAATACGTTTCTCAGGTCTTTGACTGGTTTGTGGGACAAAATAATGGCGATACTCTTTATTCGTACCATAATCTTTCTCGAAATAATCGAGTTGGTTAAAACGCCTTGAGACGAGAACATGGAAGTTGCTCTGTCCGTGTTATGAGCTTCTGGTTTGATCTATCAATAGCTACGGTATATGTTTAATTGAGGTCGCGGATAATCTGTTACTGGTAATTTGCTATATTCTTTTATAGCAAAGTAGACTCATTCACTTGTTTGATGCCATTATCATTTGCACCAACTGAGAAAACTCAGTTTTCGTTTTGTTTTGTTTTTGTTTCGATTTTATCGTTGATATTGAACAGTTGTTGCTTTCTGCGGTACTATTTATTATGCTTCATAATGTGCCGTTAATGGAATTGTGGTTAGCTGGGCTGTAAATGAAATCCACGTAAAAAGCGTAGACTTACGAAATAGAAGCCGGTCAGAAAACTGCAATACATAAATGGCAAACAGCATTTTCGTTTACGGTTTGGCCACGTGGAGTCTAGACTTGTTTATAAACACGAATGTTACAGTTTATATTCCACGTGGCTCTCCTCCAATCACCTCCAAGTGGGAGCCAACGTCATTTCTACATACAAATTAGTCTTGCATTTCACCATAGTTATTACAGGAGACTGGTTATGAAAAGCGGCGAACATCAATGATAAAAACAACACTGCTGCAGTTTATGTTGGAAGTACCGTGAAAGTGCACAAGGAATAAATCAATGCAACGTTTTTATTGGTCAATACAATCAAAATGATAGGAATTCTTTTGAACGTTGTGCACTTTCAGGTCCACAAAAACATAAAACAAAGGAGTCTGACGGGTTTCATAACCATTCCACTCAATTAACTATGATTTCACTAACAACATAAAAAACCTCACGTACAAAAACGCGTATATATAAAACGAGTTAACTTCACATTCTCATGGTCGTTTTCTCTACTATGCACGCTAGTATTTAAAGAAAAAAAAATCACCGGAAATGTCTTGAATAATGTTATTGCGCTGTTATATTAGTTACTGGTCCTTAATGTCGGCGACTCCCTCTAGCAAGCGAAGAGAAAGAGAGAGAGATGGGAGTAGGGCGCTTAAGCAAAGCGGACGTTTTTAATCAACGGACGGCAGCCGGAAGTGATGTTTTTGCACTCTTAGACGGTTGCTTAGTCTAACGTTTTCAAAAAAGAGAGTAAAGATACTCAGCAAAACAAATTTGATAGCTTGGTTTCACACTATATTAAAAGGTAAAATGCCCCCGCCCTCTGGGTGACGTGCGTCCATCAAAAAAGTCTTTTCTTTAAAGGAGGTGTGTCACGAAATTTATCAAAATTCATACAGTAAGAGCTGCCACCAAACTGGGTAGAGCATCGAAACAACGGCTCAAAGCATGTAAAGAAGGTATAAACAACGCAGCGATGGCTCGGGTGGACAAACTAGGGACTGCAATTGCCCTTTTTGAAAACTTGTTAGCCTAACAGTTTTTCAAATTTCATTTTTGCTGTTTGTAACATCTTAGAGTGCAAAACAGTCCGTATTTTTGCGTGTTCAAGTAAGCGCGAGCAGTCAAACAAAAGGTCTGAAACGAGGCTGAAAACGGAGAGTGAGACTGGGGAGAGACGCTACGGGCGTGTGAGGCTCGCGCGCGCGCTTCGCGCGCGTAAGACTCGTACGCCACGCTTTACCGATTTCTTTGCTGATGTTGAGAAAAAAACCGACTGTTTTGAAGTCTAGTAACATCTAATATAATGCTTTAGGCTGGAGATACTTTTTGTTACCAATTTGTGGTTTTGTCTTTTACAAGTAAATGTTTTGGTTGTTTCAAGTTCCTGAGCAAATAAAGACGCGTAAATATTAACCCAATGAACTAGACAGGCATGACGCGGCCACTCCCCTTTAGCGAAGTCTTTACTATCACTAAGTTGAGGTAGAGAACATTTTTTAACCATTCCATTGTTGTCTGAAACAATTTGAAAGATAAAATCTAAATGTGGCATGCCAAAATATATATATACATAAACTTCATTTTGAGTTAAGCCGCCCTATAAAATTCACCGTCCCTTTCTACAAAATCACGTGGATCATCCATGGAGTAATTCAAATCAAGAGAGAACGAACTCTCGAGAATGAGCTCTTGTTCTTTGTAAAATAGGTCGCATTAATTAGTTGTAGGATCTTACCTTGGTGGAACGACAAGATTTATCCCACCTAGCAACAAATAAAACTGATGATGTCAGGCAGTTTGCGATGTAAGCTAGATTCTTCTGATGATATCGAAAGCGCGGTAACCTCAATAGAAAGTGTGTTATAAGTTCTTCAGAAAACGTTTGTTTCTGTGTGTCAGTAAAATGCAAAGCAATTTGACACTGCTTGTTCTACGCTAAACTGGAGTCCTGAAGTCCGAAAAATGTGACTTTGTGTCAGGATATATTCTGTGGTGATAAGTAGTTTCTCTTTTTCATTCTCCACAGAATTAACTCGTAGATTGGATCGCAACTGTCATGTCTTACGTATACATTTTCACGGTGAACACAGATGGACAGCAAAGAAACAGTGCGTAAAAATATAGGATATGTTGACATTCTTATAAATCAAAACTTTGTGAAAAAACCTTTCCTTATTAGGTGGTAATGTGTGGTAAAAGGATCTTTTAGCACAAAACAATAGTAAGAGGCGCAACCAAATAGGCTCTTTTCACTGCGACACATAATTCATTGATTAAAAACCAAGCTAGAACACAGTTTTACGCTAAACAAAGCAGAATTAAGCAGTTTATTTGTATGCTTCACGCAATGACTTTTCAAGTGGAGAGAATATATGCACTGTTATTCAAATGGCCAGTGGTCACACTGTTTGAGTTGATGCCATCCTGCGGTCTGTTTACAATTGGGTTAAATTTACAGGTGTGCCTCGTGTTTAATGACAACTAGAATTTTCGTCATTTACCTACATTTAGCCCTGAGATCAAACAAAACCGCGGCGAACTGCTTCTGACAAGAACGGCGCACTGGGTTCGTTGCGGAAGCCGCCGCTCTTATCAGTACAGTTGTGGAATTTCATCAGACCATGCCATGCGGTATTTTGCATCTGGATATGACAAGCAGAAATGAATTTGCTGCAGTTTTTGAAGTTATTTCCTTTGACTGTTATTTTCGCATCTTTCCCCGCAACGATAGACGCAAATATTAAAGGTATGTTATGCTGAATGTTGTGATCAAACAATCTATAACACTAGACCCAAACAAGTTTAGCACTAGTCAGTTTTGACTAGTGTTGCAAGCAGGCAACGATTGATCGAGAAAACCAAAAATCAAAAAAGGCAATCTCCTAGCTTTTACGATACTTTTTTTGTCGCATATTTTATTGGTTTTACGCGGATTTTACTCTTCATAACACTTTCAAGATTTTTTTCCTGTCGTGTGCAACATTTCGCCCACAGAAATAATTAATTTCGATCTATATTGACCATGACTGGCGACTTCATTCTGTTCATTATTTGGCGTTGCACGCGGTTGATTCTGCATGAATAAAACTGACTATGAATAATCTCATATCAGATACCATTTGTATATTTGAATCGAATGAGTGCCCAAGTATCAAATATTGTATTTCTAATTCTAAAAGAAGCAGATTTTTTCATTGTCTTAACTTATTCATTCACTGCCTCTACTTAAAATTCTCAAATTAAATAGTGGCTGCTTCTTAATGATCGCCGGTGTTTTGCACAAAGCTCAGTTAGTCAACAGATGAGAAAGGTACAGACTGTTCATAATCGCCTTATTTGCAAAAGAATGGCCCCCTAGTTTAGAGGATCTCAGTTTGGAAACAACTTGCAATTTGTTTATAGTTCGCGTGATTGAAATTCTTTATTTAGCTATACATACAATTAATTTGCATTTCTGTACACGACCAGGGATTGTTTATTAAATACATTTCAGTTTCAATTAGTGCTTCATCTGCTCAGTTTCCGCGGTATATATGTACACAGATTTGGCATCATCGTTTTGGTAGATCTAAAGCTCCTAAATTATAGGCGATTGGCGCACTAAGGAAGTTTTGTTGGCACAACATGTACAGGGAAACATGGTTATCAAGCGGGGGACGGATACATTTCTTTTTAAAACTATGGGCGCTTTTAAATGGGAAATCCTGATTTTAGTAAAACTATCCAGTAAATCCAAAGACAGAATTCGTCAAACAGAATAGCTTCCTGCAATTCGAAATTCGATTGGGAAAACAGAAGCTCCCTAGAGTTTACACAGCTGAGTCAACAACCACTGCTATGGAATTTGGCTCTATATTTGAGTTTGTATCGTGTATTTAAGCAAATGGTTATCGAGTCATGATTGTGGACAGTTGTACAAAAAATGGTGTCGGTACTGTTTACATCAATCCAAAATGGCGCATCCAAAAATAGTGGTACTAAACATAATGACGTCACTTGACAAGAAAAGATGCGACAATTAATAGGCTTATGAATGACCATCTTGATATGACAAATAACTAAGATAAGTTGTGTATCAAAGTTCTATGTTGCATTTATGCTTGGTCTGAAAAATAGCGAGGTTTTTTTATTTACTAGTAAGATCAAGGCAGATTGCATGCAAGGAGGCGATCAAACTCGCGCTTAATGACTTACAACTAGTTATAACCAAAAGTTAGGGATTGTTGGCGAGATCGATTGAAAGTCAAAAACGGCGCCCTTGCTCCAACGCTGTTTTTTGCCTAATGTTTCACGTGATAGAAGGTTTAAACGCGCGTGATCAGATTGCGCTCTATGCATTCCAATCATTCCTAGTGGAAGTCCAAACAAACGCTGACTACACACGTACACATGCTGCGCATGCCTAAAAACAACCTGGAGATTGGCTTACGGGCTCTTCTCGTCGCCCGCAAAAATGATGGTTTAGAGGATTCCTAAGCTTGATTTCGATTTTGTATTTTAGCTTGCTCTCCATCGAATACCAACATTGAAATTGACGCCCAGCTTCCTGGAGAAATTTCAACGCCTGCTTTCCCAAATGGCTATTCTGGGGGTTCGTGCATTTGGAAGATTCAGGCGCCAGTCAATTTTCGTCTGGCAATCACCATCGAAGTCCTACAGTTCAAGAAATGGGACGACTACCTTGTGATACGAGATGGTGATGGCTCCTCAAGTCCCTTGATTGGCAAATATGGCCCTTGTGCCAGCGGTTCTGTTACTTTGTTCTCGAGTGGGAGATCAGCTTTTTTACAAACGGTGTCTACTGTTTTCAGTTCAAGTGATAAACTTAGCATCTCGTATAGGGCCATTGATCCAGGTAAGACTGAGCTACAATATATGTTTTGAAAGAAAAACGCAAACATGGTTGATTTATGGTTTGTTCACGCATTTCACAATCATTGCATATTTTGAACTGAAGTCGCCTCGTACCCTATCGTCACCACTATCATCATCATCATCATCATCATCATCATCATCATCATCATCATCATTACAACATGATCATCATTTTTGGCAATATTGTCTTGAACATCGTTACGGCCGTTGTTATCAGTCTGCTTTTGAGTGTAATTATCTGATGAGAAAGAAAAGAATATGCCTTGGGGAGAAAAGAAATCGTAAAATGCTAACAAACATTTTATAGTATGTTCAGAAACGAAAGCTGCCAGCTGCCTCAGTTTGCTATTTTTATTTTCCCTTTTTCAATGAGTTTTGGACATTCCACTATAACGCATACTGTCAACTTCATCATTACCATTCTTATTATTGCTGCGATGAATTTCATTTTATCATAATACCATCCAATGTTACACCTCACAGTATCAGCCGAATTCTAAGCCGGAAGTTGCCAAAGTTAAACTACCTTTTAAATTTTCTACAGATGATATTGACTGCTCAAGCCAGGCGGAAAATCCACCAAGTAAGTAGATAACTCTTTTTACTGATAAATTATCCGCTCTATTTTGAATTGCTTAATCGGTGTCGATCAATCATATATTGGATTCCCAGCTTGTAAAGTGTTACTATCATGTATCATTTTTACCAGCAAGTTGTCACGATCTTTTTGCCGCGCCTCTTTCTACATTCTAAATCCGAAGATGATTAGATAAAGGGAGAAAATTGAATTTGACAATGTCATCAACGAAAATGTCTTCAGTAATGTTTACGACATAAAATGATGGAGCCCCAAAAACTTATTTTCAAATTCAAAACATTGAAAATCCAAGTGTGTGACAGGTACACCAGAACTACCAGATGAGTTAATTTGGATGTTTATTAATCGAAATAAGTTGAGACTTTTTCTTAATTTTCAGATTACTGCAGCGAAAACACTAAGCTAAAGGAAGTAGCTGGAGTCCTGTCCAGTCCCAATTTTCCCAACAACTATGACGCGGGCGAGTACTGTTTGTGGGAAATATCTGCCCCACAGGGGTACCGTATACAGGCTGAAGTTCGTTGGTTTGGCGTCGAGGATCATCGATACTCTCGTCCAGGGCGCTGTGAAGATGATTATCTCGTAATAACTGAGTACCTTGGTAACACTTCTGACGACAATATTGTGGCACGGCTGTGCGGATGCAAGGAGACCTATACCTACATTTCTCCAAAGGAAAAGATGTGGTTTTCGTTTACCTCGTATAAAAAAGCCAACTGGCCTGGCTTCTATGTGAGCTACCAAGTTCTCGGTGAGTATACACTAGCGGTAAGTTATTATAGTGCGACTACTAGAACCGGGGCATTTAAAAGAAGATTATCCAATCACAACGTTGTTTTGAAAGCAAAAGATTCTCAAGTTTTGTTTTTTGGAATCAGCGCAACCTATACCTAGTTAGTCAGCTAACGTTGACCAAATTTGGAAGACGTTTGCCAATATTATAGAACAATTGGCGTCAATTGTACAGATATCGATAGAAAAAGGGACAGAGGAAAGAAGAAGGCGCGGTAGGTCAGCTGTTTTTGCAGGCAGAGGTAGAGAAAATGATGTAGGATTTTACAGGTCATGTGAAGATGAAAAAGCTGATCTACTGCCTAAAAATAGTGCAAGAGAAAGACGCAAGTGCTGAAATTCGTTGTTTTGTTTTTGTAGAAGTATAGTTAGTAGTTAGTAGTTAAATTTGTGTGAATTTTTTGAGAAATTAATCTAAAATTGTGGAAAAGCCCTTCAGAAGCATAGGAAAAATGTAAGAAATTAAGAAAGGAAAGTTTTCACTGAATTTATAGATGTGATGCTATCATTGTAGCTCCTGAGGAATGTCCGGCAGATAAGACCAATTGCTCACTGAAGACTATGGCTCCAGTAGGTTTTAACGCACAAGGGCAAGTCTGCAGTTTTCCAGGTACTGATTTAGCCACTTTCTATTAATAACGATAAGCCTTATCTTTATTTTTATGATTAATTATATGTTGACACTAGTGCTCTAGCCCAAGTTTTGTGTTTAATTTATTCTGGTGCAATAAAAACTTCAAAATAATGGGGATTGTACCATAAATGTTACCTCGATCAAATTAATGTCTTGCAAAGTATATTCATTCCAAATTGTTTCTTTGAAAATGATTATATTTCACATTCACATGTTCTCAAAAAGAGAATTCCAAACTGTGGGTTCGAAATTCCTTGTGATTGTTAGATAAGCTCATGTCCCAAAAATCAAAGTTAAAGGCGTATGTATCCAAGAAAAATAGATCAGAGTAGAAAAACTAGTAACAAGACAATCAAATTACCTGGTCGCATGATCGACTACGCGACCACTTGCTACATGTGTAACTTCATTTTCCCTGCATGAAAACATTGACCATACAATTGGTGTCTACAAAATAAGCTAGAAATGGGTCGAACCGTCATAATGTTAAATGCAAACAGAACGATGTAAAATGGTATTAGTTTACTGGTGCCAGTCCCCTCTAATAAACACTTTGGATAGGGAAAAGACAACTTCTTTAATGAAAACTATTAGTAGCCATTTTTGAAATTCACAGAGGAAAAGAATTTCGCTCCCTTGAACTGGTGGGAGTCTAGTCGAATAAGCGCCGGTCTGCTGAGCGGAAGGCCGCTGGTTCAAGTCCCGGCCGGACCAACACTCGGGGTCTTTAAATAATAACTGACGAGAAAGTGCTGCCTTTGTAAAGACATCTGCAAACGGTTAGACTTTCTAGTCTTCTCGGATAGGGACGATAAACCGTAGGCCCCGTCTCACAACCCTTGCATATATAAATTGTGTGGGACGTTAAAGAACCCACACACTGTTCGTAAAGAGCAGGGGACGTAGGGCCCTGTGTGGTGGTCTATCTCTCATGGGGGGAAGGGACTGTTACGGGCCCGCAGTGATTGGCGTCATGCTGTGCGGTGACCTGCCAACAATTGGCGAATCTAATAAAATGAACAAAATAAATAAAATAGGGCGTGGCCGGGCACAAGATGCGGGTTTAAACACTTTCCTGAATAAAAATTGAGGCCAAGAAACTTGGTTTTAATTAACCTTAAACTGGTACTTGACTGTAAAATACAACTTGAAAACATCAACAACTTTATTAACAGCCAAGAAATACATAACACAAACACACTTGCTACATTTAGCAAAACCTATTAGAGGCAGGCAGTGTGTGGATGCTACGTACATGAACTGATACATCGTAGGACACTTTACATGGAAATAAAAGATATTTACAACTGGGCAAGCTTGGGCAAAAAAGAGATAACTAGGCCCTCTTCTGAATCTACTTGTGTTTTGAGAAACGTTTTGGAATTTCTTTAGGCCTGTGAAATTCTGGAAGTCGTGCTCAGGGAAATTCATAGCAAGTGCCGAAAATTTCCAGAAATTACCCGGAATTTCTGAAAGTTTAGAAGTGGTCCTTGGAATTTTGCCAAACTCGAAAAGCCCAGGGTAATTTCCGCCCCTTCTTCTGTTCAAGGAAAAAAAAATACTTCATGATCATTCCCTATCGTTTTAAATTAAATAATTTTTTTTTAAAAATTTCAAAAGAAAAATGGCAACTTTCTGGTGTTTGAGAAACCACTTGCCTTTCACTTTCAGAATCAGGGATAGACGATGTGTTTCGAAATACAAAACTCTTCTCTGTTGCTCTGTTGAAAAATAGCGTTTCTTCTTAGTATTTTAGCTTGGTCCAATTTTTTGTATTTCACATGATCGTTATTCCAAAGAATATTAAGTACGGGAATTGTCTTGCATTTTACATTTTAGCCCCTCCATCTACAACCAGTGCCCAGGTGATGACATCTTCAGCAGTACCGTCCTTGCCCCCAAGTTCTGATACATCTTTGCCGAAGAAAAGCACTCTTGCTGTACAGGAAATCGCCTCAGCAATATCTTATTCAGAAAGTTCTCTGACTGGAAGTTATATGCCGCAGTCGTCAGCCAAGGCTAGCAGTGAAGCTGAAAAAGCAAGTAAACTGGAGGATAAAACCACGGAAGCGCTGTCGCTAGTATCAGGCTCTACTGAGTCTGCTAACGAAGCAAAACTTTCCGCACTTAAAACAAGAACGTTAATAACATCGCCTCCAACACATCGTGGCTTGATCTCTGACGCAAAATCTTCCAAAAATGTTGAAAGCACGAGGAGGCTTTTTATGACTTCTAGGACTTCTTCAACCGAAAGGTCATCTTCTATAGAGGTTGCAGGTCCACAAAAAACAACTGTAGTGATTAGTCCCTCACCCGTAGCCACTTCAACCTTAACAATGAGAGATCGAGATCAAGACAGTACCATAACATCTAGCTTGTTACGTATAAGTGAAGATACCTTCGCAACAACGAAAGCTAATTTCCGATCCAATCACACAGAGATTCTTGATCATGCCACAAACTCTGTTAAATCGACGCAAACGGTAACTGGTATTTCAGGAGCATCTGTTGTGCATGTGAAAGAAAGCGACACTGACGCCCCGGCAGTTGCTCAATTAAAAAATTCAAGAAGCTCCTTATTCTCTGCCGAATCAATTAAAATGAAAGGATCAACAATGGCCAGCTACACGACTGAAAATATTAAACCGAGTGTTTCTGGTGAAACGAAGGCTTCTAGGACGACGGACCGTAAGTATACTATGACGCCTGGAGAAACCATGGTCGAATGGCTGCCATCTACAACTGTCCATCAGAGTAGTATCAGAGGTACAGAACCTGTTCTAAAGACGACCTCACTGGCTGGACCTCTAAGCGTGGTTTCTCATCACAGTGACTACGTGAGCTCTGCGAGTCAAAGAATCATCATTCAACCAAGCGAAACAAGTGAGGAGTCAGAGGACACTCCGCACGCAACGTCGGTTATTGTAACACAAAAACCACCAGCTAACACAACAGATGTCCTTTTCATCGAAGGTGCGCCTGAAGGTAAGGAAAACCCTGTTTTTTTTGCTGATTACAGGCACAAATGTTTTTTCGCCCAATGTAATAGAATCCGGGACATTTTTGCTCGTGAATTCCGGAATCCTGCAACTTTTCTTGTGGAATTCGGAATCCTGGGCTTTGGAATCCCGAACACCGCTCAAGGAATCCGGTGCGGATTCCTTTAACTATTGAAATCCGGAATCCATGCTCCACTGACAAAGAATACCGGATGCCGGGATACACGTCGTGAAATCGAGAGTCGAAGTCAGAATGTCTTGGAATCCCTTACATGGGGTGATTTTTTTTCAGAATCAATTCATCCAACAGCTGAAAACGCTTACAAACCGTGAATTGCTGCCATTTAAAACTAAGATTATAATTTGTTATTTACCAGCTGGACATAAGTTTGCTGGATAAACTTAGACCCAACTGAGTCGCGTCATCTCTGTACGTATCACTTGCTACAAGTAAGGGCTTCCCATTATATTAGCCCAAATAAGGTCATAAAGTCTCGACGTTGGGGTGGTGGTAGGGTTGTCCTGCAATTACTGCGCACAGAGTTGCACTTACATTTTAAAAGGAGCAATAAGAATAAGCGTAAGAGAGACAAAACAATCAATCTTGGCAATTTTAGTCTTAGATGCTACGATATGTTTGGTCCTTACCATTTACACAAACCACCCGGTTGGAAATCTTGTGCATAATCATAAAATTGTTATACTGACGTGATGGGAGAACGACCCGCTACAAAGTGTATTCAAATAAATTGAACAGACTGAGAAGAGCAGAAAACTTGCAACTCTTCAAGTTACAGCCCATATTTTCTGAAGTTTCCCAAACGGAATAGTCTCTCCACAGCCGTTCTTTGTGTCGTAACGCACCGCATTCAATCCCTGTATTAAAGTAGTTACTCTGACTCATAACTTGACTTAATATCTGGACACACGAAGACAATGCAATCAACTGATCACTGATAGATTGAATGTAATCACCGCTTGGTAAGGCTTGACTCAACCACGAATTCAGTGGGTTTCGATTTCAAGGAAAAACATTCTTCTCATGTTTGTGAAACCTGGCCAGCAGGTTCCCTTCCTCGTTTGCATTCATTTGATGAGCTTAACTATTTTAAGTCGGAGTCACGTGACTCACACTTACCTTGTAGCTGTCAAAATGTTTCACTGAAAATGGGAAATACTTAAACAAACTGTATTCGCCTTATTTCTTCGTTTTTCTATGGCTCCTAGTAGGGGTTTTTGGCTGCCGCCTTTTAGTCATGTCAATGTGTTATCTAAAACCGTCAGTTGAGTAATACAGGTCGCCTGACTTAACAAATGTACTGATAACGCATAGAACGAATTCCGCGTTAAAAGGGGGAGCCCTGTTGAGAACGGTCTTAAGGCTACTTTAACATCGCAAAGTTTCCAATTTTGAATTTGCAATGTACCCCATTTGAAGGAGCACGTTTTGCAACGTCATCAGGGGCAGGAAATCACGTAATTGTATATGACACTTTTATTCCATCAAACACGTCAAATGTTAATTCTTCTCAGTTTCACGACTGAAACGACCTTATTCTTACGAGCTGCATGCGTGATGTCTTAAAACTCTACTGGGTTTCTCTATATTGAAAACCCAAGCCTTGACAAGAATGCCTGAAATAAAGACTGAGGAAGTAAACTAGGACACCCGTTACTAAAAACTCTTTTTGTACCGACAGGAATATCAGTCAAATGCACTCATTATGCAATCGAAGTAATAATATCAAGAATCCAACAGCCCAAATTGGACATCTCCACAGTCCATCTCCAAGACCCTTTGTGTAAGGTCACCTCCTCTAATGCTACGCATGCTCTCTTAACGTCACCGCTGGAAAGTTGTGATACTGAGCAAAGGATGTCAAAGTTCTACTTTATATACTCGAACAGCTTGATGGGAGATACACGGTTTGGCGAGACCGCTAAAATTACCAGGGATGGCCGACTCAAGTTCGAGTTCCAGTGTCTATATAGACGGATTCATGTCCTCTCAATTGTTTCATATTCACCGAGGCGAAAAGATGCGCAAACGGATGGTAAGTTGTAATATGATCAAAGTTTTTAAAGTTGAATTTCAGTTAGAATTAAGTGGGTTGAAAAAAATCGGCTCAAATTGGCCGATAACTACTAAAGATAAACTTTTAATAATAACCAGACACCCAAGGGCATGAAAATTTAAACTCTTTTACCTGCCCTTAGCTCCCTGGTATTTTTATTGGCATTCTGATTATTTCAACAGAATATGCTTTTATATTTCAGGCGATGGCGTAGGTAATTTTTCCTTTGGAATGGACTTGTATGAAGATTCTAAGTACGATGTAGTGGTGAGCCAGTACCCTTTCAATGTATATCCGGGCCAAAGAATATTTTTAAAGGTTGATGTTAAATCAAACGACCGAGAGCTGGTAACCTTTCTCGATGAATGCTGGGCGACACCTTCAACTAATCCACGTGATCAGACGAGATATACAATAATTGAAAAAGGGTTAGTATAAGAAAAACAAATTCCCAGTTACGAACAGCTAGTACAAAAACAAAAACAACAGATCTGCTTCGGAGTAAAGGTAGCAATTTAACCCTTTAAGCCTCAGTATCGACATACAAATTCTCCAAACTGATCTCTATATATTTCCTTAAAGAATTAGTTGAGAGAATTTGATAATAGATCAAGGCATTTTCTCTTGGGTGATCATTTTATTTATTCTCATAACGTATCTCTTGACATTGTATGGATATTGCTAGGAGAAAATTGATCTTGGCCACTATTGGGACTTAAAGGGTTAATGATGTGAATGGTGCGCTCAACAATTGAGGAAATACAAAACCCCACCGGACGAAACAATGGATTAGCTGAAATTTGCTCCTTGCAAGTATGTCGCAAATTTGTAAAAAAAAAAACGAGGAGTAAATATGGTGCGAAGATGGCAAATACCCCATTTGCTTACCAAAAAATTAAAGCAGGGTGTGTATCACTTACCAGTAACTAAGCAAATGCGGTAATTACCATCTTTGCCCCAGATTTACTCCTCCGTTTTTACAAATTTGCGACATATTTGTGAGTAGCAAACTTGTGCGAATCTTTTTTTCGTCCAGTGACCTGAAAAGCCATCTGACTTCAATAACTGCTGTAATCTGCGCGCAGACGTAATCTAACCCCGTAATTTAATGTCAGCCGAAGCAGTGCTGAGATCCTTGGAATTCCTTTCATCCTGATTGGCCAATCGAATAATGCCTCTTTTAACTGGCAACCATGGCACATATTCAAATCTTGGTACACAGCTGGGGGCTGGAAGATGCAGATTTTTACAGACTAGTTTACTTTTAGATCGATTCTTCAGCAAATTTTGAATATCGAATAAGTCTTAAAAATCACAGTAATCAAACATCGGCGACCAGAAAGTAATATTTCTGATATTTTGATAGCCTTAAAATCATCATACTATTGATGCTCTCGAACACGTAACGCCGCTTCCATTCTGTGAGGAAAAGTGCTCCCAACGATGCTTAAAATAGCTTGATCCGTGAAAATGCCATTGCATAGGCTAAGTCAGGGAGTTGCACGCTCGGGTTATGAGGTCCTCTTACTACACAATCTTGGTGGCAGAAGGGTTATTAACATATGTTTTTAATTAATTTATTTTTAGTTGCCCACGTGACCCTACCATTGTATACAACTACGAAAAGTCAGCGATACAAAAGTTTAGCATGAAAGCTTTCAAATTCCGTCGCTTTCCAACATCTCGAGTTTATGTTCACTGCAATGTTGAGACATGCAGGAGGGCGGACACAGATTCAGTGTGTGAAACGGGCTGTGTGGAAAACGGGAGACGCAGAAGAGAAAACAAACCATATATTATGGACAAAGAATTATTTTTATCGCTAGGACCTGTTAAATTACAACAGAAAAAGCCTGGTAAGTAGGTTAAGATATATGTTTAACAATATTCTTCATTTCCACGTCTCTCATTATACACCTCCCCCCCCCCCCCGCCTCAGACTTTTACATAGGTTGATACCATGCAACAGTTGAAAACTTAAAAACCGTTTGAACTTATCTGACCTCTTAGGAAACACCTTGTTGATTTGATGAATGTCATTGGTTCGTTTGTCAAAAAAATTTAGAATATTTTGTTCTCAGAAAACTTTATGATTGGACAATCTTGCTTCAAGTGTCCCGGTTTGAGTGTTCACTCTGTAATTTCTGCTAGCCTTAAAAGACGTTTAACCTTTCTCTGACGTCAGCCTTGTGTTTTGTTAGCTCATGTGCGACGACCAATCACAACGCGCTAAACAGCCAAGTAACTAAGATATCTAATGATAGATGGCAATGATGTCAATGATGTCTATGTTTCATGACATTTTTTCTTTACATAGTTATGGGCGTGGGAGGGTTGTGTCGGGGGGGTGGGCGTTCGGTATAGGGTCTTAGTATTGACTCAACTAACTCCTGACTATAACTAGAAGCAAGGAGGGTTTATGCCTTCTAAATGAAGTTGATATTTTTCCTTATGTCTTCCGAGTAATGATTGAATTTTGGTATCTTTTCATTCAGCTGAGTCCCAGATGTCTTTTGTTCATTTCAAAGCCCTCATTGGATTGCTGGGAGTTACTTCTCTTATTCTACTTACTGCGATAGTCGTTATATTGATCAAAAGAAGAAAGCGTTACAATACCTGCATTTGGTTCACTTCAAGAACACAAAAGTCTCAAGACGGGAACGAAACCAATTCCAAGCTAATGACAACGGAACTTTGAATCGTTATTTACCCCTTTGCTGATATCCTGGCTGTTTTCCGAAAATTTCTGCTCAAGAGACCAATTTAGCTTGTATGTTTTTTTTTTCTCAAACACGGTCTCCGGGGAATTTGCTCCTTTTTTTCATAAATTATTCGTATATATGCGAGTATATGTATGTGTAATCAAATGGTGATGAGTGAAATTAGGGAATAATTTCACTTGCGTTTTGTCCAAATCTTAATAATTTACGGAGCTCTTCCTATTAATATCATGGGTGACGAATTACGTTAGCAATCTTGGATTTTTGACGTGTTTATCCTGGATCGTATCGATCGAGAACTCCACTCTCTCGAACGTTTAGAGCTTAAATTTGACTCAAGTTTGGAATTTTTCGACAGAATACGTGTTAGAATCCTTCTTGATGTGCTCTTTGGTGTGTTCAGGTTTTCTAAAGCGTCTTTATATGCCCTGACGTCTTCATTCATGACATTTTAACCTTCGTCGCCATCTTGACACTGAGACGTACGGAAGGTTGCCATGGCAATTTTGTAATTTCACATTTGGAATTACAAATTATCGCTGAAATTTCGCGCCAACATTAAGGAGTAATTCGTCACCTATGTTATTAGTATAGGTAATAGCATTATTTGTAGTGATATTTGGCATAAATACCACGAGTGATATTTTGAAATTGTTATACGTCATTTCACGAGCCTTTAGGCGAGTGAAATTTGAGACAATTTTGAAATATCACGAGTGGTATTTATGCCAAATATCACGTACAAATCATGCTATTACTTGTTTATACTACTACCCGCAAAAGGTTTGTAATTTTCACATGTAGGTATTTCAGATTAAGCTGAAATACCACTGCTCTAAGCCAATCAAATTGTAGAAATTTCTCATGTAGTAGTATAAAAGACGAAATTTGAAGAAACAGTTCTATGGAGTATTAACACATGACCTACATTAATAGGAAAACAAAGCATACAAGCTAAAGAGGTCGACTGGCCAATCAGAATGGTAATTGGAATGGATTTTACTTTGTGTCTTGTTCTTTTGTTAGCTACAGTAAAATTAAAAATAAATTATAAATTATAAATTTTTAGACTTCCATGTTGGAGGTACATTTGTAATCAACGAATAAGTAACCATTGACAGTATGTTATATGTATGTCAATAACAAACTATGAAGTATAATTTTAACAATTATATAGAAATTAGTTTTAACTCTTCATACTGCCTAGCGTTAATGATTGGCGAATTATAGTAAGTAAATGGCTGTACATAACATGTAGTACGAATTAATCAAGTTTAATTACATTTTCGCAATTTTTGGGATAATCTTCGGGCGAAAAGATAAACGTATAAAAAAAAAACTGTAATACACTAGTTGAATAAAGTCAGTATTTTGGAAAGATCTGTTAAAATAACTTTGATAAATAATTTTGTAGTTTAGTTTTAAGAGTCGAACTCTTGGTTTTAACCCTATCTCTTGTGTATCTTCGAATTTCCCTAAGTCTTTGCCAGTGGCGGTAAAAAGCCAAGAAGTTATCTTTTTGAAAGACCTCTTCAGTAAATATTTACATAAAGTCAATTTAAATGCAATAAAATATTGATGTGATCAAATGTTGATAGCGTAATTTTTTGTTTATTAATCATATATATTTTTATTTTCCACTCGAGCCTGCAAAATTCCGAAAATAAGCCCATCCAAATATAAGCCCCCCAAACTCGTAACGCAAAATACTCCCCGTTAAATCACCCCTTCAAATATAAGTCCCTCGGGGTCTGTAATTGGCAATTGTTCTCAATTACAAAGTAAAACAAAGCAAAAAAGGCAAATTTCCTTCCAACTATAAGGCTAGCCCAATCGATTTTTAAACGCAAATTTCCCTCCATAGATAAGCTCCTCCGAATATAAGCCCCTCCAAAAATAAGCCCCTCAAAAAGGGCCTTTGAAAAATATAAGCCCCGGGCTTATTTTCGGAATTTTACGGTATTTAAGAATGTCAGTCGACTAAAGGGAGTCAAAGTATATTAAAAACATGAGATAACTCCTGGTTTTCACATGACACCATCAAAATTCAGAGCTAAAGAATTATCGATCCTCCTGAGTTTTTACTTTCATGAACTTATTAGAGCCTGTAGAAAGTAACAATTTTACACAAATTTCTCTTCGAAAGCGCTCTTTTTGACGCTTACTTAATTGAGCCAAGCAAGCAAACGTCTTAGTGAGCACACCGCCCGGCATCGTTTAGGATTGGGCTTCGTTGACGAAAGGAGACTGGAATCAACTCATTGTTCAATGAGGCTGCCGTTAGTAAATAATAATGTAAGCGTGGCATGTATTGCATTTATGTTCGACTCGACTCTAAAAGATTCGAAAAATAATTCCAAAAATTTTACGTGCCTCTTGTCACAAAGCTGTACACAGCCAGGTGCATTATAGTTTGATGCAGTATTTTGGCCAAATGTCGAGGAATACACTGTTTGTAGCTTTTACACCTAGCCATTTAACCGGTACCCAGTGACTGCAACACTGAATACTACTCATGCTCTGAGCGCACCAACCGCTGGTCAAACACAGGAGGGTTGACAACAGACCAAGACAAAATCGTTCTCAAGGCCATGAATAAAAATAATAACGCTCTTTTATTTTTGTTTTTTTTTTTAAGTTTTAAGATACAGCAAATCAAAATATATATATATTTTTAAGAATCCTCGGGCTTGCTTGTGTTTACAAATTCTTCGTTTCAGCAAGTAATAGAAGAATTTAAGTAAATCTGGAAAACTAACGTTACAGGAAAAAGATATATGTTCTTTATTTTATTAGCATGAAAACAAATTTTAGACAAACTACCAATTAATTTGAGAATTTAAGTTACTAGTTTTTTCAGTCTACTATAAAGAATAAGGAAAGCCCAAGTATGTCGACTTTTCAAAATATACACCTTTTATTTTAATTACGATTGATTGATCAACCTGTTAAGTAAACTTATGTTGTCTCACTTTTGCTCCTTTCACAGTCGTTTGTCTTTCGTTTATCTTCAGCTAATATAAATAGAGTATTATTTACAAGTTTTACACTTAAAAAACATTTACAAAAGACATTTTTTGGGGGTGAAATTCCTTAATAATCAAAAAATAAATAAGTGTTATGACATTATTTGCTCAGTCAATGATAAAATTGTTTCGAGTAACATCCAGATTACAGCAATTATATTCCATGAAATTGGACCCACATACTGGTCAATGGGCCAGTCCTAGCTACATACAAAAACAAATTAAAAATTCTCAATGGGCACATTGTTTAAAACATCGGAGAAAAAAATCAATAAACCTTTTACAATTGTAATCAGTACAAGTGGAGCAATTGTTTTCGAGGTTAAAAACAATCGCCATACTTGTAAATTACACTTGAATTTTTGGTTATTGACCTCAATTTCGAATATGCCTGTTTGCTGAGACTGATTCAGCTTATATTCAGTATTACTTTAGATTTTTCCTACTCTTCAATTCTGAAGAAGTAGTGGAGGAAGTTTAAAGGGTGCATGGCTTACTAGCCACGAAGTCGAAGCACAAATCAGGTGCAAAGATAAAGCCTTACGATCTGGTGATTATTCATCAACTCAACGGAGTCGCAAAAAGAGTTTGCTATCCCCACCTATGACTTCGTCGCTTGCTGCAGATTATAGACGTCTCAAGCAGATGAAACCAGTCTCGTCTCAAAGCGTGGAATTGAACAGTGTATGTTTGTCATTGGTTTACTCTTTCGCGTGTGTTTTTTAGTATTTTACTAAGCGGGTTTTACTTTGTTTATCACGCAGCACTACCTCACCACCACAGAGCTATTGGGTAAGGGGGCTGCGTAATGACCTACGGTACAAGGGAGGGAGATCCTTGTGACTCAGAGAGCGCGGAGGTGTTATGCATGACCTAGATCGCCGTTAAATTCATAGCGCGAATCACCCTTTAATGGTCATACGATAGCAATCTCGTCTGTGATCCCTTTGGTCAGCGCCAAGCCTGTTCCGCTGCTCAAGAGTAGCGAAGGCTCTGGGGATTGTGCCTTATCAGCTTCTGTTCAACGTCTCTGATATCTGTGCTATCGAAAACCACCTACAGCGATGACCGCAGCCATATCAGAAGAATAAAACGGATTTAAGTTTTTCTTCTCGACAATAATTCTCATCGTCTTGCGTAAGTTCTCCAATACGCATGACATTTCCATCGGACACGTTTTTTTGTATTATGCTGTAAGCAAGGCAGTTCTCGCTCCAAGCTTTACTGGAATAACACTTGAACCAAGGTCAAACATAACTCCCCAGCGCCCTGTGATGATGCTGACAATCTGGTTTTCACAAGAAAATAGACGACAGAATATGCCTAGTTGGAAGAAAACCGACGCATTTTGAATCTTTTGACTCCGATTCTGTTGAGCTTTATACATGAGAAATGGCACGCGCCCAATGCCTATTATAGCACAAAATTGACCTACATTAATGTCCGCGTGGCAGAGCCCCTCTATGCATTTGAGCGAGCATTCAGCATTCGTTTTTGATGCCTTATGTAGACCATAGCTGCCGCCAAAAGTAAAACAAGGATAACTATTATTCCAACCATTCCATACACATAGTCGGGGATTCCTTCAGAAGCTAAGGAATAAAAGAGAAAAAAAAAAGATTAAAAATCGTTGCTGACCAAAATTTCAATCAGTATTGCGTTTTCTTTTGGACGGGCTAAGACTTTACAAAAACGCAACGTGTAGAAGTGTTTTTTTTTTCAAACGGGGAGGGAAAAAAAATCACTTTTTTAAACACAAGCGAATACGTGTGGGCAGGGCCAAGGTCACACACATCTTGTCTTCTTCAGTTTGAGAATAGTTAAAAGTGGCGAGATTCTGAGGACCCAGGCTTTTCCAGCTCCCTATAGCTATATCTATAGTACAAAAAAATCGCCGAACCATTTACCGGTTTGTAAATAACATGAATAAATCAAAGTTACTTTAATTATGAGTATATGTTGAGTATATTGTGTACATGTATTACCTTTTGTTGCTTTAGGACTCGTTGTTGATCTTGTCTGTTTGTTAGTCTGGTTTGCTGCAGGAAAATCTATCAAAAAAATCAAGAGGTAAGGAGATATTAATAGTGATAAATAACTAGCAATACACAGATATTGTAGATAATTGATCATGAGCCAGCAAAACCTTTCTCATCGCGGTAGTTCTGACAGTAGATTCTATAATTTTTTAAACGACCCTAGCCCTTGCCTAAGAAATAAGATCAGCCGAGCTGATCTGAGAAGAAAACGTTCTCGTCTAGTGTTAGGGGTGGTTGAGGCGGGGAGAGGGACTAAAAAAACAAGGCGGACAGCTGTAAGCAACCAGTCAAAGACACTCTCCAGTTATTCTGAGCGAAGATGACATACGGACTGTACTTGGTGCAGTTAGGGTCTTTAGGAATCATTTCTCAAACTATTTAATAGTGCGATGTGGAACACAGGAATCATAATGCCAGATAGTGTGCCATGTTTGTTGACCATGCTGTCCCTCCATACGAATCCGAGAAGCTTTGGGGTCGCATATCGCAGCCAGTACTTCACTCGTTTAGAAAAAAAGAAAAAAAGGATTGATACAAATCTTACCTTGTTCTTTCAAAAACAATGTGATATTATGATCCGTTGGATCAGTCCCGTTTGGCGGGGTCACTTTGCACTGATATGTGGTAACGTCTTTCATTTGAACTTTCGTTATGCGCAACGAACCATCCTGTAACATGTAAATTCCTTTTTGTTTACTCTCGGTTCCTCCGCGTGCGTTCATTCCCGCTATATACTTCCAACGTGGCTCCTCTCCATCGCAGCTGACTTTCGAAGTACAAACACTCCAAGTCACAAATTTAAAAAGTTCGCCTTTCTCAACTACTTCTTGTAAAACAGGACAAGGCAGAGTTGCGTTGTGCTCGAGTTTTACTTCATGGAAAGTTTTCTGTTTTTCATCACTCTGTGTCAGCCCTTAAAAAGATAGGATAAAAAAAAGGTGTCAAGGCATAGTTCAAACACTAGAACAAACCTGATGTTTCCGCAACAACAAGAACCTATTTCGCCCCAACCCTCCTCCCCCCCTACCTTTGACTCGTCAGGTAACCTCAACCAAGTCAACAAAGTCTGCATTTTAGGAAGCTAAAGTCAAGGGGCAAAAGGCGGCAAAAAATGAATAAATCATAAGTTCTGTCTGCTGCTGCTGCAAAGGAAGATTTTTCTCTCTACTTTTCTCTTTTCCTCTTATTTTTCCGTTTTGGGTTGTTCAGGCCATTCATTGGGGCGAAAATAGTGTAATTTTTACATTTCGCGCTATTTTTTCAACTCATCAGCCAATATTGCAACACTTGCTACATTTAAACCTAGGACCCAGTCCACCTGGACGACCAGTTAAAAATGGCGGACAACTTTCTTTGAAGGTTTGTTTTCGACCTTGTTCTGTTTCATGGGCACTTAAAAATGGGGAAAAATACTGACTGGACTGAACAAGTTCTGGAAGGAAAATATATTTATCTCTGAGATGACACTTGCAAAAGAGCGCTAACAAAGGGAAAGCAGGCAGATGGATCTTTAACATCAGAAGAAATGTACTCGCTGTCCGCTATTGTGACACGTCTGGGAGCAACAACAGGAAGCAACAGGAATCAATAGCGCACGAAGGTATGAAAACAGATTTATATATTTAATTTTTTTGATCCCAAACGAAGATGAGCACAGTTGTGGACGGAGGAGCTATTGCTTCGAGTGAAAAGTAACTGTTGAACTATTAAACTGCTCAGTAAAATCAAGCCCAAAATTCCCATGGCGTAAAAATCCAGTAATTTTATCAAAGGTTATAATTGGTCAATCACAGCAGACAGGACTTTGCCCAGCAAACTGGCTCATTGGGATAGTAGTGAACTTTAACGCAAGAGGACGGGCGAGGAAAGAAGAGGGCAAATCGTGTGTGACAAGCATGACAATAATTTTGTTTGGAACACTCGAACATTTCGCCAAGCTTCACTTTCCTTTATAGCGAAATTCGTTGTAGCGCGCTGTGCGTTTTGCAAACTTCGAAGGATCTTTGGGTTTTTCGGTTCCGTCAATCATCTTAGCGGACCTCTTAGGAAACACATGCCTTTTGTTTACTTGTATGAGTTCAAAAGGTTATGGTTTGTGATTTGTGATTGGTGGATTTTGATCCGTTTTGTTTGTTTGGTGTTTCAAGGTTTGTTGCTTTGTTATCACCTGTTTCAGGCAATACCGGTAATCGACTAGTTAAGGTTGCTTCGCAGATTTTTGTGATCTTTTTTATTTCTTGGCATTTGCAAAAATAAAGCAATGTCTGCCTCCTTCCTTCAACAAAAAATCCACCCACCATCTCGATTTCCTTCGCTATTCTTGAGCAGTCTACGAGTCATTCTCAGCCAAGCTGGCCAAGCACATCACATTGTGATTTGCATTAATCCCGCCTTCACTAAAATGTTGACGGAACACTCAGAAAAACCCCAAATCCCTGCGAAGTTTCCAATAAGCGCAGCGTGATACAATGAATTTCGCTGTAAACAGATCTTTTTGTAAAGGACCAGAGAAGATTGGTGTTGAGTGAAGATGCTGACAAAACACGCAAGCAATCAGGATTTTCATCCAGCTAAAAAACCCATCCACTTGGAGGTTTGAGCCGTCTTCTTTTTGGAGAAATAGGATATAGTGAGAGAGTGAAAGCCTGAAATTGCCTACTAAACTCAATTGGCGAGCCGCCTACTTTTAAATCCTAGCTGTCTACTTTAAAACTTTGTGGTAAATGACATTGCGAACTGAGCTTTGAACTAGGAACATTCGAACTTCTAGTTTTGTGATAATTCGTGTAGTGTATATGTAGTGATATTTGTCCTTATATAAGAGCCTGCAATCCTCGTGGTTGTAGTTTTACCGCCATGTTGCATGGAATGAGATTTGGTGATTAAAGCCTGATTTTTCCGGCAAACGTCTTCCTTAGTTCACTACAAACTTAATGAGAACCCTGTCAGAGTAATAGCCGTCTCACATTGTCACACACAAGTGTTGTGCTGTCCTCTTCTTCCTGCTGTCCTATTGTGTAAACTCACTATCATTTGTTTCAACACCCCCTCCACTGAGTGTCTGAATGGACCTGCTTGAATCCTGAATTTGGGCTTACCATGTACTGGAAAGCTCTTTTATCTTATGAGGGACTTTGAATCTTGTCAATCAATATTCCCTTAATGTGTAATTCATCAGCGTTACTAGCCTTCGGCTACTCAAAAATCCAAAGTTAAATAAAGTTTGGTATGCACTGTATGTATGGTATGCTTTTGAAACTTTTATAGACCGAGGCATGTTTTAATGTGTGACATATAAAAAGCAAAAACACAGCTTGCATAATAAACACAGATTCAATTGCCACAGACAATCTTTGTTAATTATGCATGCTTCTCTTGTGTTATAGGTTCTAAAAGCTATTATGTGTTGTTTTTGTCTGCGGATAATGTAAAATGGTAACACCATCACATCGTTAACTCACAATGTTTCTACCACATTTATAATGATTTTCTGTATTTTTTTCAACTTGTTTTGTCTCTGTTGGGGCCAGTATTAACCCTTTAAGCCTGATATCCACATACAAATTCTCCAGACTGCTGATTTCAATGCATTTCCTTAAAGAATTGGTTGAGAGAATTTGATAAAAGATCTTTGCATTTTCCCTTTGGTGATCTTTGTATTTTAAAATTCTTGTAACCTTTCCCGTTGGTTATGTACTGAATTTATTGGGAGAAAATGGATGCTGGTCACTTGGGGACTACATGTAGGGTTAAAGAAGTAAAATCAAATAATGTTGTACTCTCATACATGCCAACCCTCCCGGATTATCCAGGAGTGTCCGGGATACGACACCAATCTCCCGGTCTCCTGTACGGGTCGCTTTATGTCCCTTATAAAATCATCTTTTGAGCTTTTCTGTGCCTTAGTTGGAAATTTAGCTCATTTTTTGGCTCAAAACTTGAATTTTTCTTATTCATAGCATGGTGTCTGGGGCATTTTGCACCTATTTAGTCACTGACAAAGATTATTTCTGGCCTCAAAACAATGATGGCGAATTTTCATAGTATCTCCTACATGTCAGACTTGACATAACATCCTAAATTTCCGGAGCGGAAGGGTGGGCGGGGGGTGGAGGGGGGTTTGGCATCTCTGTGCTCTAGCTTTCTCAAACTTTAGGCAAAATCCTATAATGTGACAATGCAAATAAACATTTCTCCACAAGTATTTTTGCACCATTTTCTGTTAGAAAGACCTGCTTTATTTTCAAAGTTAATCAGTGTGAAGAACATCAAAATGCCGTGCATTATTATTATTGTAATGATGATGATGATTTTTGACACTTTTCAAATTACAGTTGTTGCCTTTAATGGATGCTTAAGTTCTTCAAAAAGCGTCGTACTTAAAAAAAGGAGTCTAAGTGTCTTTTCAAAGTGTAATTCGACTGTTTATGGCTTTGCTTACATGTATTCGATAGAATATGTTTTTTTGGACTATGCGGTACATTAGAAAGGGGGGAAAACGTCTGTTTTTGTTACAATGGATTTGTATATTACCAGGTGTTCTGGCAATATCTCTTAGATATTAAATATATTTGTATACTTCTAATATTTGTATAGTTTTTAGGTTATTTATTGTTGTAATGTGCTTTTGACCACCTAGCATGTTAAAAAGCACACTATAAATGAATAAATTATTATTATTATTATTATTAAAACTTTTAAGTTGTAAGGAGTAGGAAAAACCCCATCTCCTTCGATATCGTACAAAAGTTTTCAAACCTGTAAAACGCCGATAATTGTTTCGACGTTCAAAGAGAACAGGGGAAAAATATCAATTTAGATTTTATTAGTGGAAGTTTTAAAACCAGGAGCCGGTCAGGTTTATTAAGGCGAAGCAAAATATGCAAATCAGTTTTCAAGCGCCAAGGGAAAAACCCCTTTGCATTGCGTTACTATACATGTCACATTTTCCCGCCAGAAGTAATTTGAGGTAATTGCGCAACTCATTCACGTTGAAATTCAATAAAACAGTGTTTATATTTATCCGTTTTGTCGTCAAAAGCAAACGGTACAAAAATAAATAAATAAATAGATATAGAAATAAATTTAAATCGCGTTAAAGAGATTGGATTAGTCTTCACACTATGCTTACAACTCTGTAAATTACTTTGGTAGTGATAATATTTTAACTTGCGGTAAAACTACAAAATCAATCGTATCATTTAAATCACAGGCCAGAAACTCGTTTATAATCCACTGAAATGAAACTTTTGATTGGGAAGGAGATGTCTCGTGTCGACGATGGGCTCTGATCATAAACTTATAATTAACGATAAAATTTTACGATGTAAATTACAGTTTTAACGTAGTGACTGTGAGTTTTACGTGTGTTTATCTCCCGGTAAAAAATGCTGAAGAGATACTGTTTTGCTTTAAACTTATGGGGGATATAATTGGTTTGACTTACCAAAGACGATCATAAGTCTGTAAGCCAAGTACCACAGATCTCTAAAAGCGTTTCTATTCCTTTGCATCATGAACGATAAGCTACGTTTTTAAAAAGTGTTTCAACTGCTAAGTACGCATATAGATTACGCTGTCACAACATTTCCGGAATCAAGATTTTTCCAGAATATTTGTGACGTGAATACCACCACGTTTCTTCGTGTCGGCCGATGCTCGGCCGAGAGGTGCCTGAATTACACGAGATCCGCCCTGAAATATGTAATAGGACATTGGGGTAATGGCGAGAGCTTTCATTGTAATTGTCATTTACAAATATATCTCGGCTTTCGTAAAGACACTTTATAGTTTGCAGCGAGGCTTTTATGTCACCGTAGGTCATTATACGGTCTTTTGACCAGCTTCGTAGTCATTTTTTTTACATAACTATTACATAACTATTACTTAATAAAAACGAAATAAAGCAATCTTCGCAAGGATTTTAAATTTCTGAGAGATTTGGTAATTAACTTCGGCACTGTTTGTCATCGAATTACAGTATATGGTCTCTTTGTCTCAACCTGACCTTAATTACTTTGATTCTTGGAGGGCCTTTGATAGCGCCATCTAAAAATTGGCCGCGCGTGTGTATTTACACAAAAGAATATCACTTCAGAGCATAGTTAGTAGAGGAGACTGGTAAGGAAACCCGGCAAACATCAAAGTTGAAAACAATGGTGCTGACCATGCACAATCCTTTGTTTTCTGTTCACAAATTATGACTGAATAAATTAATGCGATGTGTCTATTGGTCAATAACTTCAAAATTATAGGAATGCTATTGAACATTGTGCATGATCAGGTCCAAAAAAAGCTATCAAAAACGTATAACAAAGGGTTTCCCAACCATTCCACTTTAATTAACTATGTTCAGAGTCACAAAACACTCTTGCCACGAGGTCATGTAAATACGAAAAAGCTGGTACATGTATTGAAGACTTGCCGCCCTTGCCGCTTTATCAATGATAATCAAAATCCAACTTTAGATGTACATAAACTTTCCCTCTGCTCACAAGAAAAACAAACCAAGAGTGCCGCTGAAATAACAGTCAAATGAAGTTTTACGTCCTTGTATCGTAAAGCGACAAAGGAGGCTCGTCAACACATTATTCAAGTCACGGGCAGTTCTCCTTTCTACAGTTATGTATAAATGTAATGAAACTTACCAAAAACATCCAACGCGATAAAAATTGAGAATAAAGTCCACCGGCAAAATATGATTTTATGGCAAAACATGTTGCGTGTATACCTAATAATCCACAAAACTCAATATGGCACTAAGAGCTGATGTGTACATATATAGATTATGCTACGGTCACGTGGGATTATTATATAATTGCTGTTTTTGTCAAAAACGTCCCTTATAACATAGCGTGCGTGCGTGCGTGCTTGCCCTATATAAGTGCTATTGAGCAATTCAATTGATAAGCCGCTATGAACAAAATCTTTATTTATGCACGCCCGTACGTAAATAAAGATTTTTTCATGATGACGTGTCCAGCTGTGTTTTTCGTATCTTTTCCAAGTGCTAAGTACCCCCAAATCGACGGCAATGATGAAAAACTTAATTGCTATCATTTTTGGTATTTAGCTTCTTATAATTACCACTCAAACCAACAGCAAAAGCGGTGAAGATGTTTCGCAAATAATGGAGCCTGAATCGTTGAAAAGTCTGCCGTAAAGGCTGACATTTAGCTGGAAAAAGACCATCAATTGGCCTGTGTCGGGAAATGTCCAATTTGTATAAAGTGTCCTCCGTTTTTAGCGTTTGTTTCAGTATCCTTTACAAAACAAGTTAATTGTAAAGTAAGCTCAATAGCGAAAATTATGCACGTTTGTTATCGCCGACTTTAGCAGGAAAATTTCTCTTGCACTAACAAGACAAATTATACAAGAAGACATAAATTTATTACTCACAAAAAAAAAAAAAAAACTGGTACCAGGTCTCCTCAAGAAGCCGTAATGACCAGCCACTGTTCATAAATGAATATAAAGTATGACAGTAGTCTTCGCTAAAAACAAGTTTTCTGGATTTCGCCAAGAAAAACATAAACATCTTTTCAGCGAATCCAAACCATACTCCTCCTCTTAGGAACATGTGAGTATTTTAATTTTAGGTCGACTGTTACCTTGTTTCTGCTTCGTTTCCATTGATCGTTAACGAATAAATAAGCAAATTTTATTTTTTCAGTTCAGTTTACGGGAAGAATTTTCTTTCAAACCAGACGATTGTCGCGTGTTTGTATCCAGCCAATAGAAGCGTCCGTTTTTCAGTTTCGCGCTTTACGAAAATTTTGCAGTTAATCAAAAAGCAAGCATTTTTGTCAGCCATATGTTATTAAAGAATTTGCTCATGCTTTTAGCTGTGCGTACATCGAGTTATGGATGCACTTGGGAAGTTTGGAGAGCACTCAAGAGAGCATCTTTCGTGCTCTCCAAACTTCCCGCGTGCATCCATAATTCGATATACGCACGCTAAGCATGAACAAATTCTTAATTTTTGTTTGGAATCGATTGCGTCAAATACGTAGAGTCTCACAAAGGAGAGAACCCTGCAAACGAGGTTGCTAATAAACGAGATCGAGCACTTTCCTTAAGAGAAAGGACCAGTAAAAAACTCGGTGGTGAAAGAAATCGTGTAGGGTTAAGCCTGGTTTTCACTAGCGCATAAGCATAGGCATATTAGGACATACGTACGCGCAGAATGGCATAAATTATTTGACTCAGTTCTCGATACCAGCTCGCCTCAACCTAATGATAAACAAGATGGCGTACGAAGCGTCCGCCATATTTCTTTTGATAGGTTCGCATGAAGTCTGGGTCAAAGTGACCTATGATTGGTTCACGGCCTTGTGCTTATGCTTGTGCTTATGTCGACCCATCTTTCACTAGTCAAAGTTATGACATAAGCATAAGCACAGGCACAAGAAGAACGAACTTGTCCGTTTTTCTTGTGCTTATGCTTATGCTTATGTCGACCCAGTTTTCACTTGCTTACACATGTGCTTGTGCTTATGCTTATGCTTATGCTTATGCGCTAGTGAAAACCAGGCTGGTTACTTATCACTTTTGTTCAATGTCAAGTCAGCCGAAGTAAGGATTTTGACCACCGAAGCCATGAGCTTTAAAGAAAATGACTTGGTGATCTGAATGACCTATACGTATCAATGGAGGGAGTGGATGTCTGCTATTGTTTACTGTGGTTATTTTTACCGAAAGCATGCTAGTTTTGCCGAGTTTGTAGCAGTTATGAGAATAAACGCCTCTCTCTTTAAATCGCCTCTTATCTATTGAATGCCCCCGCTTGGTTCCTGAAATTGTTTAAATGCGAAGTACCCTGATCTGTTACATGTATCTAGCACTATTATATATACTTGTGGTTTCTTATAAAGAGTGTTAAGTACTGCAAGCAGTTGCTATTTCTGGATCACTCTACAAAAATTAGCGAATTTATTTGGTAATAGCGCGCGTCCATTTGACATAATTGTTGGCTTCACACTAGAAGCGAAGTTAGCTGTAAGTAAGCACTTGATTCAAAGCACTTGGAAATCTTAAGTCGCTCTGTAGAAATCATGGCCTCACACTTGTCTACGAAGTACATTGTAATAAAAGCTATCAATCTCTCCGTTCATTAGAATCTTGGAACCGCGGCAGGTACATGGCTCCCATTTCTTATTGGTCAAGTGTGTTCTCAAGTGTGGTGTAGACCATACTTTAGGGCGAACTTCGGCATCTTTGAACTACGAACGTCTCCATGGTCACCAAGTAAAGTTGAAGTAGGTACATTTTACCCCTTCACACTCAAAGTAGGTTCCAAGTACACTTTTATTATACTTGAAGCTCTAGTGTGAAGCCAACAAATGTATGTTGCAGTTAATTTTTTGTTTCAGTTAATTTTTATTTTTCCTTTGTTTTAAATTCATTAGCAACATTACCATGCCCAAACACAACAGAAAAATAAAATTTAACTGAAATAAAAAATTAACTACAACATATACAGCGGTGGGGGTGTGTTCGTGCAACTCGCTCGCTACGCGATGAGGTACTAGGAATCTTATTTTCATCGTGGTCTTTATTCATCTTTGACCTCTGCTACATAGATGTAGCCTAATAGCCGTGTGCTTGGTAAAGCAGGCTCGGTTATGACCATCAATAAACGCATGCTCGCACTCGAAAAAAACAGTTTGACGAGAGAGAACAAGATTGACTAGTCCAGAAGTTTGGGCTTCGACGACTTCAAAGGCTTGACGCGATTCAGACAGAGCCTCCTTTTCTCCTCCTCACTCAAGAAGACAAAAGGAGACTCTGCTTGCGGGGTGAAATATTAATTGCAGTGGCGGATCCAGGGGAGGGCCCCTTATTTTTAGACCAAACTGAGGCCTGAAGGGCCGAAAAACGTTTTTTGGGAGACTGTCCCCCCCGTTATCTAAGGGTCTGGATGACGCCCCCCCCGTACCTCAAGGTCTGGGTCCGGCACTGAATTTTGAACTAACTTGCAATTAACGACAGCAAACTTCGAGTAAATTTGTCCATCGAGATTCGAATCGAGCAAACGACATGGTTGAGTCAGCATTGCAATGGTCCCCTGTGTTTTGCAACCGCACGAAAGTGAGGCAAAACGTTCTACTGGGATTTGGCGAGATTTAAACTGGTATCTGAGTGAAACAGGTCTGCTGTTTGCTACGCTCGCACCAATTATTACTATTTATTACTACAATTATGCTAAAGCACAAGACTGGGTCAGTGTTCTGTCGTATTGCACTATGGGCATTATTGGCTATCAAGAAGTTGCGCAGGAAAGCTGGGAGAAAATTCTTTATCCCAAAACAATCGCATAGTCCAATTCAGCACAACACCGCAACGCACAAGTCACAAAGAAAAACTCAAATTGGCCGGTTGAACTGAAAACTTTCCAAGTGGAACATTCACATACAGGCCATTTGAGCCAAGTAATCCTGAGAACACCCCTCGTTCCTCGGGGGTCGGTGTTGGTGGTCGGCCAGTCAAGGAAAGTTTGAATAGTGGCGAGAAGTAGACTTTATTTTA